CCTAAAGCTAGGTGCTAACAACGTGCAGTACTGGAGGTCATTCGTTTGAGGGCCCAACAACATCACTTCGTCTGAACTCATCAAATCGCCGCTCTACCGACCTGCAGACCCATTTTGATTCCCAACCCCCGCCCTCCAAAAGCCCTCACGATATTTCCGTGCCGCCTCTCTCGAGTGCACTGCGTGCAGCTGGTCGAACGTTCTCTTTTGGTGGAAGATTCTCGAAAACACCTTCCCAAGCTCCGCAACGACCATCATCGCCAGATACAGCAACCACAAGCAGCACGGCGAGCACAGCAACGCCACCGAAACTTTTGGCTACCGAATTCCAAATTGGCCGAATGGACGATGATTTTGGGAACATGTTTGACGGCATCGGCAAACATGATGCGCAGGAATCGACTCAGAACTCCGTATGGCGTTTACCTTCTCCCAACCGTTTTAAACCTTTACTGTGTAATGGGTGAAATACTAATCATCGGGACAGGGCTCCAATTCCTATCCCACGAAAACGGAATCATACCCGAAGAAAGAGGAAAAGTCAACGCGACCCCCGCCCATAAGCACGGATCGCTCGAAGGAGATTGAACCTTCCCCCTACTCATGGGGTAGCCGGCACTCGGAGGAGGGTCTTTTAGACGCTGTTGACTCGCCACAGGATGATACCTCTGCTGCTGCATTCCAATCCAACTACTCGGATTCGACCATGATACCACCCCCCCTGGGGGCGCGAAGAAAGTCGTCACCAATGACTAACGACATACATTCCAATACCACTTCCCATCGTTCTTTAGAGAAGCCGAAAATGGCAACCGATAAAGGCTTGCGGAGGAGTGTCTTGTTTTCTGCCAAACGGGACACGAGTGCTATTGAAGACGAAGATGCCAAGCTGGTCACGGCATCGCTCAACTCGAATAAGAGAGCCTCCCAGGCCCATACTTTGAATTCGGTGGATTCTGAAGCAGATGATGATATTCCATTATTCGGTCACGGGAATACAACCAAGACCACGTCTGATGGAATCAAATTCTTACCCCACTCTGGCCATGCTGACGACAACATTGATGCATCAATTGCAGCTCATGCACGGCTAGCCGTGGAATACGAAAATAGACCCCCACCGCTTCCGTCATCCAATAAAATCATGACACCGTCCCAATTTGAACATTATCGCCAGCAGCAGGAATTGAAGAGAGCAAACAGCGATAATGCGTCAGACAGTGAAGACTCTGCAGGAAGTGATTTTGACGACGAGGATGAAGCAGAGAAAAACCGTGAGACTGAGAGGCAACGTCGAAAACAGGAGGCACATCTGTCTGTATATCGGCAACAGATGATGAAGGTAACCGGGCAACAGTCTCCCTCGCCCTCCCTTCGCCCAGAGGATCGAGCCAGCAGCAGCACACCGAACTTGACGAATTTTCCGATGAACCCTGCTAATCAAGCTGGGAGCGGGAAAAGTAGTGAGGAGGATGATGATGAAGAGATTCCACTCGGCATATTGGCGGCCCACGGATTTCCCAGCCGAAATCGCCCACCAAGCCAGTTGATGTCATCTAACTCCATGCAGAATTTACGTGCCTCATATCATCAACCACGCATAGCGTCTGCTGGCTCGGACGTTGGAGGTGGTAGTCGAGTCGGTTTGCCTCCTTTCGCCAGAAACCTTCCACGAGATCCCTATTTTGGCGCAGGCCTAGTCACCCCTTCAAACAGGGAATCTCTAGCTCTAGGAGGAGGAGGAGGCTCGGTGTATGGGGGCCCGTCTGCCGCCGCAGGCTCCTCTTCTGCTCTACCTCCAGGTGGATTGGTTGGCGTGATCGCCACCGAAGAGCGAGCCAGAGCGATGAGACGAGGGAGTCCGAACACCCAAGCGATGTATGAACAGCAGCCAGGATTTCCTGGGCCAATGGGGAACCCAGGCGGTATCCCCAGACCCCATACGATGCTTGGTATGAACATGGCCAACGGACCTAATCCTCAGCAATCAGTATCTGCGACAGAGCAGGCTCAGATCCAGTTATCTCAGCAGATGAGTAGCATGATGCAGATGCAAATGCAGTGGATGCAGCAGATGCTTCAAATGCAGGGAGGGCAGGCTCCTCCCCAACAACTCGCGTCCCCTAATATCCCGATTCCGTTCCCCGCCGAAGCGAACGGGGGGAGACCGTCATCGATGCCATCAGCTGGTGGGGCATTTAATAGTGCGCCCCAGGGCTATGGAGGGAACCAAAGGACCCTGAGCATGCTCGACCCAAATGTCTCCTCGAGATTAAATAGCCCAGCCGGCCCGTTCGTCTCTGGTGGTATTAGGCCAAGCACTCCAAACGGGGCCGGATATTCTCCGTCGCTTGCTCCATCAGAGCGCAGCAATGTCGGATTAGCGCCCCGATATAGGCCTGTTTCTATGCTGCCAACCGAAGCCGAGTCAGCTAGCTTCCTCCCTCCCACCAAGCCATGGAACGATGAAAATCGCAGAGCAACTTACCTAGCCCCTTCTGCGAATACAACCCCGTCGAGCACAACTATACGTCCGGTATCCAGCTACGGTCGGACGCTCACGGCCCCCTCTAAGCTCAATAGCAACGCTCAACCTGATGATGAAGACGATGACGAGGGATGGGCGGAAATGATGAAGAAACGAGAGAAAAAACGAAGCAACTGGAAAGTGAAAAAGGAGACATCGAGCTTTGGAGAAGATTTATTGAGTGCGGTACATTAATGAGTGAGAGTAGATATTTTGTTTTTGTTTTTTGTTTTCTTTTTCGGCGTTATTCTGAGACATTATTTGCATTTTATGTATAGTTACATTTACGCTGATTTATAATACCTCAAGACACTTGCATGGCCCTTAGTTGAGGTCTGACACATACAAATCGGTTATGCTAGAGCTGCATTTCAGGATGCTCTTTTTTCCAATATTAGATACCTGTCCACTGTCACTCATTCGAAACTAAATGGGACGGTGCAATTTCCAGTTAATGGTCAACATGCCACTAGTATTGCCCTGGCGTTTATTGATAACGCAGGTTACGACCGATGCTGTTATAGATCTCAGAATTGCCATACATTTAATTGCTGCTGTTCGCTTCAGTATACTCTGAGATGTTGCAGCGTAGTCTGCGCCTCTTCGACCACATCTGCTACAATTTTGGCGGCAGGGAGGGCTTCGCGCACAAGTCCAACTCCAGTACCAGCGTATGTTGTTAATCTAGCATTCGGGCCCCATCCCGAGTCACCAATTTTCAACTCTTCCTGATAGAGTGCTTTATTCTCTTCATCACTCATACCTCCTTCCACTGCATCAACATAACTTTTGTTAATCACCCCGCGTCCGTCATATCGCCGGGGCCAACCCAAGATCCCCCTGACTCGATCATACACCGTCGAGCGAACGGTACACACACCTCCATCGGAGGCCCGGAGGACCTCAGCCTGATATCCACGGGCGATCTGTGCCTCAGAACAGGCCAAGAACCTCGTTCCCATGGCTACCCCTGAGGCCCCAAGGGCGAGAGATGCAGCCACTCCCCGCCCGTCAACTACACCCCCAGCCGCAACAAGAGGTATCTCTTGTTTGAGGTTTCGCGCAGCGAGCGCATCCTGCACTTCCGGTACAAGAGTTATTATAGACGCCGACTGGGCCAGTCCATGGCCACCTGCATCTGAGCCCTGCACAACTAAGACATCGGGATCCAATGCTTCTGCGATGGCGACTGCCTCGGCTACAGAGCCCACCTGGACCCAGATCTTGGTCTTGCCAGAAGTCACGGCGCGCACCTCTTCGGCCCAGGGACGGAGATCATCAGGGGTATTTTTAGGACCAAAAAGCCAGGCTGCACATGGTCGGTGCTGTTTAATCGCGGCGATGGACTTAGGCAGGTCGGCGCCCCAGTTCAGGAAGCCGACTCCAATCGGGAGGATACCGGTGCTAGCATACCGTTGTTGGATTGTGGAGTCGGACTTGTTGATGAGCTGGGCTGCTTCTTCAAGATTGCTCCCAAGGGTTGATACATCGAAGCCACCGGCCAGGAATCCCAGTCCACCTGCTGCGGAGACCGCGACGGCAAGCGCCGCAGAGGCAATGTTCAGCATCGGTGCTGACGCCACTAGAGGTGTCCGAGTCCATGGGTAGGCCAGTTGTAGAGCTGAGTTTGGGGACATAGTGTTTATTCACTTCTAGGATTACAATGTATTTCAAATGGGGTTTGAAACAGTGTTTCTGGAGCATAGAGCGTTGGCCGCGGGCCTGTTGATTGTTCGGTCGCTAAGGCTTTCTTGCTAGATTGATGTTGATCTCCATGCTTAGTGACCAAATTTATATTTTGGTCACTGCTCGTAGTATCGATGTATATCTAGCAAATATTTTGGACTCAACACTATCTATAGTAAGTTCACAGATAATTTCTAGAAATTGCAGCTCCAATTCTCCCCATTATTTTCAGGGATGGTAATTATAGAGAATAATTTTATGAATTTATACTTCACAAGGATCTGGGCCTACCAAAGAACCTCTTATCCACGTGATCTGAAATCATGTGACCACTATCTTGGGTGGCACATCGAAGATCTTCCGGCACTCTTTATATTCAGCACCATTCAGATTCATTAGTTGATATACAAAGACAGCCATCCCGCCTGTCTCCAGTCCTTTGCCTTTCGCCTGTTTCTTCATATTTTTCTTGGACACCGATTGCTATACGACCATATCTTTATAGCTGTCTGCAATACGTCCTTTTCCCAGTATCAATATTCTTATCCTTGATCTGATCACAACTTTATATTGAACTTTTTCCTCTGATCACCCTTGAAAGGCCCTCGGAAGTATTGCTAGGTTTTCAACGTGCGATATCACCTTTTTATTCCTCTTGGGAATCTCCATAGAGGATCAAGATCTCTGGACCGAAGGAGAGCAAAGAGCAGCTCTTTGAACGTACTATCGTCATTTATACCTGCCACACATTTGTGACTTGAGATCAAGATCCAGCATAATTGCTTGATTTTGGTCCCTGGTCCCTTTTTTTGGACATTAAAACCAGTATCAGTTCAGTTAACTGGGTCCCTCGGAGTCAAGATGAACGCACCTGATAGGTAAGAAAGAATATGCTTTTAGGTGTTGCGCCTACAACTTCCTTTTGTATATTCGAGTTGCATTTGAAGTGATAATGGCCCTATTTTTGTGTTTATGATCCAACCATGAAATTTGCAGATTTGCAAGGAGTGCAAGATTCCCTCTTTCCAAGTTGGGGTTCTGCAAATAATCCCCTCGTCGTCTGATTGTTGGTGCTTGTGGACGCCACTGTTGATTTTACTCAACTTTGTCTCACTCGACCCCTCTTCCCTTGACAATTACTTGCGTCCTTTTGAATGCCAGCTTGATTTCTGTCTTGTATCTCGTCTTCACATACCTGCTTTCAAGCCATGTATCCCACTAGGGAACACAGACCGCAGCACATCTTTTCCACCGAAACTCTCTACGCTCGGTTCAGGAACACAAACAGTACACATAAGGGTTGCCATTCATCCATTGATGTGGAGAATGACCAGCAGTCTAGGTCTGACTCTTTACCTCAGCCTTAGAATCTGCGCTTTAATAATTTAATACTTTGATTGCGGCACTCACATTTCACACGGCCAAGGCATCTTACTGACCAGCGTGAAAATATAGATACGAGTCGTTCGTCCTTGGGAATGGCGAAAGCAAAGTCGAAATGGAGATTGATACTCGTGCGTTTTTGCCCTGTTCATATTGACTGACGCAGCCAGCCATCAATGACTGACATGTCCTCATCCCATAGGAATCCCTTCATCAGCAATCTTTACATTTAACAAGGAAGATCACACACTTGGAAACCTGATCCGTTCTCGTCTCCTCCAGAGCTCCCATGTTCTATTCGCTGCATACAAGGTATGCCGCCCTTTTTGATGCTTTGTGGTGATGCCTAGTGCAAATATTCTCTGATCTCAATCTCGGTTGTATGGCGACTAATTTGTTAGGTTCCCCATCCGCTTGTTCCCAACTTCATTCTCCGTGTTCAAACAGATGGCGAAATCGCCCCGAAAGAGGCTGTCATCACTGCATGCAACGAGCTAGTGCGCGACCTCGGCATCTTATCCCGGGAATTTACCAAAGAATACGAGTTGCGCAAGATGGTTGGAGCTACACAACAGCAGCAAAATGGTGCTCCGGATGGAATATAGTTAGCACCATCCACTCATAAATTCCGAAAGATCAGTTTCTTTTCTTTTCTTTTTACGGCCCTGCTGGTTTAGCTCTGTTTTAACGTGCGCAGCTGGTCATGCGTGCTCTGTCATATGCTAGCTCTCCCATGCTAGCTCTCCCGTTGGCAACCCTCATTGCCTTCTTTCTTAGTTTCTATCTTTTGAATGGAGCTACTAGGTCTCCAATCTTTTATCCTCGGTACTGCATGTGTGGGTGTAGTGGCATGATTGATCGCCGATGCTCACTTTGGTGGAAAACCCCTTGCTATAGAATCGTTTGTATATAGTAGAACATAATTCATTAGCAGTCCACCATCTTGACTACGTAGCTAACATCCCGTTTCCCCAGATAATTCTTTGGTGTTTGTGCTTGTATCTGCTGACTCATCGCCCCCTTTTTGGGTTAGCGTGGGTGCGTGTCCCTGTTTCCGCGAGGAACGCCCTGTCGCCTGAAGCTCCTGAGCCCCGTCTGTCCTCATCGCTGCCTGCCCGCTATTCCCCTCTCCGCATATCCCTCATTTCACTGCCCATTGTCTTGGTTTTAGCTTTTAGTTTGCATCCTTGTGAATTTCTATTGTTGTCGATGCTGTTGCGGCTTTATTAATGTACTCTTCTTCGAATTCCTTCCTGGGCGGTGCCAACAGCACCCGCCCCGGGCAGCAACCTTATCTGCAGCAGCAGCAGTCTCCATACTCGCAATTCCCAGCGGGTCAGCAACAGCCTGCCCAACAGACTGGCTTTGCCCCTCAGCCTACCGGTTATGGACCTCAGCTATCCGCGTTTGGAGGTCCCCAGTTGCAACCGCAAGCAACGGGGTTTGCGCCTGGACAGCTTCAGCCTCAGTATACCGGTTTCCCCGGTGCGCCGGCACAGCAAGCGCCGCAACAACCTCAACAACCCCAACAACCCCAACCGACCGGTTTCGCCTCAGCACCACAACAATCTCAATATGGCGGATTTCCCCCTCAGAGTCAAGGTCCACAGATACAGGTTACGCCAACTGCAAACCTTCCGCTTCGAACAGGGATGCAGACATCCTCTGACATAGCCAACTCATTCCAGGATGGATTAGGAGCTGCGCCTACCCCGCCACCCAAGCCTTCCGCTGGGAGAATCCCAAACATCCGCTTATCGTTCATAACGGCACAGGACCAGGCGAAATTTGAGCAGCTCTTCAAATCCGCAGTTGGGGATAATCAGGCAATGACTGGTTAGTCGGACAAATTAGTTCTGTTATAGTTTTCTGGGATATCCATTTGACACATGTCGTTTTATAGGTGACAAGGCGAAGGAGCTTCTTCTTCGATCGAAGCTCTCGGGAAGCGACCTGTCGAGGATATGGTGAGCGCCGCGAACCCTCTGATATATTCACGACTCGAGCTTACAATTTGTAGGGTGCTATCGGACACTACCAAATCTGGACAACTACTCTTCCCTGAATTTGCTCTTGCCATGTACCTTTGCAACATTCGAATCACAGGGAGGGATATACCCGCTGCCCTTCCCGAAACAATCAAGAACGAGGTTTCGAGTATGGTGGACATTATTTCCTTTCAAGTGCCCGATACACAACCAGAACCTGTCGCTAGGACGAATGTTCCTAGCTTTGATGCGCCACTATTAGAAAACAAAGCAGCTCCCCCAGCGCCCCAACAACCGCAACCGCAACAGCCTAACAATTCCCAACTCCTCTCTCAGCTCACCGCGCAACCAACCGGATTTCCACAACCTACGGGGTTCCAGCCAAATGCTCCATTCCCAGGTCAAAACCAGGCTCTTGCCCCACAAGCCACTGGCTTTCCTGGGCAAGCTCAACAAGGCCTTCAACCTCCCCAGGTGGGCCTGCTAAGTAACCCACAGCCAACAGGCTATACTGGCCCTCGGCCCCCAATGCCCCCAATGCCAACTGGATTCGGTTCCAACCTTAGCCCGGCACAAACAGGTGGATTGGTGGCACAGCCCACAGGCATCCCTGGACAGTGGGGCTTTGTTAATGCCCCTGCCTCAGGATTGCCCAATATCGACGCCTTGAAGCAGCAGCTGATGCCTCAGCCGGGTCGTGAAGGTGGCTTCTCCACTGCCGGCATCACTGGGAATGCAAATATTCCCTGGGCTATCACAAAGGAGGAAAAGAGAATATACGATGACCTTTTCCGTGCGTGGGATGGTCTTCGCAAGGGATTCATTGGTGGCGATACCGCGATCGAGATTATGGGACAGAGTGGCCTGAATAGGAATGATTTGGAAACCATTTGGACACTCGCTGACCCTCACAACCGCGGCAGACTCAATATGGACGAGTTCGCAGTGGCTATGCATTTGATTTATAGAAAGCTCAACGGCTATCCTGTTCCCAGTCGCTTACCTCCGGAACTAATCCCTCCATCCACGAGGAACTTGAATGATTCAATCGGCACTGTCAAGTCCATGCTTTCTCAGGATGCAGAGCACCGAAAAGCCACAGGTGCATTTCTGCAGCCGCAGAAGACGGGAGTGAGCTACCTAAAGGACCATTCTTTCCGAGGTGGAGCCGTCTCTCCCGGTGTTGGTCGCAAAGATGCTACACTATTCAAAAACAATGATGAGGCAGCATCTGGTTACCGCTCTAGTGCGCGTCGCCGTGTTGGGAACACCGGGCGTACTCCTTCACCTGCTGCCTCACAATCTTCTGAAGATGAATTGTCAGTTGAGCAGCTGAAAAAGAAGATCCGCGAAACGCAGGTGATGTTAGAAGCCGTTGACTTTCAAGATGAGAATCGTGCGGAAGAAGAGGATGCGCTAGACAGACGAGACCGCCGGGAGGCGGAAAGTCTTATGGATCGTGTTCGACGCGTGCAGGACGATCTTGACACCCATCCTCATGCGTCCCTTCGCAATCTGGATACAGGCGCCGAGAGAAGGACGCTACGCCGCCAATTGCAGGCTTACGAGGATCAGGTACCGCAGATTGCTTCGGACGTTAGGCGCGTTGAGCGCGAAATTGCCGAGGCTAGGCTCGAGCTGTTCCGGCTGAAGGACGCCAAGGCACACCCTAATAGCGCACTTAATATTGTTGGCACAGGCCCCGGTGGTTCGGTCACGGAATCGGATCGCATTAAGGCGCGTGCCCGTGCTAGAATGCAAGCTCGCGCTGCCGAACTTGCGGGTAGGCCAGCGCCTGCCTCGCAGGATGATGAAGGTGCCGCAACTCGTCGACTAGAAGGAGAGAATGCCAGGGTTAAGGCAGAAAGGGAGAAGAACGATTCCATGACACACGACGTGGAGGAAAGCGTCAAGGACTTTGCTAAAAGTTTGGAAGATAGCCTCAAAGAAGGCGGGGAAAGCTCTACACGTGAACACGAAAGGCGACGCTGGGAAGATGCTCTGGGCGTGGAAGATGTTATCCGTGACTTTATTTACGACCTGAATCGCGGTGGGCGTACCGCGTATATTCGAAAGGAGGAGTAAGTTTTCCTCCCACTTACCCAATCTTTTCGATTTGAGGACTTTATATTGCATTTTTTATTTTTATTTTTTGAATCCAAAACAATTAACATCTCGCTAGGGACTCGAGAAGATCTTCCCCTATGGAGCAGCGGACTCACGGCCAATCGCCTGTACCCAATGCAAGTGTAGCTCGGCCGTCGCCACCACCGTCGGTTGGGTCGACAGGATCTCTACCCGGAAATACGCACGAGGATCGTGTTGCTGCTGCAAGGGAACGCGCCCAACGCAGAATTGCCGAACGGATGGCAGCTGCTGGTCTTAAGCCTCAAGGCGATGCTGCGGAAACCCTTACCCAGCGGCAAGAGCGCGAAAAGAAAGAAAGGGAGGAGAGGCTGAAGCGGGCAGAAGAAGAGGACTCTAAACGAGAAGAAGAAAGGCAACGCCGTATTGCTGATGAACAGCGCCCCCCTGGCACCCAGGCACCGAAGTCTGTTGGTAAGAAGCCTCCGCCAGCACCACCTTCACGCAAGGGTCGGACTGATAGTACTGGCCAAGCGGATGCTAAACGGGCTGCGGATGAGGCAGCTAAAGCTGAACAGCTAGCCCGCGAACAAGCTTTGAAGGAGGAGCAGCAAACGCAGGAAGAAGAGACGAAACGTTTAGAGTAAGTACAACTGATGCCCAACCTACGTTGATCGATGAGTTTTTCTCACATTTCTTTTGTAGAACGGAGGCAAAGCAGCATGAAGACGAGTTCGAGAAGGCACAGCAAGCGCAGCAAGAGCGTCTCCGTGCACTTGAAGAGCAGGTTAAGCAAGGAAAGGTTAAGAAACAGGAAGAGAAGCGCCGTAGAGAGGAAGCCAAGAAAGCTGCGCAAGAAGAGGAAGCTAGACTCGCTCGTCAGCGAGCAGATCTGGAAGCTGCCAAGGAGCGAGAGCGACAGCTTCAGCAGGAGCTGGAAGGCTTAGACGAAACCTCTTCAGACGACGAGGGCCCAGTGAATATTGAAACCCCAGAGGACAACACCCCGACCCAAAGCCAAGTCCTCCCCGCAACATCGCCCCCTCCTGCGCCCCTAGCTCCCCCAGCGCCTGCTATCCCGGTTGTCAAGACACCTCCGGCTCCTGAACCCGAGCCGACAAGTACCCCTGGTTCACCGGAAAGCAATCGAGCGGCGCCAGCTAGCCTGAGCCCGGAGACCGAATCCAAGAACCCCTATATCAGGAAGAACATCACACAGTCTACAGACTGGCCGGCTGCAACAACCCCTGAGGCTCAGGCCACTGCTACCCCGAAGGCGGATGCCCAGTCCACCAACCCATTCCATCGCCTCGCTCAGCAGCAACAGCAGGAGCCTGTAAAGCCCGCCTTTACAGGTTCGATGCCACTCGAACGGAAAAACCGTACACGCCCAGAGGATGATGATGACTGGTCAGCAGCCGGGTCTGATTTGGAATCATCCGACGATGAAGATGATCGCGCAGGCGGTGGCAGCGCTAAGCAGCTTGCAAGTATCCTCTTCGGTACTATGGCGCCTCCACGCCCTTTGAGTGCCATGGACAACCAGTCTCCGTCATCGAATTCAGCGACTCCAGTGCAAGATAACCCAACTCCGCCAGTTCCACCAATTCCAACTGAGATTGAACCAGCTCCTGCTGCTAGCGGTGCCCCTCCACCACCACCGCCTCCTCCGCCACCACCAGCCGGAGCCGCACCCCCAGTGCCCGGAATTGAAGCGCCGCCTAGCGCTCCACCACCACCACCACCGCCGGCAGGGCTTCCCGCACCACCGCCCCCTCCTCCAGGACCACCCCTTCCCCCTGCCCCCGCGACCCCAGCTGGTGGGTCGGATCGGGGTGCACTACTGGCCTCGATCCAGGCAGGAAAGGGGCTTAAGAAAGTTCAAACCAACGATCGAAGCAGCAGCTCCACTGCCGGGCGCGTACTGTGAACACCTCTTCTTGGATATCCTACATAGCTAGGTTCTCAAGTTCTCCATGCATTTTACATCTCGAGTCTTAGGCGTCTCTTCCTGCCGAGCCGATGTGCGTGTTCAACATTCCCAATATGTATAGCTGTTAGTTTATTTAAAGTATTGCAATTTTTTACTCCTTTCTTCTTGGCCCCGTGGCTGGCGCCTTTTAGTCACATGTGTGTGTGTATATATTGGCCTCAATAAATATTGTGCCTTTTAACCCAAGCAACAACAACAATAGCACTAGCGGGTACAATAAGCGTCACAACACCCGTTAATTGTGTTAATAGTCAAAGACTATGTATAGGAAGGGGTATCCCAATGATATGCATGAAACCAAAGCAACAAGGAAGGCTAGCGACGTAAGTATCCTAAGCCAAAGAAAATAAAAAAGGAAAAAGAAATGGCCAATTCCCAACTAATTTACCAAAAAATTTCAGCAATAACGTTACCCAACGTAGTCACGCACCAGAGTGCGATAAGCCCGCAGCCGACTTTTCGGTCCATCCGCCACTTATTCAAGGGAATTACAATAAGCAAACCGATTAGAGTAGCAAGAAGTGTAGCCCCACTAATAATAAGGACTTTGGAGACAGCGATATCGTAGGTGACATCCGACGTGGCGATGGTTTGCGAGCCTTTGTTATGCAGAGTCATGTATAAACCGCCAAGGCCAATCCCGAGGAGGATGTTGAGCATAGGACCGCCGAAGCAGGCGCTCAAGGCCATGACTGGGTAGCCGAGACGGGCGACGGTAATGTTGGCGACGAGGTCGCCAAGGGAATTTCCGACGGCAAATACGGTAAGACCGAGGAGGGAATCGCTAATATTGAGGATGACGCCAAGGGTTTTGAGGAGGCTGACTACTTCTGTAGCTATGATCGCGATCCAGAAGATAGCGACAACGAAACCTAGAAGTGCGAGAATTGGGCGCCATGACCTTGGAGGGTGTCCCAAGGCGCTGCGGGTTCGGCGTATGCTAATAACGAGTGCACCAAGACATATCAGAGAGAACAAAAGGCCGCCTAGACTGAGAAGTAGAAAGGTGCGCGCTGTCAGATCATCGTCTATGGTGGTCCAGCCAGTTAAGGCTATGAATTGGGGACCCATAAAGAGCTGTATATATACCAGCCACAAGCACCACTCCCTTGTGGGAGCGGGCATATCAATGGGCTCTCGCACAGCTGGAAGTTCAGAGTCGTAGCGCGACCGTCCCCGTTCCGATTGAAATTTGTTGCCCTGTCTTACTGCAGCCCGTTCTGTTGCAGCCGTCGAGTCGTGAGCTTGGAGGAGCGGAGAATCTTCTGGCAGACGCACAATAGGCGCTACCGTATTTGAATCGTCGACAGAGGTCACAATAACTGGTAGGCTGCTTGAACTATCTTCAGATGGCGCAGGGTCGACAACAGGAAGTGTGATTGTCAGAAGGAGTACACTAGGAGCCGCGACGATTCCTAGAATTTTCTCCCAAACCGACTTGGCTTTCCATCCATTTAAGGTCGGGAAGAGTATGGATAAGGCTAAATGCAAGCGCGAGCGCGAGCGAGGCCACCAACTGATAGGAGACATGTGCCGACTACTCCTGTCAAACATATCTTCGTCAAGTTGTAACGGTTCAGTAGGGCTGGATGGCGCAGGAAGATGAATGCTTGGCGGTTTCAGAGATGGCGACGTTGGCACATCTTGATATGAAGGAAAAGGACTGGGTGAGTCAGGTGGAATGCTATTCTGCGGCCCCGCTGGGTACTTCGTACCCCTCGGGGACACCTGTGCGGAGCGTGAATCAGATGCCACAACCGAATAGTTTGGAGAGTTGAAGGCATTTGGCGGGGCAAGTAAATCAGAATTCTGAAGTCTGGAGTTTGGCCCTAGACCCAGACTCGGACTCGGACTTCGAGACGAACATGGACTCGGTGTAGATGACCTGGACAAGCTCGTACCAGCCTGGGGCTCGAGAGTATGCGGAGGTCGTGTGCTAAATTCCTCATCGATGGATGGCCTGCTCACGGTTAATTGGGGTTGCGCTGTGTTGCCAGCGGGAAAGAGATTGGTATCTAATCTCAATCCCATAGCATCATTTGCGGATACTGCCCGGGTGCGATTAGTTCCGTAATCGGCGGACAGGAGATTGTTAGCACGGGAGCGGCTGCTCTGAGGATGAGATGCTATGGACATATTGTCCGGTTCTGCACGGTGTCCCTGCACACCACCTGATGCATCCGAATACCTCCCAAGGTTGATCGAATGGTTCCTATTGTGACTTCTCGATCTCTGCAACGAAGATAAAACCGACTGGAATTCCAATGCGCCAACTAAACTCGGCCTGATAGGATTGAGCGTATTGCGCCTATTCATTGTAGGCCGATATATGCGCATGTTGTCTCGAATCTCTGCTAGATGGCGATTGCGGGCATCATCATCCTCATCTGCGTCTTTCCAAACCGGAACCTCGGCATTTTCCAGAGCATCAAAGTCTTCCACAGTCGCACCACGGAGAAGATTGGTCGACTCTGACGCCACCCCAGGGTCGTCCTCTTCCACTTCTTCGATATCTAGTTCCTGATTATCCGGTATATGGAAGTGAGATCGAGCCGCCATATTCCTCTCCCGTACTCGGCGGCGTCGAACTATGTACCAGTGCCATGTAACAACGAGTACAACGTAGAAGAAGTACAACGCAACCATAGCGGCAGACTCCCAAGTATGAAGGTGGCCGTCCGCTAAAAGAACCATGCTGAAACTTATTGCGATCACGAAATAGCCGACATCACGAACAAAGCTTCTGCGGGCAACTTTGAATGGGCGTACCAGCGCCATTGAGCCTGCAACCACCGAAGTTATAAAGCCTGCAGCTCCGATAAGCTCTCCAATAGCCAAGCTGCCACTGTTGGACCTCATGGCGGCAAAGGTCGAGAAAACGTCGGGGCTTCCATTTCCGAAGGCAAGGAAGGTGACTCCAGTCAAACTCTCACTCAAGCCAAGGAAGCTGGCCAACGTACTTAAATCAATGCATAGAAAATCGCTTGCGGCGATCCCGATGGTGCTAAATAGAAGGGATAACCAGAGTATGATAATAAAAAAAGCGAGTAACTTTGCATCTGCAAGGGTGCAGTAGTATAGGTCAAGGTACGAAAAGAAACCGTCTTCATGGTCCAGGCAATACGAGCGGACAAAAGCACATTGATCGTCCGTATTACGAACCTGGCGACACTGAAGCGACAATTGATATCAATAAAACTTTCTCTGTGGTAAATTCGGGAAAATAGTGGTGATTAGTACCTCTGGTTCATTCCCCCGCTTTGTTAATAGCCGGACTGGAGAGATCGAAACGCCATCAGCGGTCGAGGAACTGCTCCGTTGATCTAATCCGAAGCTGAATACCGCAAGGACAATGAAGACGACGAGAGACCAGTAGAATGGCCTAACAGAGTATTGACGCCTTCGTTGAACCGAAATTCGAGGAAACATCGACGTCAGTTCTTCAAGCATGGTGAATGATGTGATGGGGTCATCGTGGGCGCGGAGTCGAAATGTAGCAGAGGAGCGAAGGTCGGTCAGCCACGAGTCAAGAAGGGGTCGGTAGATAAAACAGGAATAGAAATAAGAGGAGGGATAGTCTAAGTCTAATAGGCAGCAAAGAAACCCAAAAAAACAAGCACGGCAGTGGATACAGATATCAATGCAAGAAGCAGACTCGATAGTTGTTGATTGGAAGCCGCTGGCCTTGCACATGTTGATGTCACAGCCCAACCCGGTGGTGGCTGTGCAGCGAACGTTACCGTATTACACGTACCGTTAAGATGGACGTCCGTAATTAGTGTGGCGTATAATAATGTCACGTGGTTATTTAGGCCTCAGGTTGCTGTGGCACGGCTGAACCACACTTTCTTGTTTGTTGACGTTCCCTCCCGTTTGTTCGCATCCCGACCACACCTCCTCGACACACAGCGCTCGACAAGATCATGCTCTTATTGCAAATTTATCGCTAATCAGTCGCTTGCTTAAACTTTCGCATCTTTCGTTTACCACTGACTACCGCGACCGTAGCCGCGTCGCGAGGACTGCGTTCGGTGACTTTGGAACATCCCTTACTCTTGTTCGGCATCATCCACCATGCCCCGCGTCTCAAAACATCGCCGTTCTAATGGCGCCGCCACACCCCAGAAGAATTCTCCTCTAAAGTACGTCTTCGCTTTGGATACATGAATGTCCGGGTAAAGGTGACACTAATAAAATCGATTAGGATCCCGTTGAACGATGATATCGGGGAGAAGGCGGCCCGTATCGGGGCTCGGCAGGCTTTACATGACCGGCAGATGGACCAGATCAAGGCCGCCGTGAAGACGCCCATGCCACCACGCAGATATACCACCTATGACCGATCGAGCATGAGTCCCGGCACACCCCAAGGCTCTGGTCACCGCAGCCGTGATAGCGATCCTCACGGACGCCGAGGAGTTACCCCGATGAAGCGTGTGCCAATTTTGGCCAACTTTGAAGAGTGGATGAAAATGGCAACTGACAACAAAATCAATGCGACGAACTCGTGGAACTTCGCGCTGATTGACTATTTCCATGACATGTCTCTCTTGAAAGAGGGAGACAGTGTGAACTTTCAGAAAGCTAGTTGTACATTGGATGGCTGCGTGAAGATCTACACAAGTAGAGTTGATAGTGTGGCTACAGAAACTGGGAAGCTTCTGAGTGGTTTGGCCGACAGTAGGGACAAGAAAGCACGCGAAGCCGAGGCTGAAGGGGAAGGGGCCGAAGACGAGGAGGAAGATGGCGAGGAGGGTACTAGTAGAAAATCTCGGAGAAAGGTACAGTCTAAATGAATCCTGAAGAGTACTTTGAGCCTGCTTAGCTAACAAATATTTCTAACGTCCAGCGTGCGCATGAAGCCACACTCGCTCCGTCGTTTGCTTCACTACAGCTGAAAAAGTTCGAGCTGGAGTTCTCGGTTGACCCGCTGTTCAAGAAGGCATCTGCAGATTTTGACGAAGGCGGTGCCAAAGGCCTACTTCTCAACCATCTGGCAATTGATGGACATGGCCGTATCGTATTCGATAGTAGTGATGATGCTGTGGAGGCTTCCAAGGATACAGACGACACAAGAGCAGAGTCAGAGCTTCCCGAAGATTCCGAACCGCCGCAACCCCAGTCCACGGAACAGCCTCGTGATGATTCATTCGATGCGGGAGTCGAAATAGATATTGCTCCACTCGCCAGCAAATTCTTCCCGGATCTCGAGCGACTTGAAGCGCAAGATATCTGCCCTTCTTTGAAAAATTTCGACCTTGGCGACCCTACTGGCTCATTAGATATCCCTCTCTTAAAGGCGCCGGAAGAGTGGCGGCATGACAAAGGAAATGAAGAGGGACACCCGTCAAATGAAGCCTCTGGTATTATGCTAGATGATGACAATGCTGTCGGGTTCGATGATGACGATGCCAGCTTGGCTGGCTTCGATCTCAGTGATGATGCTGGGTTCGGTGGAGGAGGAGAGGCATGGGCTCGTGAGGCCGCCCTAGAGCCCATGCTCAAGGTGCACCGCGTTGATTTAGAAGGCGAAGAGTCTCGGGATGGAGAAGATCTCGACAACGATGATGCTTATGCTATATCACTCAATCATCAGCCAGGCAGCCGGGACCACGAAAATATCCTCAGCTATTTTGATAACGCATTGCAAAAGAATTGGGCCGGACCCGAGCATTGGAAGATTCGTCGAATCAAGGAGAATGCTGCTACGAATGCCGCGAGTGCGGCGCCAAAACAACGAAAGGAAAAGGAACCTTTTGAGATTGACTTTTCTGCACCACTTGACCCGGCTGTGGCTGAAGTGATCTACACCCCAGCAAGCTCCAACTCTACGATATCGCTCCCAAAGACGCAATGGAAAACAAAGGGCCGCAACCTACTTCCCGATGATAAACACTTCAACTCGCGGCAACTACTTCGTCTCTTCCTGAAGCCAAGAGCGCGGATGGGTTCGAGAAAATTGACAGGGCCGCGAGGCTTCAATCAACGACGCCAGGAACAAACCTCCGGTAATGGAGACATGGATGAGGCATTCTGGGCCAACCACAAAACAGAGGATACCGGTGACGACGAGGCGGCCCCTGGGGCTTATGATGCCAACTTCTTCGCAGATGATGATGGCCTTGCCTTCCCGAATGGCCTAGGCATGGGCGACGATGACGATGACAACCTCCCATTCGCGGATGCCAGGGAGATGCTGTCCCCTCCGCCCGGTGGGACTCTGGGCACATCCGCCGAAGAAAATGGCGGGGCTACAGGTATTACAGCCTTACTGAACATGGTTGGCGCTACTCCTGGTGGCGGCTTCGGATCACAATTAGTTACACAGGGCGCTCGGAGAGCACGACCTGATTATGTTGCTTACGCGCGGGTCGCCAAGAAGGTTGATGTCCGTCGGCTCAAAACAGAGATGTGGAAAGGCATGGGTGAGAGACTAATATCCGCAATGGACTCCGACTCTCAACCTGGCAATGTGGCCAACCCGCCGGAAGAACACCGTGAAACCGATGACGATGGTCCTCCAACCCCAACCCCAATGCATAAACGCCCAAGGCTGTCGTCGGACCTGGAAGATCCCAAGAACAATGGGCACCTACGTTTCACTCAAATAATGAACTCTCTCAAGTCTGTCTATGCTCCTGAGACGCTGCGCGATATTAGTACATCATTTGGCTTCATTTGCCTGCTTCACCTAGCCAACGAGCAAGGGCTCATGCTGCAAAATGACGATGAGATGAGTGGTCTGGGGCTAGGCAATTTAGAGGAGATCTTCGTCACGAAGGATGTAAATGCTATTCTTGACGAAGCGGCGGCCTGAAACGAGCGGCTTGTGTTGAGTTGGTGAATTTGCAGTGAATTTGCAGTGAATTTTCGATATCCGCAGTGTTGTTTTTGGTAAGCCTTGGTCTTGAGGAGTGACACGAGAGGCTATATGAGTGATGTCGTTCGGATTTATTTTTCAGGAGTTTCGTGGGAGTTGGCTTAGTAGGCCGTTTTTTTATTAGGTTATGGCTCTGATGCTTTCTGGTTTCAATATCCAATTCTCATTGTCCTTTTCATATGCAATAGAACGGGTCTAGAGCTAGCACAGCATGTACACACGTATGATGAAACATACACTCCGACGTAGGTACGTATTCCGCGGAGGTATGCGCGTAGCATCATTTGACACTCAAAACCTACTTTACATCAACCAGGATCTAGCGGGACTACCCTCTTTTGACCTCGTACTTTCTACAATAAACACAGGCAGGAAAAAGAGAAAGGAATATTGGTAGATAGATCCTGATATTGTCTTGAGAATATAACTCGCTCAGTGTTATAACTTAACATTCGGCATCAGCATAAAAGACAAACATAAAATAAGCATAAATAAATGAATGGAGTGGTTGCTGTTGGAATTGCCAGTCTTTGCCAGAGCAACGGCAGTAAACGACCAAGAAACAAAGTATTAGGTATATTGTGCTATATCAGTCGCCCAAGTCCAGTCAGGCTTCCGTCAGGGTTCGGTTACATAGAATATATACGCCAGTTGAACTCCAAAAGTACAAAGTGTGTTTGTGATCCAATTTGAGCGGGCTTCCCGGGACGCGCTAGGCTATTATACACCGGAATCTTTCAACGTAGGAGGCAGCTAATAGGGTTTCAGTTGAGTGGCATATATGCCCTCTTAACATACTGCCTATTAGCGGGCCCCAGAGGGAAAGCTCGGTGTCATTGGACTAGTATAGGCGCCAGGAATCGGCACAGCTTCGTATGTTCGCTCTCCTGGCGCGGCACTCATGTGCTCCTGGGGAGGAGACGGTGTAGGGATCGGAGCGGAAAATTCTCCCTGCTCTGTCTTAGGGGTTGCGTTCTGCACACGAATGGGAGGCGGCTGGAGTTGGAAAGTTGGCTTCGGCCTGGTTGGAGAGACAGGAGTTGCAAACTGCGTATTCGTCCACTCCCCTTTCTCCGCTTGGGAGTAGGGATCCTGCATTGTCGTCGAGACCCATGGTGATTTGGGGCTTAATGGGAACCCTGGGGTGTTGGGGGCGGACTGGATTTGTAGCTGAGCTAGGTACAAGTCTGACCGGGCCTTGTCTCGGCGACCCATGGACTTAGCGAGCTTGCGCTTGGACCAGAATCGGTAGAAGACAACGGCATAGATAAGAACAACCAAGACTTCGACAACAATTTCAATAACGGCGCAGACTAGCCCCCAGTCCTATTGAGTATTAGCCACTATTCCGGAAATTTGATGTTTATCGAGTCTCACCTGGAGGCGGCACAAGAGCGGATAGTCAACATCATTAGCGTATACTGTTGCTCGCTGGTTACCTGTCACACACGACCAACCCCAAAGATCCTGGTTGCCTCCATTGGACTTGGAATTCTGGTAGATGGCTGCAACCACAACCCACAAAATGAGGGTAAATCCGAAGAAGCCGACAGAAAATATCGAGTAGTAGACCGCAACTTTTTCTGCACGCTTATAGCCACGTTTTCTCCAGGTCCAGAAAACACCCAGACAAGCGAGTAGCGACAAACACGCAGTTGCTAGGAGCAAGTATTGTGGCCATGGGTTGGTACCGACGGCCCAAGCTGTGGTGCCACTCCTTGAAGGTAGGTTCTTGGTCGCGTGGAAGATGGTCAAAGTCGTACATAAAATGGCAAGAACAATTATACTACAACCAAAGCTGACGAAGCGAAGGAAGATCTTGGCCACTCTAACACGCACTTTGATAGCCTGGTGTCCGGGCGGAATTGGTCAATAATGTACGATGGCGGGGCAGTATCAACTTTGACTCACCAGATCTTTTGCGTTTGCCTTCTCTGCTTGCTTTTCTTGCTTCTCTAGATTGAACTCTTCACGAAAAGTTGGGCTAAGCGGGTTTAATGTGCGGGCCGGTGTCCCCGGTACTTTTAACGCACTTTTCAGTGGTGACACCGGTACAGCATGATGAGGCACATGCTGCGTAGGGTCTTGTGTGCTCACATAGCCAAAACCAACGTCAGAGACATCGGGTTGGTTCCGAGACTGGCTCGGAGGGTCTGCAAATGGAGACCTGCTGGTTTCCATGGCAGTAGGCGAGTGAATTGCAGTTGCTTCCGCGAACCGGGCAGACCGAGGGCTGGTCATTGGAGCGGCCACTGGGTCAGGAGAGTTTTCCTGCACTCCGCTTGGCATTTGTTGATGTGATGATGCCGTTGACCTTCGGTTATTGTTTCCAACAAAATCCGTTGGTGAAGTTGGTTCGTAAGTCTGGGGCGAATCGTTGCAGCTGTTATTCGAGGTGGACATTGTGCTTGCGTGTTAAATCGCGACTCGACGGTGATGACGAATAAATGCACAAGATATGACGAGAGCCGGCTCTCGACGTAACCTCGACTTTCTTTTTATGGCTTTTTTGTAGTGTTTGGTGGCTGGAATCAGCGCTGATTACCGAAACAAACGGAATGAGTCCACTTCAGACGAGCGCGAACCGGGCTGGAAGTAGAGCGTCGTTCTATGTAAGGCGTACTAGGTCATTGATATACAACGACCCCATAAACTGCAAAGAGATCGTCAGTTATGGGAATTTCTCCCAAAGAGATGGCGGACGAGAGGCTTTGAGGATGACCGGGGACTCGACGTTTGACGCACCTCCTTCAGTAGAATAATTGGGCTGACAACCAGACAAGATGCACTCTGCGACATTGTCAGCTTAAGCTTCGAGTAAAGGGTTTCCGAGGACAGACCTTAGACAAGAATCCTATCTACCTGTGTTTTTTTATTTACTATAACTGGTCTGTGTTTGTGTCCTTGGAAATGGAGCGGCGAACCCTGCGCTGCTTATACCAAGATGGAGACCAGTGGTCAAACCTGGAAAAGAATGTTGCGTTGGAAGTAAGAGGAGAGACAGAGAAGCGACAGAATCCTTGGGAGCAGCGTGAGTGCATCGATTATCTATGATGGGCGGCAGTCACGCTCTCTCAGCGGGTGGGGAGGGGCTCGCCCTCTCGAACGACGTCCCATCACCCGTGAGAAATGGGAGGTAAGCGCCCAGCAATATGTTGAGAAACCAGGATGGCGACAATGATTGGGCGAGATCGAAGTCAAAAGCTGGCCAGGAACACGACCAAATGGTCAAACTGGCTGGGAGAGGTGGTCGAGCTGGGGTGTGACTGGATGGTTGGCACATCACTAGAGCAGCAGTCCTGGTCTATCACAGTGGGGATTGCCTGAAGCCAACCAAACTCCACACGACAGCAAGCCGTTTAACCTCTTAATCCTCACGCTTTCCATGCAGGTCTGTCACCCGAGGAGCGAATGAGCGCCGCAGAATGGCAAGTCTGCTGTCTTTGCTTAGCGCCGGGGTTGATCTCCTCCCGGGCAGCCAACCATACAACGTGTAGAACCGCCGGCCAACGTGGAGGGTGAATCGGTCGATTTCTTGGTGAGGCAATTCGAGATGGCAGATTGGAAGACGGAATCTAAAGATAGACCGGGACAGAGAGTGGAAGTCGAGAATCTGAAGCTCGAACCCGAAGGGTCCCGACTCCCGAACGTCGAGGGAAGACCTCAGCTGAGAGCAGAGGAAGCAAAGAGACTAAATTGCGGAGTCGCTGCCTGAGGCGAGCTACCCTGGTTTCCTGCAGAATCCTTCACACTTCAATGTGAAGTTTCTTTGTTTGCCTGCAGATAGACCACTCAAGCTCTCGACGCACAAATTGCACAATACCCAACCCAGACTGTCTTTGCGAGGAGATCTATTACAACTGCGCAAGGTTGAACACCCGTGTAGAGCTTCCCTCATGGTCAGAGCAGCTCCCCAAACAATGCCCTGCGATTGCTGAATGGATCAGCCTTCAAAATACCTGATTTCTAACTGATCCATAGATATATATATACCAAGGTCATGGATGGTAGAGGGTAATTGTAGTGTGGCCGCGGGTGATGCTTGAAAGCAACAGCCAGGCCAGTACAATCACGATTTCTTCTCACATCTGCTGAAAGGCAGGCTTTGGCTTGCTCATCGATCTTTACCAAGCATAGCCCAGGGGCTTCCAAGGCGCAGCTGGCAAGGAACCCACCAATCATTCCCAGGCCAGATGAGCCCCTGCCTGGAGACCAAGCCCTGGTTCTCTGTCAGGGCCTAGTTGTTATCCCCCGACGCCCGAGTATCGTGATGGTTAAAAGTGTAATCATTGGCGCAAAATATTCTCGCACTTGGGCACTATCATCACGCGTGATATCCCGGTGAATATTAAACAGCCATGAAGATTTCATGTGTGTTGATGTATCGACAGCCCTGCAAGCACAGCCACCCTCCTGCCTGAGGCTAATTGTCCAACAGGTGCAACCAAGGTTTCAGCGTCAAACACCGCCTCATTCTTCTTTCCCCCATCAGCAGGTGTCGGATGGACCCGCTTCAAATTTGAGTCATGGATTTAGTACCGGAGACTCGAAGGCTCAGGTCAACCGGTGTTTGATCCAGCCAATAGCAGGTTTTCCTGGGGTGCCTGTGATGGACCTTCCTTTTGGTTGCTAGGAAGCCGACGCTATTCATGCCCAGGTCAATGAGTTATACCTGTTTAAAGTGTTGAGGGTTGGCATGAACGCGAACGCACTTCGGCTGGAGCCTAGAGCCCAAGGAGCCAGGCTCCAGGTCGCAGCTGTATAATTATCATCCAGGAGGGACCTCTCCTTTAAAAATCCATGCTTAATGATTTCCCTGAGCTTTCAGAACTTTACGGCCCCATTAAATGCGCCTTGAGACAAAAAGAAGAGAAACGTGCTATTATTCTTACCAGGCGCTTTTACTGGCGCTGTCTTACGCCTCCTGGTTCCTGGCTGGGAATAGTGCTATTATTCAGAGCGGCCATACCGTAATTTACATCCGGCTGCCAGCGAGCGCAACGCGGTGCAGCGGTGGGATGTGCAGAGCCGCGTGTAACTTTTGTCACGGAGCGTATTTGGCGAGACGCTCCAGCCACTTCCTTCCTCGTGTTTGAATCAAGCGTCCACCTGTCCATCGTCACTCCAGTCCGGACCACCGCCTCCTCTTCCTTTTCCCTCTTCTCTCTTTGCTTTCTTCTTGCGCAAGAGCTTGATTCGTGAGTCTGTGACTGCTGTCTTTCGGTTTCACCTCAGGCATTATTCTCCTGCTGCCCTGGCTTCTCTTCTGATTGCTCTCCACACCCGCCGCTTTCTCCCCTTTTGCGCCTTTCAGAAAACGCCATTATCTGCAAACTATCCGGACCCGACGCAGACCCATCTTGCCTCGACCCGAACGGTCCATCTCATTCTTCAACCAACGTACTATTGTGCCGAGTCACCAATCCATGCCTCGCAGCTCACCACCAGTCCCAATCACAGCTCACTTTCCACCATCTGCTGCCTCCCTGATACTGTAATTCTCCATTTTGTCTTCCACCCCCGTTGTCACTTCTCAGAGCTTCCTGTCCATTACCAGGCACGCATGTCAACACAGCCTCTTTATTCCCACTCATGCCTGATACCAAGTACCTTGAACTCCGTTCGCAATAATTTACTTATCCATTAACCGTGTCCAACAGACGGAGAATCGCAAGGATATCCTCTTAAATATCGCCGGTTCGCAGCTTTCTTTGCAGCCTAGTTGACCAACCCGATCTCGCCGCGCATCTGCCACGATATTTTGAAACCTTCCCACCCGATGGGTTGAACCCACGACACGCTCTGATCGAGTGGAGAGGAAACAATTTCAATCCTGTTGGCGAGGCTGATTCGCTATTTTTACCCATCCACAAGGCCCATACTCTTGTTCTGGCCCCAAGTTGTCTGACGAAGGCTGAACTCCCCCAGTCAGCTTGCGCCACACTCGGGTTTTGGTGAGCGCCCCACGCGACAGCGCCTCTCTGAGGCATCCTCCCCGTCCCCTTGCCTTCGCTCACTCTTTTCGAATTCCTTTTTCTGTACATTCATAGTCCTTTATTCTCATTCCCCCCAAATTCAATCAATGTCACCCAAGCCGTCAATCATTTCGATCTTGTCAATAGGCCTTCATCCACGCTAACATGATCTCTACCCACCTAGCTCCTCCATCTCAGCATCATTCACATTATCGAGGTAGCGTGAAGGACCCGTTACCCATGGCCGCGTTGATGCAATCAAACAACGAGCCCGTCGCAATCTCCAACCCTTTAACTGCGCCGTTGAACCCTATAACTGCAAGTTCCTCGGAGCCTGCTGCCTTCCTGAAACAGTCCAAACCAGACTCGAACCTTACCTCTATTGCTAGCGCCGGATTAAACGTTACGCGATCTAAAGATTCCATACCTTCCATGTCAACAACAACACCAAACTCCGGCTCCACGGAGCGGGCCCCCGAGTCTCACAGAGAGCCAGACCAGAACAGCTCGCAAGTTGCGCGAGAAGCCCTCGGTGCAAGTGAGAAACAACAATCTGGCTCCGTCAACGACTCGTTAGCTATGCACTCCGATCATATGCAAGTGGACTCACACACTGTCCCAGGCGAGACAGGCGAGTCCGTCTTCAACGCCACTGAAAACGGAACATCTTTAATGAATACCTCGACCGTAGCGAGTCCTGGACCCATTGACGACACCATTTCACAGGATGGTGACCAATCGCGTCATCAGGATGACAGCGACTTGCACCAAGACAGCAGTAACAAGGCGTTCTCGTACCCTATGCCTACCGGGGGGTTCAACGACCCACGGCGTGGCCTCAGCTTACCGAGTTCTGGCTTGAATAAGGCTGGCCAACGGTCCCCATCGGCTAAGAAGCATCGTTGCCCGTATTGCGCAACGGAATTTACAAGACACCATAACCTTAAGAGCCATCTGCTCACGCATAGCCAAGAGAAACCGTTCGTATGCACAACCTGCCAGTCGCGCTTCCGGCGACTCCATGATCTCAAACGGCACCAAAAGCTCCATACTGGCGAGAGACCTCATATATGTCCAAAATGTGGACGCAGATTTGCCCGTGGTGACGCTCTTGCTCGCCACAACAAAGGCCAGGGGGGTTGCGCAGGGCGTAGAGCAAGCATGGGAAGCTACGCCGGCGAGGACGAGTATGGCGATGCAGCTGCAGGCGCGGAAGATACAATGGAGGGCCTCGTCTACGCTGAGCCGGAACGCATGGACGAGGAAGATGAGCGCCGTTACAACATGCCTAGCATCAAGAAGCATGATATGCCGGCAGATTCTGTTGCACGTTCAAACAGTGTGAGCAGCTATCAAGCGCGTCAACCCAGTACATACCCTCCGATCGCTGCGAGCAGACCTTCACCGGGCGGACTTTACCCTCCTCCAACAAGCCATGGTGCTTCTAGTGGCTCCCCTTCTCCGGTATCTCAGCCCGGCAACCTGACATTTCCTCCGGCAAATTCATCTTCTGGAGCCTCGGCATTTGCGCCTCCAAATATGACAGAAAGTCCAAAACCGCTCTCGCCAAATGCCCTGCCTCCTCACCAATTGGGACACGGTCCCGAAAACAGTATACAACTGCATCGTCCTCACTCTCCGGGGATCACACACTCATTCTCCCAACCGCAATATAATCGACCAGGTCACTCCCAGGCACCTCTCTCGGCCAGTGGCCACCCTGCGTCAAGTTTGGGTCTTCCACCACCTCAGCCTGGCGCTCCTCAGCTCCCCCCACCGCCTGGTTTGGGTTCATCTGAACCTCGCTTTTCCCTTCACGCGCAGAATTCCGTACAAGCACCAGGGGCTACCACTAAACACACGCCATCGCATAGCCATTCGAGCAACCACGGCGGCCCATTATCATCTAAGGCGATACCTGAAACAGCCTCAACCAACAACGTTCATCCCTCTCATGATCCGAGTCTTTTCGATCAACAACGTGATCGAGAGGAAAAGCTTTGGGACTATATTCGCTCCGTCCACGATGAATTAAGCGGGCTTAGATCGGAAGTAGCCGCCCTCAGGGCTCAAATGGCATCTTCGAGTGTGAATGCCTTGACTACACCTAATCCTGGTATTACACAACCATCAACCGACACAGGAACCGCAAGCACGGTACATCGGTGAATTTTACGTTAGCCTTTTTTCTCACTTGGTTTTCCCTTTGGCCCTGCCGTGTTTAGCGACTACCGTCTCAAGGCTCTGGCCGTAACCTAATACATTTCCCCGACAACTGCCACTTCTTTTTGCGCCGTGATATATATCCTTCATTCTATCTTGACGCCACTAACGACACGATTTTATTGCTAATGGAGGGCTTTTTTTTTGGTTCTGATCGGGTGTTCGTATATTATTGCAAAGTCTCGGGTTCCTGGGAGACTCGCCTTTCTCATTCCTGTTTATGCACCGAGGATATATTTATGGATAGCGATATTTGTATGGTGTAAGGGGAAATCTTGTTTGTGTCTTTCCCTCCTTTAGCGGACTGTGATATCATTCCCATAACTCCTGTATAATCCTCACCGCAATCTTTTTATTGTAACGTTCTACATATTCCATGAGGTGTGGGGGAGTTGGATTTGCAAACCAAATCCACAGTTGATCGTACTACTAGCACTTGACGCACGTGGTATGGATGAGTGGGCCCGTTTGTTGATGTCCATGCAATGAAGTGAAGTGTAATAAATTGGAATCCTTGCGGCGTCTCTTCCATGTCGTAGGCGAGGACAGGTCTATATCCCCAATGTAGGCGGTATCACTGAGAGACTGAACCCGCGGTGCCAGGCAAAGCCAACCATGGTTGCTGTCCTTGAGCGTTCCATTGCTGGAGTCTAGATCACTTGATTCGGGACCCCAGGGTATGCCACTGAGGCGGCGAGGGCGGTTTCTGCGGGATGAAACCTGCAAGAATTTTACGGGATTGAATGACCTGCAACCGAAATTGAACAATGAACGGGCTCTAAAAACGAAGTGATACGAAGAAAGGTAGAAGAAGTGGCTCTTATTCGTACGTAGTCGACGGGAGTATGAGGGGGCAGCAATAACGGGCGGGGTCGGGACAGCGATAATGAACATCCTTGAGGTATTAAGTAGTTTAGTCCAGCGCTATGGAAATTTTCTTGATAGACATCGCGAAAAGGCCCTTTCAACTTCTCATTCATGGAATCACTCCCGAGAAAAATAGATGGCACAAGAAGTCGGACCAGCTTGGCTGGATCCAGTCTCTTAGCCCAGGTGGGCTGGACGCTTCAATGACGTATCGATGAGTACTGACACTTCATTGAAAAAAATAAGCTGTCGACTTTCTGCGCCGGAGCTTCACCTCTCTTCACCTCTCTTCACCTCTCTTCACCTCTCTTCACCTCTCTCCACCTTCATTTTGTCCTTAGACTGCCCCTGCCGCCCGAGGGAGGACTCGACCTCAAACCAAGGCCCAAGCTTCCTCATTCGATTGTTAATTGCGCCGCCTTGTGAATATGACGGTTTACATAGCGTCCTTGTAACTCGCCCCTCTGCTTACCTTGGTCCATGCCTCCTTGCTAATACAGATAGGTTTCTCCCGTATACAGTTAGCTTTCGTCCCCCAGACTCTCCTCCGACCCCCCCGCCGGAGACTGTGCCGAAAAAGCAGGTTCCCGACACTGTTTCGTCTGCCCCCAGCCCTGCAGTTAGCTTGTTTGAGAGGCGAAAAGAGGCTCCCAATGTTGGTCTCACTCCGGGCGCGACTACAGACCATGAAAACATCTTCACTGCCGACCTGAGGAAGGCTGACAACAACCAGTCTGAATACCCATTCCCCAAGCCTGGCGATTCTTACAACCATGAAGACCTGAGAGAAAGTGAAGCCCACTCTCCCGCATGGGGCGTCAGGACCGCACTGAACCAACCCAAGCCGCAGTCGGCGTTTCTGGCGTCCCCATCAATTCTCAGGCACCAAGAGCCGCTGGCTTCTTCAACAGAGAACCCTCCGCCGAAAGCACACGGTTCGACATCGCAACCGCCGGTCAGGCACTTAAGGAAACCATCTATTCGTGCCCATAACCGGAAACCTTCGTTCTCCGAAACTGAATGGAAAATTACAGCAGCTGAGCAGGGTAATGGCGGCTTGCGCAACGCGGTGCGGGCCGCGGCAGAGAGCGGGCAGTTGGAAGACAAGGTGTGGGTGGGCACACTGGGTATGCCGACCGATGCCTTAACGGCATCTACCAAATCGATGATCTCCGAGAAATTAGAAAGCGAATACGATTGCTTGACAGTTGACATTAGCGACGGCGATTTTGACGGTCATTATACACATTTTTGCAAAACGATTCTCTGGCCGGTATTCCACTACCAAATACCTGATAACCCTAAAAGTAAAGCCTACGAGAACCATTCATGGGTCTACTACGTCAAGCTCAACAAGGTCTTTGCGGAGAGAATTGCTCGAAACTGGAGGCGAGGAGATACTGTCTGGGTTCAAGACTATCACCTGCTCCTTGTCCCAGCGATGTTACGCAAACTCCTCCCGGACGCTCAGATCGGTTTCTTCCTACATGTTGCGTTTCCATCGTCAGAAGTATTTCGGTGCCTTGCACCCCGCAAGGAGCTCCTCGATGGAATGCTTGGAGCAAATCTTGTTGGTTTCCAGACAGAGGAATACTGTCGACATTTCCTCCAGACTTGTAGCCGAATTCTTAGTGTTGAAGCCACGAATGATGGCATTCAATTGGAGGATCGATTTGTGAATGTGGCCAAATTCCCAATAGGTATCGATCCACTCTCGTGGGATAAACGCCGTAAAGCAGCAGATGTCGAACAGTGGGTGAAGACGATATCTGATCACTATGCGGGGAAGAGGCTTATCGTCGCCCGCGACAAGATTGACGCGGTGCGTGGTATTCGGCAGAAGCTACTGAGCTACGAACTCTTCCTCAATACCCACCCTGAATGGCGCGAAAAGGTTGTTTTGGTTCAAGTCGCTACTAGCACGACCGAGCAACCGGAGCTTGAAGCCATGATCTCTGATATCGTCATGCGGATAAATTCAACACATTCTACGCTTGCTCACCAGCCTCTCGTTTTCCTTAAGCAGGATCTTGCCTTCCCGCAATATCTGGCTTTGATATCCGTGGCGGATGCGATGATGATTACCAGCCTGCGCGAGGGTATGAATCTCACGAGCCACGAATTCGTCTATTGTCAGGATGGGAAGTACGGCCCCCAAAGATACGGTTCCCTGATTCTCAGTGAGTTTACCGGGAGCGCATCTGTATTCGGCCACCATGCGTTACTTGTTAACCCGTGGGACTACCACCAATGTGCGGATGCTATCCTTACGGCTCTTACGCGCAGCGAAGAAGAACGTCAACAGGTATGGAAGCAACTTAACCAAGCGGTGCTTCAGAACTCGACCTCCAACTGGGTGAAGTCGTTCAGCGAGACATTAAGTCGCGTCTGGCATGAGCAATCATCCCGCGAAATCATGGCCGTTCCCCGACTTCCGATGAATAAGCTTGAAGAAAGATACCGACAGTCGAAGCGGCGGCTCATAATCTTGGATTATGAGGGAACATTGGCGTCTTGGGGATCTCCCAGGAGCATTATCGTCACAACACCCCAGCGAGCCATCACGACACTAGCAGACCTGACCGAGGACCCGAAAAATGTGGTGTACGTGATGAGCGCGCGTATGCCCGAAGAGCTAGAGCGACTCTTCCGAATGGTTTTCGGACTGGGTCTCATCGCAGAAAATGGATGTTTCGTTCGCGAGCCATTCTCGGAGACGTGGTTGAAGCTGACGAACCAAGCGCAGACCGACGCCTGGAAGACAGCTGTAAAGCAGATCCTTGAGTATTACCAACAGCGCGCAGAAGGAAGCTGGATCGAACAGCGCCACTGCTCGCTCGTCTTTCACTATGAAGCGGCCGAGGATCGCCCGGCGGCAGCTCGTTTGGCCTCAGAGTGTGCGGACCACATCAATGATGCATGCGCCAATCAAGGAGTGCACGCTCTTCTGGTTGATGGTGTACTGGTAGTTGAAGCAAAGAGCACAAACAAGGCGTCGGCAGCAGAAGTTGCCTGGCGGTCTTGCTTGAAGCAGACGGACGGCGTTAGTCGACCGGACTTCTTGCTTGCCATTGGCGACAGTCGTGATGACGAGCCGGTCTTCCGATGGGCGAACAAACTGGAAGGCGCGCATGCGGTCGGTTACGCGATGACGGTAACACTGGGGTCGAGGAGCACCGAAGCGCGCGCGACCCTGACACAGGGAGTTGCTGGTATGTCGTCCTGTTGACATTTCTACCAATTAAGGGCTGCGATCATATGCTAACCGGGATAATAGGTGTTTTGACATCTCTAGAGAAACTGGCGAAAACGTCGACCGATCAAGGTGTTTCAACGTAGATAACAAAATAGACCTAAGGTACCTTGTATTCACCTGAAAAGGGCATCATTATAGAATCCTTACATATATTCATAGCTAGAACCTATGAGAATGGGAAATGAGGTTGAGGTTGGCTGCGATAGCCGAATGAACCAAAGCTCGGACAAGGAGAGAGAGAGAGAGAAGAGCCGAGGTCTACCGCAGCATAACCTAGTTAAAAGAGTCTGCTTTTCCGCCATTGCTTTTCGGTACAATAATTACACCACGTTCATCTTTAACTCAATCTCTAGAATAGACACTTTAACTTTCCATTCCCACAATGAACGCCGGAACCGCCCACGGTGCCACATTCGAAGAGGCCGTCCATGTATCGCCCCTCGGCCAGAACCGGTACTCCGCATTTCTACAGAAAGCCTTCTGTATCGGCACAGGCATGTTTTCCAATATCTACAAAACGATATCAGAACTCCTATTTTCCCTACAGTTTACAGGCCTTATATCAATCATAATGCTAATACTAAATAGTCCCTCATGGCGGCTACACAAGCGCAGTCCTATACCGCCTCGCGCTCGTGCACTTCGCATCCACCCACCCAGACCTATACAAGGGCGAACCGGCAACCCCGATATCCATGCACCTGTCCTTCCTAAGGCGCACCGCCGCAGGTCCCGCGAGATTTCGCGTGCACGATATGAAGCTAGGAAAGCGGACTAGTTCGATTCATGTTGAGCTTCTGCAGTCGAAAGACCAGTCTTCATCGAGCGGCGCAAGCACCGACAAGGGCGAGGAGGGAATGGAAGTGAAGGTCGCGGGCTATATTACCGTTAGCCCGGCTAGCGCAGAGGTTGGGGTATCCGCGAAGACGGAGTGGGAGCTTGAGCCGAAGCCTGTTGCTGGGAGTGCGAATGGCGGCGGGGTAAATTTGCGCCAACTCGGCGAGACGGGCCAGGACGAGGCATGGACGAGACAGGACTCACCGTTTGCTGAGTTCCGGAAGGCGACGACGCAGGTTGAGATCTTTGGTGTTGATGGGACACGAGGGAAGCGCCGGAATGGGATCGTGGATCAGTGGGCTCGACTAAAGCCGGAGGGCGAGGTGACCCGGTGGAGCAACGAGGGCGTTGTGTTTCTGACGGATATGTTCCCCATGGCGTTGGATGGGTTTGATAACATGGCGACTGGAGCAGAGTCGGAGTCTGGGGGTGCTGGCCCGACTGCGAATTTCTGGTTTCCGACTGTCACGCTGAGCATTGATTTGAAGAAAAGGTTACCGGCGGCTGGGGAGGAGTGGCTGTATAGTCGCGTTGTGACCAAGACGGTGCGTGATGGGAGGACAGATTTGGATGTTACAGTCCTGGATGCGAAGGGCGAGGTTGTGGCCTTGAGCACGCAGATTGGGTTGGTGGTGAGTGCAAGCCGGAATATTGGGAAGCGCGCCCGAATTTAGATGTGGGTATAGACTCAGACTCTATAGACTGTTATCAATATATACAAATATATACAGCTATTTCCAAAAGATTAATCTATACTACAAGACGCTCTTCTCAGTTAACAACCAAAATGCCATTGCATCGACCCTGATCTTCCCATCCTGAACAGCCTGCGCCCTCACCCAGAGCTTCTTGCCCTGTTTCGCGAGTACCTGCACTCTAACCTGGATTTCACCAGGCACTGAAACAGGCATCTTGTATCGCACATCCAATTGTGACGTGAACATCTTAGACCGGATCCTTCCACGAGATTCTGCAGATTCGGAGCCACTTGCCGCAGTTTGAGGAGCGGTAACACCATGATGCTCACCAGCCTCCGGCGCGTAAAGTGTAACACCTAAACTCATCGCCTCGTCAATCACTGTGGCCAGAACCCCGCCGTGCGCAGTCTGCGGGTGGCCGCAGACTCCTGGGCGAGCAAGCTGGAGGATCATAACCAGATCAGCGCCGGGAACAGGAATTAGCTGCGGGGGAGCAGTCGGAGAGGGCCATGCCGGAGGCTGGGAAGGGAGCGGAGACTGAAGATGAATGAGTCGGAGAGTGCGCACGGTTGGGATTGTGGCCGGGGACGAAAGAGTTTGGGCGAAGAAACCATCCTCGCCGGTGGCTGGTTTGGGGTGGCGGGAGTATGTAGGGATCGAGACGTATCCAGGGAGAGGAAGGGATTGATTGGTGGACATGATTCTTCTTTGCCCCCCTCTTTTTTTTTTTTGGTACTTTTACTATGAGTTTATTTTCTTGGTTAATATTTTATAATTGTCTGAGATTAAGGGACCTAAGGGTGTTTTGCTACGCTAATTTGAAGAAATGGAAGGCCGGGACGGTGGAGAGCCTCGGTTACAGCGTTGAATGATTGTATACTAGCCAAGTAGTACACTACTGCTCCAAGCAGTCTAGCACAGCGCAGCCAGCAAGTCATGAGGACTCTTATCGAGCTCTCTGTGAGTCTTAGCTGCATAACTGGCAAAACTAAACAGCTGGTTCCAAGTTCCAAATAACGCAGGACTAACCCCATTCGCTTGTTTACCGGATGCCGTTCCTTCCTTGAATGCGCTCAATCTCAACCAGGAATCCGACCTATTTATTAGCATCTGTTTACCCCTTGTTCGCCCTCATTCCTGCTTTTCCTCAGCCTTCGCTGTTACTCGTGCAATCCCAATTCTTCTTTCTGCAGGCAGAAATAATCATCTCTTACGATTACGACTACTATCGGCCATCATATTCAAATCAGCTTGCCCAAGATGATCTGCACGAAGATCTTCCTGTCTCTCGGTCTCGTGGCCCCCATTTTGGCCCAGTCCAACTATACCTTTCCCGATGGCTTCGATCTGGGCCAGGTCGAGTCGACTGAAAAGAGTGTGTACCCTTCCTTTATCGACGTCTCTCAAGAAGGTTGCTAACAATATTTCGTAGGCGGCTGGTGTCGGGGACAGCTCAATAACTGCCCGCAGGTTTGCGGCGGTTCATCCAAGGTTAACCGCTGCGACTCGGTACGCTTCCCAGCAAAATTACCGGTGATTTCATCCAATTGCTTATCGTCTAATAGGATACGCTTGAATTCACCTGCACCTGTTCCGACGGCACCGAGGCCAATGTCGAGGAATACCAGGACACAATTCCCTTCTATGTTTGCCAGGCGAATTACAAGCAGTGCATCTCGCATTCCAGCACCCAGGACGGCGACGATGTGTGCACAGCTGGCATGGACAAGTGTGGCAGCAAAAATGCCTCTGCTCCCACCACCACTTCGTCCTCGCCCAGTTCTTCAACTACCCTGTCTTCTGAGACCAGCGGCTCGTCCAATGGTGACCAGAGTGGAAACGAGGCCACGGCCACGGACTCAAGCGACAGCTCTACCCCAACTGATGGTGCGATGAGTCTGATGCAGAACTATGGATTGGCCGGTTTTGCGACCGTGGTGGTTGCTGCGTTTACGCTGCTGTAAGCATGTACTGGGTAGCGAGGTTGAGAGCTCTATTGGCGACTTGAAAAATGGACGAACCGAATAATGGATACTGGGCATCATGATGATAATGAGCGCATAATAATATTTTTCTGTATGCTTTATGATAAAATTCGCGGGAGAGTTTTTTTTGTAGTGTAGATCTCGCCTTGTTCTCAGCGCCGGCAACGCCAAGACTTGATCCCACAGAAATTTCTCCACCGCCAAAATCAAATCATCTCGAGTGAACCCAGACTTCAACTTCGACACCCTCCTTCTCCTCTTCCCTCACTCATACCGCCATGCCCGCTCCTTCCACCACCCTCTTGATTGAGGGTTCTTTCTCCGAGCTCGCCGAAGAATTTGCTGCCTACCTCGACGCCCTCACCAAGCCCGACGACACCACCATCCAGACCGAGGTCGCCCCGCTACTGCAACCCCTCCGCGAGCAGGAACAAAATGATACCCAGAGCGACCAGAGCAAGCGTGATGCCGTGCTAAAGAAGTTGGTCTCGGCTGCCGAGGTTTTGAACACGGCGCCCGAGAAGGGTACGCCCTAGTACCACTGCCTGCAATTGGGATATGCATGCTGATTTTAGGCCAGAAATTACGCCCGCGTACAACCTCCTCATCCATCTCGTCCAGCATGCCTCCGACCCTGACATGTTCCTCTCCCGAATTTGCTCATATCTCACCAAGCCAGTCACCTCATCTCCTCAGTTCGGCGCCTCTTTATCCATCGCCATCCTGTCCACAATCTTCAACACACTTGCCCCCTCCGACTCGAGCAAATTCCACGTTCTCCTAGCAATTGTCGCCGTCATCCGCCAGTCTGGCTCCGGCGCTGCTTTCGACGCCCTGAAGCCTCAGTTGACCGCACAACTCCCTAACTGGCGCACTGCCTGGGAATTGGATGATGAGGAGGCCCGCCGTCTGCACTTGGCCATCGCTGACGCCGCTCAGGCTGCCGGCGACCTTGACTGGGCCCAAACCCACGTTGTTGAGGCTCTCCAGACCATTCCCCCCGCCGAAGCCTCCACTCCTGCCGCCCGGGACTTGGCTGTTCGTGCTCTGACCTCGGCCCTCACTCACCCGGCTGTCTTCGACTTTACCCCCTTGACCGCCGCCGACGCCGTTCAGGCTTTGCGGTCCAGCGATGCGCCCCTCTTCGAGCTCCTCGAGATTTTCACCGCTGACACCCTCGATGCCTACGAGGATTTCATTTCTACCACCCCCGTCGCAAACATCCTCCCCGACAACGCCTTGACCTCCCACGCCGACGCCCTACAGACGAAGATCCGTCTTCTCACCCTGGCCTCCTTGGCCGCCGCTGCCACAACCACAACCGGTGCATCTGCACGCTCTCTGTCATATGAGACAATCGCCTCTGCACTTCGCGTGCCCCAAGAGGAAGTCGAGAAGTGGGTCATTGACACCATCCGTGCCGGTCTCGTCGAGGGCAAGCTATCGCAATTGAAGTCTGAGTTCTTGGTTCACCGCGCTACCTACCGCGTATTCGGCGAGAAACAGTGGGCCGAGGTGCAGGGCCGTCTTATGGTTTGGCGACGAAGCCTGGAGAATGTTCTTGGAGTCATCCGTAGCGAGCGGGAGCGATTTGTACGGGAAGCTGCGCAACAGGCGGCTGCTGCGGCTGCTGCGGCTGCAGAGGGTGAGAAGGCCGAGAAGGGCACCAAGACTCTTCCTGAACGTCGACGTGTTCCTCAAGAGGCGGCTGCTGCGGCGGAGTAAGCGGATTGGGCAATGGAAATGAAGACAAAAACTTGATGAGATAAAATGTAATGACTATTCAAGTTTCATTTATTCTAGATTTTACTGAATATTAAACTCCCATGCACACACACAACATATATCAAATCTACTAGTGTTTGTATCCAGCAGCTAAGCACGTATATATGACTATATAAAAAATTCAACAAAATGGTCTAGTCCCAGTAGTCAACGCCTCAACAGGGCAGAAGAACAAATTTACGCAGAGGGCCGGACGCCCCTCTTCTCAAAACCAGCCCGGATCCGCTCATAAACATCATCCACAGTACCCGTCGCAGGGACACTGATAACCTTATCCTGCTTCCCAAACTCCGTCACAACAGGCATACTAGTCTCAACAAACACACGGAAGCGCTTCCGAATCGACTCCGCATTATCATCGTCCCGCCCACTGGTCTCCCCCCTCTTCAACAGCCTCGTCTCCATAACCTCCTCGGGGCAATCGAGGAACAGCGTAAACTCGGACGGGCAAACCGTCTCCTCAAAGAACACCGCCTGATCAAGCTTCCGCGGGAATCCATCAACCAGGAACCGAGCCTTCTCACCACCCTTGGAAGCAGTAGTGTTCCCCTTAGCGAGGTTGTCCGCCATGGCATTCGACAAGAGCGCAACAGTGATTTCCATAGGCACGATCTTGCCCTCCCGGATATAGGACTTGATCAGCTCGCCGTACTCGGATTCCGGGCGGATTTGCTCGGCGCGGAGAAGGTCGCCGGCGGAGAGGTGGACGAAGCCATAGTCGCGGACGAGGTTTGAGGACTGGGTTCCCTTGCCGGAACCGGGGCCACCGAGGAGGAAGACGACTGTAGTTTCCGCGGGGGAGAAGCGGGGGCCCTTGGGTTTATTTTCGGTAGACATTGTTGACAGTGGTTCCGTTTTTTTTTTTTTTTTTTCTTTGTGGTTGTTGTTATTTGTTTGTTGTTGGGAGGTGTGGCGGGGCTCTTGTTAAATTATTGTTGGCTTCGAGGGGCTTGACGGGCGCCGGCGCGGGACTTGGCAAGGAAGGCGTACGAGGCTGTCCCAATGACAATGATCGAGAGGAATGGGAGGATTTTGAAGTTTGAGCGGCTGTATTGGGAGGAAGGTTGTGGGTGAGGAGGAGGGGTAGGGCGAGATGAAGGTGAGGTGGAATAGGGGCGGCTGTGGATCGACATGGGGATTGCGTGGGCGAGGAAGCAAAAAGAAGAGTTGAAATTAACTGGAGGTGAAGCTGCAGTCGAAGTGAGGGTGCATGTTACTGTATCGGAGTGTGGCTGGTGCACGGCACGTATTGGTGTTACAATACAGATCTATATAAACGGCAGAGGTTTGTACAACACAACTCAACCCATTCTCCTACGTTCATCTAACTGCAACATGCATGAGCTCTTCATATCTCTAATTGCAAGATGGAGCTCCCTCCAGAAATCCGGAACCAGATATACAGCTACCTCTTCCTCCCGCAGCGTGTCGAAATCCGTCGATCCAAAGACACCTCCAAAACACAACACCACTACCACCTCCACCACAAGCGACTCGCACCTCGAGATCCATCGACCCAAAACCAAACATGCTTACCATTCAAGTCCAAGATTCAAACACAGCTTTGCCTCCCATTTACCTCAAAGCAATTCTACCAAGATACATTATGCATCCTATACGCTTGCACACAATTCGTTTTCACTTCGCCGAAGTGCATTTCACTATTCCTCAAGAAAACCCCCAAACAGGCCCAGGGTGCGATTACCCACATCGAGATCCATCATACCATGTACAACGAACCCAGGCTGAATACGTTCCGGGAGTTAAAACTCCGCAGTGACAAGAGCTGGTATATGCTTTGCGAAAAGATTTCGACGAGCTTCACGGCGTTGAGTGTTCTCCATGTGGACATGACGATTTTCGATGCACCGATTGAGTTGGAGGTTGGGGAGTCGTGGTCGTTGCCTATTCTTGCACTGGGGAGGGCTAAAGGGATGGAGAAGGCGGAGGGCTTGCGGTTTGCAAGTGTGAGCTTGACTAGCCATCGATTTGACTATGAGAAAGTGCGCAATGTGGAAAGGCAACTTGAGAAGGAGCTTATGGGCCCGATTGCGTTTCAGGTACGTGAGGACGAGATCTTTGCAAGGGCATTAGTTGAGGCATTGAAGGCGAGGAAGGTGTTGAGACTGGTGTTCAATTAGGGGCATTCTCATCACCAAGACGGGATTGAAGCTTGAGATCGTCTATAATTAATACAAGTAGCGATGGTATGTACGTTAATCATGATACAAGAAGCTAAGTCAGTCGAGCCGACTTTTCTTAAGTAGATGCCATGGGCTGGCGTTCCGCCTCGTCGGACGGGACTTCAGAGTAAGCCTGTGCGTTACGCCGTCGGATATGGTAGTATACGCCGGCCACAAGTCCACCCAGAGAACCGGCGACCAGGATGAAAATTAAAAGTCCCCCAATGGCGCGCACCATCTCGTAGGCTTTGACCACCGCCTTGGCGGCTTCTTCGGGGTCAATTTGAGATCCCTCGGCGTCCATGTCCATATCCATATCCATGTTTTCCATGTGCTCAGCCTCCTCCACATCTCCCACATCATCTTCCTTTTCTTTTGTTGAATGCAGGGTCGACGGATCGTCAGGAGTCGGCTGATCCTCGCCCTGGAACCCAGCGAGTTGCCAATCGCTGGGTGTTTGTGTCTGCTGTACCTCCGATGTACCTAGCACGTTACCATCCTTGTCCAATGCCTCTGCGGACACCCAATCCAGGTATCCATCAGCAATGTACATCGTCTCAAAATCAGTCTTTGTTGTGTTGCCAATTGACACCGCGTCGCCATCCTCCTCAGGCCGCGCATAGAAGTTCCATGAAGCAATGTCTGTAGCGCCGTTCCAGCTGACATGGAAAATGGTAGTTAGACCTTCTTTATCCGTACCATACACAGACGAAACAATGTCTGGTGGCGTGTTTGGCCGTCCAGTGAAAGGGAACTTGTAGGATCGATACGAAGAGAGGCGCGTAGAGACGAACCTGGCCTCCATCAGGAGGTTGCCGTCCGGGTCGTGTTCGCTGTGGTAACCGCTCTCACTCCAGCCGACAAAGGTGTTGTTGTTAGGTAGAGTCTGTACATTACCACGTAACCGTGTTAGGCCGCCATCCGGCCGGTCGATGCGCTTGATAACTTTTGCCGTCATAGGAGAAGCCGCCGTATCGAGCTCCACGTAAAGAGCGGACGAAACATCCTCCTCATTTTCTGCTTCGTCTGAAGCGTTGTTCAAGAGGGAAATGACATGATGTGTTCCGTTGGACTCAATGAAGCTTGCATGGTGTTGTTTGGAGAAAGTAAAATCCATCTCGAAATCGGACTGTTTCCCACCAAGACGCCAGACAATCTCGCCCTCTTTGGAGATGTAATATATTGAGTTCATGAACCGAGCAGACAGAAGATAGTCGCCCGCCGAATTCTTATCAACAGAGTTGACGTGAATATAATCCCAACCTGGTCGATCAGAAGGATACGAATTTTGATAGATCTTCACCGACTCATCGACGAGAACGTTATTGAAGGAGCTCCACTCAAACAAAACTTCGCCAGTCTCGGTGTCCAATTCGAGAATTCCGCCAGCAATAATCCAACTGTGGTCATCAGGGCGGCCAAGGGCAGACAAATCTGTGTACTGAGACTTGTACGAGCAAGCGAGGGCAGACTCCCCACCATCGAGGATATTAAACTCGTGCATATTGAAGGCACTGAGGTCGTTGACAACGCCAACTTTGTACTTCTCTTCGAAGTGCTGATCCAAAACATACCCGAATCCCTTATCAGTGCCGTCATCATTGTACTGATGCTGCAGAATAAACGAAAGATGAGGTTCACCGTCGATGTTGTTGGCCGCTTTGAAATCGAACGCATTCCGATTGTCAAACATGGGGGATCCCGCCCAGACCAGAACCTACTACGCCGTTAGTATAACCTTGCAGTTTGTGATGCCAATACATACTCCATCTCCATCATATATATACGGCCCTACTTGGTATGGTATCCATTGCTTGGTAGGAACCTCGGGTTCGATGATCCCATAAGGTGCAACAAACCAATATCCTGGGGCTACAGCGTCCCGGTCTTGGTAGGTGACGTCGAACTTCAAAGCTCGTACTTTGGGAAGCTGAAAGGGTTAGTAACCGAAGATATGGAGCAGCTGTTTTGCATACTGTGACAAAAGTCATCAAATCATCATCGTCTCCAGCGTCCGCAAAGACGCGGCCAAAGGCAAGAGATAATAGAATCGACGAGAATAGCATATTGAAAGAAGGTATAGGAAGGAATCCTCCCCCAAATAAAAATGAATTATAGACAAGAAAGGAAGAAACCCGTTCTAGACAACTAGATCATAGACACTGTCGTCTGCACAGCAGAAAGTAGACGAAGACTCCCAGCGTTCTTGCTGGGGTTCATCAACGAAGACCAGAGTGCTCCCGAAGATGTCGGGGAAAGTAAAAGAGAAGTCGGGATTCATAAAAGGAGAAACGGCGAAAGACTCCGCGCTCGCAAAAGTTGTCAAGTCCAATCAAACTATCTCCGCAAATAAAAAAACGGCCAGTGACAGCGCAAGTGCTGATATCGATGCTGACGATCGAACGGGGCGAGTTCTCTTGGCAAGCTCCTTGGTGGAGCTGATTAGCCCAGTTTTGACATCCTCAACGAGGCGACGAGTGTCAAATCTCAAGAGACATACGCATTCGGCGGTGCAGTAATGCTTATTGAACGCGCGTGCACCGCTGCATCAGCCTCTCGTTTGGAAGAGTTCCGGCAGTTCTCGCCCTATGGCGGCAACCGGCAGCCTTGCCATTCGAGGGGTGAAAGAGCATGTTGGAGGAAGCTGGCCGATGTCTTGTGTCCGAGTTCCATTTTCCACCATTGAGGATTTGAAACTTGCCTGTCAGTCCTTGGCGAGAGAATTTATCCGGGAGAACCGCAGGACTGACCCAGTGTTCCCGACGTTAGGGACAGAGGCCGTTGTTCGGGAATCGCTCCTTGACAAATGCCTCGTGGAAGTGTCCACAATCCGTAATCAGTACGAAGCGAACCGTGCCGTCTGCCGCTGTCCCCGTGTCTAGCAAATAATGGTCTTGCAATCGGATGAGCGGAGTTTAACCCACAGATCAGGGGTTGGATTCATCATGATTCTCACCGTTGTTTTATCGCTTGGCTCTCGAACGTTGAGTCGCAGAACCAGAGACAATCAGATAACCAAGCCTCGTCCGCTAGGTCTTGCCTTTCAATTTAACTCCAGCCACTCTGCTGTGGCGTTTAACAACGGAAATATCGGCGATTTGAAGAGCATGAAGGCAGCTTTGCATTTCGATCGATCGTGAGATGATAAAACCCCCGCTGTTTCAGGATATGTAGCAAGTAGATGCACGCTGCAGCTGATGCGTGAACTTCGAAGCTTCAGTTGAGGAATTCAAGGCTCTTCGACTTCATCTCAGCACGAGTTCTCGAGGGCATGAGGGTTTCTTTTGAGTCTTGACGAGTGTCGTGAGATTTAAAGCCTTGAATACGAAGATCACCCCCGGATTGCGACATCGCGGCTGTTCATGACGAGGTGATCCACATTCTGAGCATATCTCATTCAAGCTCATTCTAGGCACCAGGAATCTGAGTTTATCTCTGCTGCTTGAATAATGGTCTGCTATTATTCGTTCTTATCCCCTCATACTTAAGATTTCAGTCTCTACACGCAGCTATCTAGCGGATTCTTGACTGTGACCCTCGCTGATTACACGGCGTAGCTCGCGATTACTGGCTCTTCAAAGGCTTTCGGGCTGTACGCGAGAATCTCTGCCACGGCAATGAGCAAAAGCCCTTCCGAACCCAGCAGATCGCCTGCCCCAAGTTGTGGTGCAATCAAACCCGCGCAGACCTTCTCGGTGTCAATTCGACGAGTATCTCCAGGTCCTTTGTGACGGAGTGCATCTGCTGCCAAAGCCCAGGTTAGAGGGTTGTACAGCGTGCCTTCATGCAAGTAAACGCCCCCGCCAGGCTGGAGGGCACAAACGGTCTGCAAGTGGTTGTTGGACACACCGACTCCATGAGCGTCATCAAGTATCGCGGAAGCATTTGGACCACTCATGGGCTGTACAATCTCGTCGAAGGAAGAGTAAACGGTCGTTGTGGGAACATATGCGGAGCTTCCTCCGCCTTCTCTCAGTGTGCTGATGAATTCGGTCTCCCACCTCTGCTGAAAGAGTGAAGGAGTGCAGAAGACGCCGGAAAGCAATGGGCAAACCGCATCCGCAACCAAAGTACCACGGAAATCGGGGCTGATGGCGATAAAATCATCAACTACTTGCCTCGTCGATGGCCAGTATTTGAACGACCATTGGGTATTTAAGCCGCCCTGGGACCAAGAGATCACGGACACATTGGATTGTGTCCTTGCAGAGATGTAGTTGATTGCATATGCAATGTATTCAGAGCTAATCTGAACGTCCGGCAAAGAAGCTCCTGGTATGTTGACCCAGACCACATCCGCTTCCGGTACAGCGTCCGCCAACTTGGCAAGGTTGAAATAGTATGTCGTGCCCGCTGGAATGGCTGTTCCTGGAACAAGAATCACTGGTTTCCTTCCATCTTCTCCATGCTTGAATGATTCTGGTATATAAATTGCCGCCCTAAGCTTAGCCTCCTCGACAGAATAAGGCGCGTCTCCTTCCATTTTGAATGGATATATGGTATGCCCAGTCACCGAGGGGTTTTCGTTATCAAGGGCGTTCAGCCTTTGATTGGCGTATCCGTTTAAAAGCCCTAGGATGTCGCTTGGGATCGCCCCAGATATTGCGAGGTTAGCAGCGACATCAAAGACATTGGCCGATTCGCCAATTATGCCCTGAACCGCATTCCAAGCTTCCTCGACCGACCTGTCGTTTCCCGAGGCCCCATCCACAACTTGCTTCGATAACGCTGAAGCTGCTTCCGGTAGCCGATTATCATTAATAGCAGGGTCGTTCGCAGCCTGCGCCAACATCGAAGCTATATCATGATTTCTGCCGTAATCAGAATTAGAGGCCACCGGCGTGGCTAGCCCACGAATGGTCTTTGCCAGTGCAAACACTATAAATGCACGAAATATCATTATGGGACTGGCAGACCAAGGAGCCCGTCCGTCATTCTGAGAAACGAAGGGATATCTCCAAAAGCAGGACACCAACGTATTATAACCTAAACAGGATCTGCCGACACTCAAAGCCCATCAGCACGCCATTCAGTCGAATATCATTAACAAAGGTTGCTGAAGGGGGCTACCATAATATTTTGTGGAGAGGATTGTCGTTTTTGACCAAACCTGTGTGAACTCTCCCCGCACACGGTTGATCATGATCAGCATCTAAAGAGAACCCCTCACAAAATAGGGTTAATTAGCGCAGGGCAGCAGTTCTCTTCATATGCCCAAGATGGTATGGAACCTCGGTCCTGGAAAGGAGGGTTCTCTGTGAAAAGGCTGCCTTTTGAATATCAAGTTCCATTTCCTGTCAATTGAATATTCATTTAAGTTGTCGAGGACGTCGTAAGTTGGATTATGATGATATCGGTATTTGTACCTGAACACCTGGCATAGGGTGCATGTATAATAAGAAACGGATGGATCAGAACCTCCCCAGCAAACATAAAACAGAGAAGTTGGTTTACTCCTCTGGCTGTGTTTTCTCCAGCGTTTCGGGATTACGTGCGACCTGATGGCCGTGCTGGTCACTATAGATGACCTATCAAGAGGAACATTTCCTAGTCTAGGCCGGCTAAGGGCAGATGGCAGTAGTGCCAATATCGATGTACTACAAGTGCCCGGTACCCCGGGGCAATAAGTCACTACACACCTTGGGAGGGTTCTTCACATCTTCCTGCTCTGCCTCTTCCTCATCGGTGACGATCTTCTGGACCTACCGATAACACCGGCGTTTATTAGTTGCGTAGTTCCGGATGATACCATGGATTGTGCAAATACAGTGCACTAGTGCATAACTATTTATGTAGAGTTGGAAGCCTGGGCTGGGCCAATCAACCATGCATACCTTTCCATGGTGAGAACCGCCGCGCACCCTGGTGAAAGCATAGTCTCCTTCCTGGATGGGTTGGTCCATTTTGTCCTGAATCTTTGATGTCGGTATCTTGAGCTTACGCCTGGATAGCAAAAGGTATTAAATTCAGTATAATACTCGAGGCACGAATTGAGGCGTATATAAAGGTGTGATGTCACTCGACCGTCACAGGTTATGGCACGCAATCGATTCTACGAAGGACGTTTGGTCGACGGGGTAGAGTGGGCAACAACGGGTCAAGCTTATGGTCACAGTCCCCGCGGGGGGGTGTTGGACGGTACTTCGCCAACCAAGGGGTTTCATGGGGAAGCGAATCATCTCTGGTTTAGCTAGGTTAGAGAATCATGATGGCCATCCATCTCTCTCGAGTACCACAGCGACCTGACGGGTGCGGATGAAACGGTTCATACTGCCACCTGCGACAGAGTTGGGGACGTATGATACGGAAAGTAGGAGCTCCATCGAATCCGGATGCTACAGTTAGTCTTGACTCTTGACTGCCGTTGTAAATGGGCGGATGGGGTGTGGATATATTGTTGCGAGGCGTGCCAAGGAAATGTGGAATGAAGGAGCCAAAACAGTATGCTTGGGCATGGGGAGGGCACTCCGCAATATAGCCACTGGCAGGTATGGACTTGGATGGTGTTGATGGGCGAGGGAGTAACAAGGAATGGCCCCGGGGACGAGAAGCACCTAAGTAGAACGGATACTCCAGACCTTGGGAGGTGAAGCTGCAATGTTGCCTTTCTAGGCAAGGCCGTGAAACTGGAATTAAAAGTCTGGGCGGTGGTCGGTCGGTGTAACAGTTGCCGCAGGTTGTGATTAGGCCGACTACCACCGTTGCACCCGCCACTGTCACATACTCGCCATCACCCCCTTCGGCTTTGGGCACCACGTAGTCGCTGGTGAACTCGGCATTGATTCATCCAAGACACACATGGGCACCTGGCCACCGCGGTGCAATAAATGAGGGGCCAGGCCTCAATCTGTTCTCGCGAAACCGCCCAAGAAAGCCAAGTTTTGGTTAAATCAAGCAGTTAATTTATTGGGCTGAGGCTGACTCGCGCGATGGGCCGAAATTAGAATACCAGACGGTTCCAAAACCGTATTTACGCCCCTTCATTGCTGGGCCGGGCTGGATGGATGTCCTCCGTGAAACGTGGATGTATTTATCAATGCAACCTGGCGGCCCGTGAAGACAGAAAAATGATCCGCTCATTTTTTTTAATTTTTGAGGCTCGAGAATCACCCCGCTGAATAATAACAAGGAGCTCTGATGGCGCAGTTTTAGTCAAAATGATGAATTTGGGGAACAGGGTAACTAGCGACAATATGCGGAGAGCAACCGAGTCTTGTCAACCTGAAGCTCGTGAGAGACTGTACTGTAATCGTAGTAGACTGCCGACTGAGTGCCTGCGAGGTACCTTCCTTTTCAAGAAAAAGCATATCAAAAACGCAGGCTGCCCTGAATCTGGAGGCCCAGTGACCACGAGGACAACAAGGTCGCAGCGCACAGTCACCAGCTCGTCTCCACCAAGCCATTCTTCCGCAGTGCTCGGTATTTACCATACATGACCGATATCGCTGCCGGCCTGCCAGTGCCATGATTTTGATAATCAGTGCTACCAGCTCTCTGATCAGTGACTGTTTGAGAATGGAGGGATGGATTCCTTTCTGACTACTTTCCTCCTGCCTTGCCCTTTCCCCTCTGCGTCTGCATGAATTCCAAATCCGGTTTGTAAACTCCCATCCGCTTCTGCAAGTCAAGAATGGACACGCGTTGATGGTTGATCCATGCCTCCGGTGTTGTCCACTGTGTCATTCATTTTGCACAACCAGAGCAACTGATTACTACCGCTCTCAAACTAACTCAAACATTCCGGGGTTAATCTGGAACAATCATCGATACGACTACTAATACTACGACTCCCTGCTACCACGCCGAACAGCCAACCACACCCACTACCCCCGCTATCAGATCTCGCTGTCAGTCAGCCCTTGCGAGGCAGCAGCCCAATTCAACGGACAAGAGACGAACTCTATGCTAGTTAGCAAGACCGTCTCAAACTTGCATTGACACCCTGACAGACTCCGCGTTATTATTGTCGCTGTTGTTGCCCTTTTTTTTTTTTTTTTTTTTTTTTTTTTTTTTTTTTTTTTTTTTTTTTTCGGGCTGACCCTCCATCATCCGGGGTCCCACTACCTTCCGGTGCCCTCACCAAGTCCCACTGCCGGCGTAGACCCTCGATTAGTGCTACCTTGGGTCCCAGACATACGCTGCTACTTTACCTCTAGCATCCGATACCGAATCTCTGTTCACCTGAGCTATTCGCAATTTCTACTTCCCGTGTCTTGCATCTTCAGCGCCCTTAATATTCCGATACCCGTCCTCATGGCATTCTAAATCATCCCACGCGCATTGATAAGCTTATATCAACTTACTTCTGACCACCGATCATACTTTCGCATTGCCAACACTGATCGACCTAACTTGAATCTAATTGGCAAAATTGCCCGGCAAGCAATCGTCCCAGCCATGCCTGTGTCAACCCCCTTGGCCAAGGTCCTGCATAGGATGCAGGAGCTCTTCTCCAGTGTTGTCGCCGCTTTGGAGACGATGTTATTGTTTCCCTCGCTATTCCGTGATCCTGCGCATAGCGGACGGAAACATTCCCCGGCAGCCTTTTGGCGACGACGGACTCTCAATGCCTTTGCTGACGAGATCGACCGTCTTTTTTCAAAGCCTTTGACTCTGCGAAATATGATGGTAATGTCAGAGAAGATTCGCGAACAATTTCGAACTGGCTTAGAGTCAAGCTCGATCTGTATGCTGCCTTCATACAACCATGCCTTGCCATCTGGGCTTGAGGAAGGGACATTTCTCGCTCTTGATGTTGGCGGCTCCACGATGCGCGTGGCTTTGGTGGAGCTACGCGGGCAAGGGAAGATGGAAGTTCTCCGTGTATCCTCGTCCCCGATTGATAACGAGGTGAAATTGCTGGAGGGAACTTCATTTTTCGACTGGATGGCGGAAAAGATTGATGCGATGCTAAGTGAAGTGGGCACTAAATATGGCCGCGAAGACGTTCCTCTATCCATGGGCTTGTCATGGTCTTTCCCAATTGAGCAAACTTCAATCAGCAGTGGCCTGGTAATTCATATGGGCAAAGGGTTCCTGTGCTCTATGGGCACTGTTGGCCAGGAATTAGGATCTCTGATCGTTCAGTCCTGCCAGAAGCGCAGTCTCAACGTTCAAGTGGATGCGATTGTAAATGACAGCTCTGCTACTTTACTCTCGCGAGCATATGTTGATCCTGCAACACGCATGTCTCTTATTCTCGGTACTGGAACGAATGTCGCCATACATTTCCCAGTTCATGCCATTGGGCTCGGCAAATTTGGCACAAGACCGACCGGCTGGTTTGACTACGCTAAACATGTCATCATAAACAGCGAGATGAGCATGTTCGGCGGTGGTGTCTTGCCGATGACACGATGGGACGATATTCTTAATCGCACCCACCTCAGACCAGACTACCAGCCATTGGAATACATGGCCACGGGCCGTTACCTAGGCGAAATTGTCCGACTAATCATAGTCGAAGCTGTTGATGCCGCTCACCTTTTCGGAGGAGAACTGCCCCATTCAATGCGGGACGCCTATTCATTTGACACCAGTATTGTTGCCTTTATCGAAGCCGACGCATCGCCGTGCCTATCAGCATCAGCCGCTCTTCTCCAGAAGGAGCATGCCTTCACCAGCCCACCGTCCCCAGAAGACTTACAATTCCTCTTGCGAGTCTGCCAAACCGTTTCGAAACGAGCAGCAGGATATCTCGCATCCGCAATCCACAGCGTGTGGTGTCTACGTAACGAAGCCGAATTTCCCGACGCGCCTCCTTCGCCGTCCTCAAGCAAAGTGCCTCGAGAAGTGACGGTAACAGAGAGCGGAAGTAACCCTGAGTGCTTGTCGATCGCATGCGACGGCAGCGTCATAAACAAATACCCCGGGTTCAGGGATCGCTGTCAAACCTACCTTAATCAGCTGACGCAGGAAACAAGCTCATCCAAGGGGTTACAGTCCACAGGCGAGGCCCCTTGCATTCGCTTGGAACCTGCGCCAGAAAGCGCCATTTTTGGTGCTGCAGTTGCTGTTGCAGTTGCTGTTGCAGTTGCTGTCGCTGAAAAGAAACCAGAGCAAACGATTCATTGAAGTAGATTCGTTGGCCTGGAACCAAATTTAATTTGCATCGGGCGGTGTTCATTTTTTGAGCTAGGGTGGCGCCATTTCTGTTGTCTGTATTCTTTTAGGTTATTTTCATTTTATTCTCTATTAGTTATGCGAGGTGTTCCAGGAATATCACTGCGCTTGCATACAGCCTCTCGCAATGCATTGATTGTCGAATGGCAGGAATAGAGGGAAGCACCGAGTGTACATAATGATGATTCATAGCAGAAACCTGAAATTCTCTTAATTATACCTTATCCTATTCCTTGCAGAGATCTTGCAATAACTCCAACATCCGTCGCCGGAAAGCCGATAATTCATCTACAGATAAGCGGCCCTGCTCTCCCGGTGCATCAAGGCTACCGTCAGCCTCAGAAAGATGGCCGAGATCCTGGCCATTATTCGCTGTCTCGTCCGCAACAACAAGGCTTCGGCTGATGGAGAAGAACGGGACATCCAGTGCCTTCAGTTCAGACAGCATAGCGTCAGCCATTTGCGTCGATGCTTTGTGAACTTTAGCATCGTATCTGCTGACTTCGGTGAGGTCTTCTTCAACTGTCTACTCAGCTGGTTAGTTCTGGAGGCTTCTCCATTGCTCTGGTGAGGGTTATGACTTACCGAAACCTCCTTCTCGTCAACAGGTGCGCCGACAGAGCGTCTATATTCCACGGTAGCGGTATTAGAAGAGAAAGAAAGGCCACGCAAGAGTTGTTCGGTAAAGAGTAGTAGTATAGGGTAATTAGAGGACATACAAGACCTGGTCTAGTTCTCTCTTCTTCTCCTTCCGACTCGTCTGCTTCTGAACTAGCGCTTCTCTGCCCTTCCACCATTGCTTCTCATGATCGTGTTGGCGTTGAATGAGGAACCGGATACGTCGTTGCATTTCTTCATTTTGGCCAACAGTGCGCATTACTTGTTTCAGCGCGGCGGGCCATGTAGTTATTGTTGATGATGTGTATTTATCTTTAAGCTGAGGTTGTTGGGGTGAATCACGGTGAGACAAGGATGACGGAGGGGCGTGTCTTAGGGTTTGGGACTGTATTTGGGATTGGGTTACAGATTGAGAATGCGCATCTGGAGGTTCATATTCACCCTCATGGTCATTGGCATCATAGTTGTTGGAGGGAGTTTGAGGGGAATGGGTATTTGCTTGATTGGAGAATGCGGAGAGTGTTTTAAGGATGGCGTTGAGATCGGGCGCATGATTGTTTTGTGAGGACATGATACGCATAAAATATAATACAAGATTAAAGATTAAGTGGCAATGCTCAGCTGAGAATTATAGACGGGGGAAGTAGATAAATGGTGGTGGTGTAGATGGGTGGATGTCTTGGCTAGGCTAACCGTGGAAGGTCGCGGCGGTCATCCCATCTGCCCATCGCCTGCTCGGGAATCTGGCTGAAAATTTCCCGGATGCTCAAGACCTCCCCATCATAGCTATCGGCGCGGCCTCACAACAGCCCTCTCGTCTCCTTTCATGGTCTATCACAGCACATAGCATTAATTGGGGCTGTCCGAATACCCGTTTGCATTAATTTCTCCCCTCTTTCCTTCGCCGTCCGCATCACACTACCGCACACCATGTCCCGATCCGCCGCAGACGCAACCCGGTTCACGGCCACAGGGCCCTACGCCAGCTCAAAGCCGAGCACGGCTCCTTACAAACTCCCCGGATTTCTAGCAAATTCGGGCTCGAAATCACAAAACAATGGATCTGGGGGGAACAGACAGGAAACACCCAAGGAGAAGGTTGAGCGTCTACGAGCACAGGCCCGGGCTGCCCGGATAGCACAGTCGACTTCGCGCGTGGACACATTAGTTGATTTTGGGAGGCGATTTGCGAATAGGGCTCATAAAGGGATGGTTTACACGCTTATTACCGCGTCCGGTACGCCCCTATCCTTGATTCACCATGGACGCGAATCCGCGGAATTGTAGCTGTGTCCGATGACTTAAAGAGATGAAGGCTAATCAATATTGCGTAGGAATATGTGGTGTGCTCACTGTCTACTCCATGGTCTCCCTGACGCTATATAACCGTCGCCAGCGCGCCCTCTGGATTGAGAAGGAACTGCAAACACTCCACGATGCACAGGCGGCATTTGTGACCGGAACGGCAACATCGGAACAATTGGAGTTGTTGAAGAAGGAGAAGATAGGCGAAATCGTGAAGCAGAAGCGGGAAGCGGAGAAGGCTGAACGGCCATGGAACAAGTTCAAGACCTACCTGCTTGGTGGGTTGAAGAATGATGAGGCCCCTTCAGCGGAGGCTACCGCGGTGAAAGTGGAAAGCAATAAATCTGGGGTTCTCGACACCCTCAGTAAGGCCGAACATCAACTAGGTCCAGCCAGTTCCTCCGCTCCTTCGGGCCCGGGACAGCTGGATGCTCTTGCTGAAAACGCAGAAGCAGCTGCCAAGCAGACAACGCGAAGCTGGAAGAGCTGGTTCACTGGTCGGTGAATCGAGTGACGGCAAAAAATGGCAAAAAAATGATAACTGAACATTTGAGATATAGATGGTGCATAGGGCGTCCCACTTCTGAGTTGCTCCCAGGCACCCCGGTTCCCAGTTCCTTCACGAACAAGGTTTGTCTGTCATGGACTAGCCACTCTTTTTGCATCGCGGCAGGTGTCATTATCTTCCATCTCCGTTGTAGTTTACCAACTCGGTTTGCGGCGTCCTCTGGTGTCTCTTTTTGAAATATTCGAGCCTATGTATTTAATACTGGGTACCTTTTACGTGATGTAAATATACAGTCTCCTCATCTTGGTTAGAAATTGTTCTTCAACAACGAAAAATGGAAATCAACTCTCTTCCAAACACGTGCATAAGGCTGTCAGAATTCGGCAGCTGCCCAAATTCACAAATAAATATCGCTGCCTGTTGGTTCTCCGAAGTCTGGGCAGCCCCAGCCACATCTCCTGGGATCGACCACAGATCGGATGGAAGCGAAATCGAAGCCTTTCGAAGTCGCAGAGAATCCAATTGTCTGCGGGATATTAATAGAAGATGCAGGACAGCACTATAATAATCTGCAATGACGCAGTTAGTGTTTGTGAATTTGTGGCAGTTCGGAGTCTGGACTCTGCAGACAGCTTTGATATGGAGGTGGCCGCTGCTAAGCCACAGGGCTGTGGCTTGGCGGTGGCACAGGTACGTAATGCACAGCACAGTTATGCGTAGAGCAAAGAACGGCCAGAATTGCTTACGTCACCCGCCCGTAATCCAATGGAGAATCATTCTGCGCTGTAATTAAACCATATTTGCATGCCATGGCGTGAGAAGTTATCCAGCAAAACACGCCCATATTCCTGCAAGAGAGAGAGTCTTCTGTGAAGCCGCCATATCAAGAAAGGCTCACGTTGATCGAGGACCTGTCGTTGGCCGGAATGCAAGTTCGTGTGAAGCGTGGGTGTCTCAGCCCTGCGATACTGAGGGGCTCAGCCACTCCACCATAATCGTAGTGACCCCACCGCCATCAGCGAAAGCAGAAAACGGGAGCCTAGCATGATTACCGATCAGATTGGCGCAAAATATGGAGCAAAATGATGCTGCGCCTGTTTAATGACGGTATTCGGAGATGGTATTGTCGGGATTCGTAGGCTCTCGGCGCCTGGTCTATCCTTTCTCAGCGTTTGGCGGGGTTGCTCACGAGCTAAACATCCTACTATAAAAGGACCTTGAACCCACGGTTCAGAGTTTCCTTCTCCATCTACCACACCTCTCTCAAACTCATCAACTACCTACCATTTTACTATTATAATATCTTTCTACCTTTCCCACCATCACATACTACACAATGTCCGGCCCCTACGATCAGAGCCAGGGTTACTACGGCCAAGGTGGCTACCCCCCTCAGCAGGGTGGATATCCTCAGCAGGGTGGTTACCCTCAGCAGGGCGGCTACCCCCAACAGGGCTATGGTCAGCCCCAGTACGACCAGGGATCGTACAACCCCCAGTATGACAACCAGCGCAGTTCTTCCGGTGACTACTACGGTGGTCACCACCAGCAGCAGCAATATGGTCAGGACCAGTACGGCCAATCTCAGTATGTGCTTCTTTCTTTTTTGAACATCTATCCGAACAATAGCTGACTAGAAACACAGATATGGTCAGGATGGTCCCGGAGGTGCCCAGGAGGGTGAGCGTGGTCTCGCCGGTGCCCTTGCCGGTGGTGCAGCAGGTGCCTGGGGTGGTCACAAGGTCAACCATGGATTCCTTGGTACAATCGGTGGTGCTATCGTCGGAAGTCTGGCCGAGGATGCGATGAAGAAGAAGGGCCACAAGAAGGAGGAAGAGCAACAAGGCTACTACGGTGGCCAGTCCCAGTACGGTGGCTCTCACCAGTCCGGCCACAACTCGACCCTCGACTCCCTCGGCAGCTTCTTTAAGAAATGAGCGACTCGCTCCTATCACGGCCCCTCGACTGTCTTTCACAGATCTAATGAGGTTATGATGATTGTGGATTACTCGCTTTGATTGTTATCATGTATAAGTCTGCTTTATTTGCTAGAATATTCGGGTCGCTTATGAATTTCCTTATCTTGTGTTTCTTTCATATGTGATATATAGTTATGCATTATTATGATACCGATGCTCTCTCGATGCATGTCGAAGAATATGATGGTTTCGAAACCTCGTCACTCCGCTTCTCTATTTTTGCCTAGTCTAGAAGATGGTGTAGAAAGTGCACTTCGAAGATACTTTGCTGATCGATCTCATGGGGAGCTTGCTTGGTAGAAAATCGCAGATGACTTGGGGCGATCTTATGATATCACTGGATGGAGAGATATTGATCACGAGTAGCAGTTGTATCTGCAATCTGCATGTCATGCGATGTTTAGGATTCCAGACGCACAGCATCGACTTGAGGCAAGGAAGCTGTTAGTATCCAATAAAACATGGAATATGGGACAGCAATTATTATCTCTTGCTTCTCCTTTCCTTGCTTACTCTTGCGCTAGTAGTCTTTGCAGAAAATCGGGCGAGACAATGGTCTTTGTTGCCTCAGGCAAGCGTTAATGCCAAGCCAGCATCAAAAGTTCGAGCGGAAGAAACGAAACTCCTGCGAGGAAAGCCGTCGAACCCAAACCACCTGTCTCAAGCACGACAAAATGATTGTGCGACAGCTATTTCCGCGGCAGGGTAGGTGTTTGTATATTCCAATCGGTTTGACGCGTTTGAACATATTATACTAATTTCTGTCTTGGTCCAGGCCGCCAGCTTCTCGGTCTCAACCGCCAGGTCTACATACCGAGAAGATTTTCGTCAACAGAGACGCCAACATCAACACCGGCCGAGACAATCGCTCGTACTCCGGTTGAAGAAGCCCGTCCTTCGATTGCCGCTGAAATCAAAACAAGCAATTCTGCAGAATCAATAACACGCGCTGCGACAGAGACAAGCCGGATGAAAGCGAAACAACGTATGCGATACACCTTTCTCCTAAATTTGATCAAACTACTAACCGATGTCTTGTTTGTTTTGTACAGGCGATCAATTCCACTCACTCGGTAGTGCTGTCGGTGTTTCCTACAAGCCAGAGGACATCATCCGCAACCCCCCTTCACCCTCCGATATAACTCTCGAACTCCTCCTCGCCTCCCAAACCCACCTCGGTCACTCAACATCCCGCTGGAACCCTCAGAACTCACGCTACATCTTTGGTATCCGCGATGGCATCCACATCATATCCCTTGACGTTACAGCTGCGTACCTACGTCGTGCCGCCAAGGTTGTCGAGGAGGTTGCCGTCCGCGGCGGTCTGATCCTCTTCGCTGGCACACGACCAGGCCAGAAACGTATTGTTGTCCGCGCTGCAGAACTAGCCAAAAGCTACCATCTATTCGAACGCTGGATCCCAGGTTCCCTTACAAATGGCGAACAAATTCTCGGCCACTGCGAGCAGAAAGTTGTGAACTTGCTCGACCAGGAAGTGTCAGAGCTGCCAGTCGTGGCCGATCCCACCAAGGACGTGCCGCCGGGAAGTGATGTCCGTGCGAATAAATCCATTCTCAAACCAGACCTGGTTGTTTGCCTTAATCCGCTTGAAAACGAGCCTCTGTTGCATGAATGTGGACTGAACAATGTTCCTACCATTGGAATCATTGATACAGATGCAGATGCGACGAAGGTCACGTACCCGATTCCCGCGAATGATGACAGTTTGCGCTCTGTTGGTGTCATTGCGGGTGTTTTGGGACAAGCTGGACAGGCCGGTCAGAGAAGAAGGATGGAGAAGGCAAAACGCAAGTTGGAGAACGCTTCTATGGAAGGGGAATAGAGCGAGAGCACTGGATCGCCGTAACTTTATTTATGAGAAGTTACTGGATCTATAAGACCTGCTCTCTATTTTGCGTCTATGGGAATTAGCTTTGGATATGTATGTATAAATATTGTATGGTCATTGTATTAACAGAATATAACTTGAAAGCTATACTACTACTGTTCCGCAAATCACTTAATAAAGATACTCGAACTGTACGTATATATTGGTAACTTGCGCACAAAATTTTATCGAGAAAACATCGGGTCCTCTGTAGAAGCATAATGAACAATCGCCAGAAGGCCCTCGGATGAACTTTTCCTGCCAAACTTTCCGTCACTGTGGAATAAAGCCGATGTGGATATCTAAAGTAGAAAGAAATCGTTCTATATATATATCTCTAACCCAGAGCTCTCATGGTAAGTTCAACACTAATTATAAAGTTAGCACAGCCGCAATTTAGCATTTCCACGTGGATAAAGTGGTGCAACATACACAGCGAATGTTCCCGCAGAAACAGGCATGGCTCTGAGTAGAGTCGGCCCAATGCCCTTCCAGAATCCCATAGCTCCCTCAGTCGCATATGTCTTCTTAAAGCAGTCCCTCATGCTGGAAAATTGCTGCTGGGCGCCAAATCCATCGGATTGCATCTTGCTCTTCACTACATCGAACGGGTAGCTGGACAGCCAGAGGGCTTCACCCGCTAGACCACCGTATGTAGCGACTTTGAGACTGGAGATATCGTCACGCTTAATGTTGTTGCGCTTCGCATCCTGGTTCATCAGCAGCTCGAAGGTCAGGAACCACATGCCGTAGGCTTGGATTTCTCTCAGGTATGTGACGGCCTGGCCGCGGTAGAGGCCCTTAGCGAAGCCACCTTGTGATGTGAGTTTGCGGATGCAGTCGATGGGCCCGCTGTAAAGTCGGCCGGCGCCGTGCGGCTGGGTTTGCAGACGGATACGGACGTGCTCGATGGGACCGGAGAGAACGGAGTTGGTGATACCCGCGAAACCACCCGCTAGATAGTACTGGCCGTATCCGAGGGTGCTGTCGGCGTATTTCTTCTTGTTGAGGTCCTCCAATCGTCTCCGAGCTTCGTGGAAGGCTCCGAATTGAACACTGACCTGGTGGAGTGTTAGAGCTGGTATAGAGGGTCAATTGCGGAGGCCGTACGCAGGCACCGATTCCAATCAGAGGGGTCAATGTTCCCTTGTAGAAAGCGAAGGGGCCCTCCTTCTTGAGGATCTGCGAGGCGCAGTCGAAAGCGCTCGAGTATTGTGTGGTGGTCTGGAGTCGCACCTTGACGATATCTGCGGGGGGATTAATTGTGGTGAGACATTGGTCAATTGGAATGCATACCGAATGGTTGACCTGATACATAGTTAGCGACATTACTCATATAGTTTCGAATGTATCAAAATGAAATGTGGGAGGTGGGCAATACGGCTCCCCGCACAAGCCGGGGCCCCGATGTAGTCAAGGGCGGGGATTCCGTCGTCATTAGAGACAAGGTAACAGAAATAAAGTCCTAGGGATAAATAGTCTGGCAAGCAATTCACATACCAAGTAGTACCTGTGCAATTCCACCAGCAGCACCAGAAGCTAGATCTTTAACCATGCGCAATGCTCCTCCATCATCGACATGGTGGTGGTCCAGGGTTTCGGGCTCCATTGTGTTCCAGGAATCGGCAATTGATTGGGAGCGGGTCTGCAGGTATGGATATCAGGAGCAAGAGCCCTATGTATAGGTAGAGAGAGGGAGAAGGTGGTTACCACCTAGGTACAGCAAGAATAGGCGGATGAGCTGCTTATCGGGAATTATCACCTCAGCGCCCGCAGAGAGAAAATTGGCGGCCTCCGATTGGGCCGCACGTGAGTTGGAGTCGGGAAACCAAAACTGGCGGGCGGAGATTTTGGCTCTTTTCCTGCGCTTTGCCGGAGCTTGGAGAGATCATCCGAGGAAAACGACAAGAGGCTGCCAACTATGCACAAGCGGTCCATTGTGCAGGTATGTCTTACTCTGAATATCCATTCTCTATAACTGCGTGGGAGTTGCTAATTCATTCTTCTAGCTGTCCCGTTGTCATGCTGTCCACTGGCCTTGTGCAGCCCGACTACGGGATGCTGGTGTAGCTCACCCTCCGCGACGATACTTCTATCCTTCCATTTCCAGACTGAATTCGTCCGATCATCCCTCTTCCAGTAATTCAGATCTGACGGCCGATTCCTCCTCCACGAGGCCGACGCCGAAATTTGGTTCTCGCTGGTCAAGTAGGTCAACACAATCAGCCCTCAGTCCAGAGGAGCAGGCCGTTCGAGATGCTTTGCGATTGAAATCTGCGAGTCAAGAACAATCGCAGCAGCAACAGGGACAACAAGAGCCCTGGAATTGGCAAAAATGGCAAACACCATCGATTTCACAGCCACGCGCAACTTTAAGCCAAGAGGAGCAGAACGTCCGAGACTCCTTGTTGTCCAACTCTGCAAGCTTACAACAGCAACAGGAAAATCCGGTGCCTTCGCGCTCACAAATTTGGCAAAGATTTTCGAATCGGCAGAACACGCGACACCCTCAGATGCCTCGAGGACCGCTCCGCGATCAACAAAATACATCTGCTGATTCCAAATCAAATCCAGCAGGTCTCTGGCGGTCAAGGAAGAGTGTCGCGCCTTTCTCCATCGGCGACAAGAAAAGCGAGACTCTTCAGCCCCGCAAGGAATACGAAGTTGCTGGCCCTGGGGTGGCCCCGAGGAAGTTGCGTGATTCGGATTGGCTCTGTCCCGATTGTGGTTTTACATGTTTTGGCAAGCATACGACATGCCCGATGTGCAAAGCGCGGAGACCAGTTGTGCGACATCAGACCGATACAGTTCTAAACCGCGGCACTAATAGAGAGGTCCGTCCAGGGGACTGGATTTGCCCTGGCTGTGGTCATCGGTGCTTTGGCAAGCACATTTTTTGCCCGAGATGTAAAACACGGGATCCAAATCCATCTTCAGAAGCACTGAGTCATGCAGAAAAATATCGTGGCACGTTTAGAGAGCAACGTCCCGGCGACTGGCTCTGCCCTGGATGCGGTAATCGATGTTTTGCAAGGTATACTTTCTGCCCAAAGTGCAAGACACGGAACCCACGCCCATATGAGGACTCAGGAAATTCTCATTCTGAGACTATGAGAGAACCTCGCTCCAATACGGTGAGAGACCTTCGCTTTGACCCTTCTGGGGGGTCTGGCGGAGGGTCCATTGGAGAGTCCATCAGGATTCGCAGGACTGCCCTCTCCCACGATCCCGAAACGGGCGACCGATCGAGTGATAGAAAAGCAGCGCTTGAAAAGCACTTGGCTTCAAGATTGGATCCGGAGGAAGAAATGGAAGACCTGGGCTTCCGGCGGCACAGGCGAGCGAAATTTGAAAAGTCCGGAAGAGCCGAGCGGGAGACAGGTCCATCTTCAGATCGTTTGAAATCCCGTGACAAAAGGCCGAAACGACAAGGTGGCTATCGCGAAAGCGAAGCAGAAGTCGATGAATATGACGTCGATGAGTATCATCGTCGCCGCGAGGAGCGTAAGAAGCAGAAAAAAGAAAGGTCGCGGCAAAAGCAGGTGGAACCAGAGCTGAGCCCGTTATATCTTCCCGAGTTTATCAGTGTGAGCAATTTCGCTGATGTCGTTGGTATGCGTCCTGCACAATTCGTTGAGCGCATGGAAGAAATGGGCTTTGAAGACGTTTCTTACAGCCATGTTCTTGATGCCGAAACGGCTGGCTTGATAGCTACTGAGTTTGGTTACGAACCGATCTTTGATACCGGCGCCGAGCAGGATCTAACGGCTACTCCCGAGCCCGAAGACAAATCTATCTGGCCGACCAGGCCTCCTGTTGTCACCATCATGGGCCATGTAGACCATGGTAAGACTACTATTCTTGATTGGTTGCGCGAATCATCTGTTGCTGCATCGGAACATGGAGGCATTACCCAGCACATTGGTGCATTCTCTGTCTCGATGCCATCTGGTAAAAAGATCACATTCTTAGATACTCCTGGCCATGCGGCTTTCCTAGATATGCGCCGACGTGGTGCAGATGTGACGGATATTGTGGTCTTAGTGGTGGCTGCTGATGACAGCGTTAAGCCGCAGACAGTTGAGGCTATCAAACATGCTACAAGTGCCAAGGTACCCATCATTGTGGCAATCAGCAAGATCGACAAGGAGGGCATTCACCCTGAGAAAGTCAAACAAGACCTCTCCGCGCACGGTATCCATGTAGAAGACTATGGTGGTGATGTCCAGGCAATTGGAGTGAGCGGGAAAACGGGTCTGGGCATGCTAGAACTTGAAGAAGCCATCGTCACGCTCTCCGAGGTTTTGGACCACAGGGCCGATGCGAACGGTTCCGTTGAGGGATGGGTAATTGAGGGTACGACGAAGAGCTACGGCCGTGTAGCAACCGTGCTTGTCCGACGCGGGACCCTCCGACCTGGCGACATTCTTGTCGCTGGCAGCACATGGGCTCGTGTCCGCACGCTCAGGAACGAAGCCGGTATCTCTATCTCCGAAGCCACGCCCGGAACGCCAGTTGAGATAGATGGCTGGAGAGACCAACCTACGGCCGGCACAGAATTACTTCAAGCCGGAGATGAGCAGCACGCTAAAGATGTCGTGGAATACAGGCTCGAGAGAGAAGAAAACCAGAAATTGGGCGAGGATACGACAGCCATCAACGAGGCACGCCGTGATATGGCTGAGAAACGGAAGAGGGAAGCCGGGGGGGACGAAGATTTGGCGATGGAAGAGAAATCATCTGGGCCCAAGGCAGTCAATTTCGTGCTCAAGGCAGATGTTGACGGATCAGCCGAAGCGGTTTTGAACTCCATAACCGCCATCGGAAACAATGAGGTCTATGCCAAAGTGCTCCGTTCGGAGGTGGGACCGATTAGCGAGTCCGATGTCGAGCTGGCCGCCGCCTCCAACGGCCATCTCGTTTGCTTCAACATGGCTATAGATGCGGCCATGTCTCGGATGGCAGAATCTTTGGGCGTCAATATCATGGATCATAACGTCATTTACAAACTCGTGGATGATGTCAAGGATACACTGAGCGAGCAACTCGCGCCTACAGTAACGCATCGGGTCACCGGAGAAGCCGAAATCGGTCAGGTTTTCGAAATCTCGCTCAAGAGCCGCGTAAAGACGTCCATTGCTGGATGTAAAGTACGGAATGGAATGATCAACCGGACAAAGAAGGTTCGCGTGCTGAGAGGGCAGGAAACTATCTATGACGGTAAGCCAAACTCATATTACCCCATATGCAAGTCTGAAGTGTCACTAATAGTGGTTCAGGTTCGATATCATCCTTGAAGAACGTCAAGAAAGACGTGACCGAGATGCGCAAAGACACCGAGTGCGGTATTGCGTTTGAAGACTGGACTGAGTTCGCTGTCGGCGACCAGATCCAATGCTACGAGGAAATCTTCGAGAAGAGACATCTTTAATCTCTCTTCCCCTCTCTCCTTCCTCTGTTGTATTTTTATTGCATGTTCTCTTCGAACTCTTGTATAAAGCATATATCCCTACTACTTTTTGGGTGTTTGATTACAAACCCTTTGTACTATTATAGCAACACTACTGTCACGGATACCATGAATTAATATAGAAGGTCTATATCTTTCTCATGACAACGTATTATACTACAATCCTATGTCCAGCACGTAACATATATAAGAATGTAAAAGCCACTTATCTAGCCTTCCACCGAACCCTCCCTACCCATTTCGCCCAGTCCCTCACATCTTCTCTCTCTAAAATCCTCTCCACAGTAAACCACTCCCTCGCCAACTCCTCATTACTCGCCATGCGGTGCACAAAACTATGGCAAGCCCGGCACAGCCAAGCAACACTGTTCAGCATCCACTCGTCATGCCACCCCTTCTTTATGACCTTGTCATGCACGCCCCTCGGAATGAGATGGTGATAGGAGAGTGGGATCCAGTCGCGCTCACAGATTTCGCAGGCCTCGGCGCGCGTGCTTACCCAAACTGGCGGTGGGCGTGTTACGGATGGGATGTATTCGGTTAGGGCTTTGTTGAGGAGCGAGGGGGACTCAAGATCGGGGGTGTACGTGGATAGTGTGTCTGTTACAGTGCTTGGGATGGGGTTGGACAGGGATTCGAGGCTGGAGGGGCTGAGGGGCACGGAGTATGTTTCTGAGAGGGCGGGAGAGTGTTGGATTGCGGAGTAGGAGAGGGATTGGAGAGATGCCGGGAGGGTGGTGAAGATTTCGGACGCTATGAACTATATTTGAGTTAGTATTGGCCATATTTATCCCGATATATATAAGCTAGAATGGACGAACATCGATAAAATCAGCCAGCTCTTCTGGGGTTTCATCACTGGTTGTGTTGGAATTCTTCCATTCATCCGTAGACTTTTCTGAATTGCTCTTCTTTTTCGCAATCTTCGACCGATTTGATCTCCGTTTGGGTGCCTTGTTTGGTTTGTGCTGGTTGCTTCTTGCGATGATAACACTAGACACGCACTCGCGGAAGACGGCATAGTTGGATTCAGATTCGCCCGAGGAAGCCATTATTTATCCAAAATTAAGCAGCATCCGTTGATACAGTGACAACTGACAAGAGCGAGCAAGCCCCGACTAATACCCAACGATTTGTTGACGGTTGAGATTTGTATTGGGGCCCCAAGTTGACAGCCAGTTGACAGAACGCTGAGCAGTAGTCAAAACTCCCGATGCTACTCGGCGACAGCAAAGACTTAAGTCGTCACTAATGATTTCTACGGTATTCTACTCTCCGTCAGACCGAGTCAGTTGAGCGGAGGTCGAGATTTACAAAATAGCAGAGCGATTGAGGTGATGTACCGCAGAAGAATTTTTCCAAACGCTCCACGAGGGAGAAGAAGAATTTGGGGTAAGTCGGCGGAGACAAGTCCTTTCTAACCTTCTATTTCCCCTCCAGAAAGATCCATTGAGAGATGAGGACTTCAGAGTGAATAAGAAGGTGTGATCAGTTGAGTAAGAGAAGAGAAAAAGGCACCAGGGAAGAAATTTGTGGGCTTATATAGCTGCGCCTCTCACCGCCTGCTTATCGATAAGGCCCGACTCGAACCGGCCCGGACGGATTCCGCTTCTGCCACACTGACATTTGGAAGCCGACAGCAGGCAACCTTGGATCCTTGATCACTCTCGCATACCTCCATCTTGCTCTCTTGGTGTAGTCGTTGGAAATCTTCTGGGCGAGGTTCATTATGTATTGGGATCTGGGGAAAGCCGCCTGGCTTTTCCCTCTCCGCGTATGCTTGCTCCCTTGCACTCGTTGCTCTTGTGGGCGCGAGCTTCTAGCTAACTCGGCCTTGATCTAGGGAATCTACTATTTCGCATCACGTCGCTTCCTCTGGCCTTTATTTAAGACTCGCTTAATACCAATCGTCCTTCTTTCTGCCTTTATATACGCTATCCTCTTTTCATTCGCCTACTTACCGCAAGTAGCCTTCCTCGCCATCTTTCAAGGCTCCGGTGCATGGGTCAGTGGTGCTTTCTTGGTCCTGGGAGAAGGAGCTGCTATTGTCGCTGGGTTGTTCGAGGCGTTCTTCGTCGATGAGACTCTCGTGGATATATTTGATGCTGTGTTGGTGAGCGAGGGACAGGCGGAACTAGTTGCTGCCTCTCGAGTGCTATACCCTCAGGGTGACGATGTCGTCAAACGATTGGGAAAGCCCACACAGGCTGCAGTGTACTCGCCTTTCTCTCTGCGGCAAATCCTAGAGTTTGTCGTCCTTCTCCCCCTGAACTTTATTCCTGTTGCGGGCACCCCTATGTTTCTCATCCTGACTGGCTACCGCGGCGGGCCTTTTCACCACTGGCGGTACTTCCAACTGTTGGATCTTTCCAAGCCGCAGAGGAAGGAGAGGATTCGGAAAAGGCAACTACAATATACCACGTAAGTTTATATGCCCTAGCCCAAAAGTTTGCTGAGCCAGCCTCTCACATCAATGGCAGATTTGGAACAGTGGCTTTGGTCCTCCAACTGATCCCTGTGTTTTCCATGTTCTTCCTGATGTCAACTGCCGTTGGCGCGGCGTTGTGGGCCGTTGAGATCGAAAATCGGCGGCCTCTACTGAGCGGTCGACCAGAACGAGACGCACTTTATCAAGATAATGATGACACCATGCCATAATTTTGATAATGTGTTTCAGCATCCATGTTTCTATTATTCAGCCGATACCATGTACATTTTCTCATAATAACTGATTTGGAATTTTGATCTGACCATCGGCACTTAATCTGGTACCCGAAAGTCCATTTCGTCGCCCCAAACTCAAAGTCAAATCCGACATGAGATGAGGCGTGGGCTGTGGCGGACTTCCAATCGCATCTCGCGAATATGTCGCAGCCTTTTCTCGTAAGCGCTGGCATTCTCGTTGCCCTTGTAATCCGTTTTATGATTCCCCACGCCCCAACAGGAACTAGAGGCCATAGGCAGCCCTTTTGCTTTCACAGGAATGATTCCCTGTCCATCTGTGACATCACACGCCCGGGGGAAGTGCATTCTCCGAGATTTGGCTATCCTGGAGGGTTAACCAGTCCGATGTCTGTTGAGCGGACTGCCAGGAAGAGCATTACTCCGGACGTTTGGAGGTCTTGTCTCTGACGATCCCCGTCTCGCGGCCGAACGGGCAGCGAATCCCAGGCAGCCGCACTGCCACCACAGGGGTAACCCCACAGGTAAATGGCTTTCAGCGTCACACCTTAAGACTCAAGGAGACAAGACCCTTCTTTGGGCAGCATCACTCTGGCCTGATGTGGGCCAAGATGGCTCCGTGAAATTATCTCGCCCTTTGTAAGTCTTTGTCAGCCGCGGGGGGTTGTAAGTTGACGATTACCATTGATTTCCGACGGGCCAACGGCTTGGTGAGTGTTTCTGGCAAAAGACTCGAGTTGGTTGGCTTCCTCCTGCATGGCTTTTGAATAGAGTTCAGTGCGTGTTCCCCGTCCATTCGGAGAGTTGTTGAAGGTGCGGAGTCTCGAATGTTCCCTCAGCACACGATCATCCGTCCAGAGCCGGTTCTCAGTCATCACGGCTCACGAGAGCTAAGACAGGGTATGCTGTGTCGTCGCTTGCCCATACTAGTTATCCCTGGCTGTGTACTGTAGACTCGTACGGTGCTCCTCGGGGTCGAGTTCTCGAGCAGTGCCGATTGTAGACCCTCGCCCCAAGCAGGGGCCCCAGTATGAATTCATAATGCAGGAGGACCAGGGGATCGAGTGCCTGAAATGGCTAGGCTGGATCTGCGGCTATCTCGAAGGGCTGGCCAACAGCAATCAATGGCACAAGATGCCAGGAAGGGGAAATGTTGGTGATGGCCGTCGCAGTGACTGGGCGTGGAGCGGAAGGTCGGGGCAGCCTTCCGGGCGCGTCTTAGTTGCACCTGCTGCTCTTGGTAAACCTTAATGATGTTTCCAGAAATCTCTCATAGTAGTCTAGTTCCGGGCCTCCCCAGTCGTGATCCAGTCTGAGTCTCCTCGTCCCTCCCTCCCATCCTCCCCGTTCCCGTTTTTCTCCTCTCTGCTCCCTCCCCCTGTCGTTCGATCGTTTCTCGCAGCACCGCCCAAAAATGTGCCTCATCGTAATGCATTAACTCCGCCGTCCCCCGGCTACTTGAAGCTCCCATCGACCCACCACCATGACCACCTGAAAGCACAGCTATGGAAATCGCTTCTCAACGACTCGCGCATTAATGGACCAACGAACCCGGCTACAGAAGGCCTGCGATGCCTGCAGTATCAGAAAGGTCAAGGTATGTCGCGGATATCTGAGCTCTCCCCAGTTGAAAGCTACCCCAAATAGACTGACTCGGTGGGCGTGGGGTAGTGCGACACCAGCGGACCCCCCTGTCGGTCGTGCGCGAGCCTGAATATTCCTTGTACATACGAGAGGCCGACTCGACGACGTGGTCCGCCAAATCGCCATGCCGAAGCTTTCAAGAAGCAGAAGCTTGGAGAGACGCCGGCGCCTTACGGCGCCTCCAACTCGCCTTCGCCGGATCAAACCTCGCAGCTATCGCCGTCTTTGACGGGGAATGGTATCCCGGCCACCTCAGGCGCGCTATCTCTGGAGTCGATTTGCTCCCTGCCCACGATCCAATTGCTTATTGATGACTACTTTACCTATATCCACCCGCTGGTTCCCGTCCCCCATGAACCCACATATCGCGCTGCCCTCAGTCGGAGGGAAGACCTCACTCAAAGCACCTTTTTAGCCATGACGGCTGGCATGATCGGATCATTGGTGGCGTCCTTCCCACGGAGACCGAAATTGCATCTGAAACACGAGGAAAGGGCGGCCTTTCCGCATTCCACTGCCTTGGTCAAGAGGTGTCGTGACATAGCTGTTCAAGCGAGGGGATCTGGATATCTTGATCGCACGCCTACTGTATACGATGCTGCTACCAGCTATTTTCTTGGTCTTTGTTCTGGCTACGTCTGGAACATCCGAGCATGCAGGTCCTATTTTGCAGAGTGCATGACCATGATCCATGTTTATAACCTGTGCAACCCGTCCCAACCCCGTCTTCCACCCATGGGTCCCACGAGCCCGGCTTCTTCTGCCTCGTTCCAGTCGCAGGATACGGGAAATGAACATCCGGTCAGCACTCTCGATGTGGAACTTGGCCGCCGTCTATTTTATACAACGCTAGTCGGTTACCGGACATTGCAGCAGATGGGCTCTCACGACGCGGCACTCCATGTTCCTCCTGAAACCCCAACCGAGCGCTATCCGCCTCTACCTCTAGAGGTGGATGATGAATACATGTTTCCAAACCACGTAGAGCCGCAACCGGCTCACAGGGTCTCCCGACTTGTGGGATTCAATGCCAACGTGCGCGTATACAGCTCCTACAATCCAATATCAGCTTGGGAAACCGCTTTCGGAGCAGGACAAATATTCGACTGGGATAGACAAAGGTTTGTCATATACGAATGTTTGCAGAAAAGCAAATTGGCGCTGGCGAATGTTCCAAAGGAACTGTCATTATTTATGACGGAAGGTGGCCCTTTGGACCCGGAGGAGGATGTCAAAATGGTGCTTGATAACGAAGACTTGAGTTCCTCGGAGAGACGCCATGTCCAGTATGAGATACAAAAGGCCAATATATACGCCAGCCAGCTTGCGACCCGGTCATACTTGGTCGAGAAGTACTGGAGCCTTCATGAAGCCTGGAAAATATATCAACCCCAACCCAATGAACCATCTCCCATGGCTTCAACAGCGGAAAATGGAAGCGACCCAGCAGACTATATTAGCAATACCATGATTGAAGAGCGACGATTGGTGATTCGAGATCTCTTTGTCCTCCTGCAATCCGTCAACGAGATCAATATGGAGCCTAATGGCTCAAGTGTGGTAAGTTCCGGCCTCGTTATACAAGTATGGAGCCTGATACTAACCAAAATTCTAGACATCCAAAATCCGCCAAATCGCATCGACCTTATTAGATTTATCCAAATCTACTTCCACATTCTCACCCACACCGACCATGGCGGGGCCCCAACCCCTCACCAGAGCCGAAGCAGAGAGGTATTTATACGCATTTATAGACACTCTGGTTCGTCTGGAAGGCTTAGGTTCACCCACGAAGTCACCTGCTAGTCCCCAGACACAGGGCCGAGCAATGAGCTACCTAAGTGATCATGATCGTGACGAGGAGGAATTGCGCCACTGGGCCAGCTTAAAGGCGTACCAGGCCAAGTTTGCCGATGCTGGTGGTTTATTATCTGAAATCTGAACCTCAACCCTTTCGGTTAGCGAACAACAATAATGCGCCACCAACACAGTGCAATGAGGCCATCATCAAAATCCCGAAGGCAGCTCTTATTCGGTTCTCACCAAAAGTGAATACGATGGGCAGTGAGAATTAACCGGAGCTTGACCTGTGAAAGTGGAGGCCAGCAGGTTCTTTGGAACCTAACACCCACCCCTCGTGAACCTTCACCACTTTGGAGGCGCATTCTATCCAAATCCCGGCCGCAATCACGAGAACCTGATCAGCGCGGGTCCGAAAACCCACAGCGCTGATCCCACTTTTAGCTCTTTCTCTGTTCGGATGTTCTGGGCCCCGGCGATAGACTCTAAACAGTTAACCCCCCGGCTTCAGATGGCGTCGCAATGACTTTCAAATGGAGATACCATTATTGCGACTGGGATCTTCTTAGTGACCCAGAAATGAGCCAATTTTCCAGGTTAGCCGATGTACATTTTGGAGACATCTTGGGGTCTGACGGCTCAAGCATCTTGAGCCAAGCTATACAAAGCAGCGTGTATCTGCAAAAGCCAGGCACGAAAAGGATATGTGTATATATTCTGTATTTATCAACAACATTACTTGTACATGAATTGAAAATATATGCCAAATTTATCAGGCCTTCCAAACCCAGACGTCTATTAATGCTATGCTTGATATCTAGAACCATATATTTCTACATAATATCGCAAGTAAACGTCCTTTTTGCGTACTGATTTTTTTGAATTTTTTTGAATTTTTTTTTTTTTTTTTTTTTTTATAAGTTCCCTCCTTCTCCCAATCATAATTAGAATGCTATGATATTATCGCTACGTACAGGAAATGCAAGTCAAATTAGGTAAGTATACAGGAAAGCAAGGACGAAAGTCACTACGCCGTAACCGTCACAGTTTCTGCAGGTTCTTTTTCCGTAACGGTCGTAGTCACAGTAACTGTGATCGTAGCGAATCCGGATGGCGTGTAGGGAACAAGAAACAATCCGTCATCGTCATCATCATCATCATCATCACCAACGCCACCACTGATGAGGTTATTCTGGGAAGCGGCCGTAACGGTTTCCGTTGCCGTTGCAGTGGTTGTCATTGACAGAGTCTCCGTTTTTGTGGCAGCGACAGTGAATGTTTCTCGGGGCTGAGGAGTTTCTGAAGCCTCTTCCGTGGGAAGTGTGGACGTTTGGACGATGGTCGATATCACTGTGACTGTCGTCGTAGAAGTTGGTTCTTCCTTAGCGGTGGAGTCCCAGGTGGTGGCTGCACTTGTAATTGTCGCTGTTTCTTCGGATTTTTCTGTCTCAGCTGGCAAGGTGGACGTTTGGACAATGGTCGATATCACCGTCATTGTGGTCGTAGAGGCGGGCCCGGGTTCTGCCTCCGTGGTAGGGCTGGACGTTGTAGTTGGCACCTGTTCTTCCGCCCCTAAAGTGGATGTCTGCACAACGGTGGATATCATCGTGACTGTTGTTGTCGGGGTTGATTTGTCCTCTGCAGTGGGGATAGGAGTTGCATCCGTTGGTAAGGTGGACGTTTGGACAATTGTAGAGACCTCTGTAACAGTGGTAGTAGAAATGGGTTCCTCGACAACGGGGCTAGAAGTTGCATATGTGGCTGTGGCTATTGGCTCCGGTTGATCTGTGGCTAAAGTAGACGTCTGCACGATAGTCGAGATTGCTGTGATGGTTGTTGTGGAGCTAGGTGTTCCTTCGGAAATAGAGAAATTCGTAGATGTCGAGGTGGAGGTCGGAGTAGATGTAACGGAAGGGACTGGTGAAGACTGGAAAGTCGAAGTTGTAATAGTCGAGCTAGATCCACCCCCAGAGCCACCTCCAGGGAATATCGTTTCGCTCGTAGGATACCCAGAACTTGTGCCAGGCGTAACTCTGATTATAGTTGGGGTTGTCGGAGTAGGTTTCATACCATTACTGGTACCAGTTGTAGGGATTATGGAAGTAGAGCTTGTTTGCGTTTGCGCCTCCTTCGAAGATTGTGCTCCGGTTGTAGCTTCTGCAATGGAGGCTGTCTCTTGACTGACAGAGGACTCAGTACCCGTTGCGCCAGGTGAGATCAGGTTTGATGATGACGGTGCGTGGCTAATCCCATGCACGCTTGAACTTGTCTCTACTGTGATGATTGGTTGTGAAGAGGTATTTGCACTTTGAGTCGTACTTGAGATTGGCACCGTACTGGTCGTTGTTGTCTGCAAGCCATATGAGCTTTCATTCACAGATTCGATGCCGTCTGAGTATGTAGATATAGATGCAGGCGAAGTGATTAGAGGCGCGGAGGTAGGCTGGTCGGTGCTTGACACAGAGTCGGTGCTCGGAAGCTCCTCAATGACCCCAGCCGTTAAGTGGGTAGATGAACCAGATGGAGATGTTGACTGAGTAGTTGAAGTTTCCATGCTCGTCGTAGCGGTAGTCTCATCAGCTGTGGGAGTGGGAGTCCTCGTCGCAGACCCAGCATCTGTATCAGAAGGCGAGGGTGTTATGCCTGGCGTAGCGGTGGTCTCTTGTGCTGTTATAGGTGTTGGACTAGGGGTATAGGTTGCAGTATCTGTTTCTATAAGAGTAGACTCCGACGTCCCTGAGTTCATAACAGAAATATCACTAGCGTCTGGGGTGACAGGGATCAACTCCAGGGGGCCATCGTCGACGTCGTCCCTGGCCACGAGGGGGCGGATAGAAGCGAGCGAAGCGGTTGAGGCGGAATCCAGCGCATCACTCCTATCCGGATGAAACAAGAAAATCGGGCCAGCCGAAGCAAAAGACAATAGAAGAAAGAAGAGAGCGATCATAGCGAGAATCGTAGAAAAAGAGTGTAGGCGGCTAACAGACTGAGCGAGTGAGGCCATCGCAGTGGGCATGCAGGGGGGACTTTTAGAATATATTAGCAAGATGCATAATGACTGGATAGCCTGAAAGAAAAATATAAAAAAGGAAGGAAGGAAACACAAAGGGAAGACGACACAAAGCAAGTAACACTACTATTCCTCTGAGTCTGCAGCAGGGCCCTGGTGATTTATGATGCCGCCGGGACACTCTCCAGGATCCAAATTTAGGACTCTGGTTGCCTGGACGAGCCTGGATCGTCGCATTCTGCAGGATCTGGAGCAGCTTTGAGCTAGTTCCTGGACTGGGTTGAATGGTTGGCTGTGAAGAGAAATCCAACTGGCGCGCGTCAAAGGACGATCGAGATGCACCGCAAACAATAAAGTCATTGGCGCTGGGAGCTCAGAGGCGCCCACTCTGAAACGCCAGCACCGGCAGAAATAGAATGGAGTTAAATGCCTGTCGAATAATGCACAGGATACGGTGAAGCTTAATGGACTAGTAGAATTAAAAATAAATTGAATAGTCCTTGCACAGTAGCTATCCCAGACATGGATCGTTATCATAACTTAGGCGGATCCCGCACGCGCCGTTCAAATAGCAACATTAAAGGGCTCGTCAATCCCCTCGAAAGCCTCGATTTTCCCATTGAGGCCCTTAGCATCTCCGTAGTAATGGAACCGATAGACCCCGGCCTGCACTGGGCGAGGACTCCCGGAAGAGTAGTAGTCGTCCTCTATTTCCCACTCCAGGGTGACCTCACTGTACCCTAAGACAGTATTCGTCCTCTTCCAGTGATACAAAAGGTTCCAATCGCCGTCATTGCGCACCGTTTCCCAGTTTCCACCGTCCGTTTGTCGCTCAACCACTGCAAAGGTTGACTCTGATCGTAGGTTATTCCTCGGGTTAGCGCCGACAAAAGTGGCGCTCACTTTATCGCCTGGTTTATATTTGGCATTTCCAGCAGACGTAATAACGTCCCCATATGATTTATCGAGCGGATGGCCATCGAATACAACGGATGGGATGAAACTCAGAGAATTGTCAGTGTTGATCGGTGGCTCGATTCCGGACGGCTCAGGATATCGACCCTCTGCCTGGGCGGATTCGTCCAGATAAGGGAGATAAGTTAGCGTCAAATTGACATAGGCGGCTAATGTATTTGGCCCATAGAGTGTCGAGGCCCCTTCATACCGTTGCCTACCATACTCCTCCTCGGTGGTCACATAGTGCGCATAACTGTTCGCCGGGGAGCCCAAAACCACCAGGGGATCAGTAATTGAGAGCGTTTCGCTTGCGGATTTTGCAATCGCATCTTTCCAGCGCCGTGCTGCCATGGTCGTAACTTCGCTGGTGGAAATCGCAAACATCAGCTGCCCTACACGAAGGAGCTGAATATCCACTACGTTTGGAGACCAGGCGTAGGGTAAGCTGAGGTCTCCAACATCTAGAAGGACATCTTTCGGATGTTGACATTTCTGTTGCTCGGGCGTTGGCTGATGGAGAAATCCTCGAACAACGTACCACAGCGGGTTACGCTCCGCAGGCGTGGTGTCATTCTGAGTGAAGTCAAAATAACCAGGCCAGTCAGTAGTACCAGCCGCAAAGGAAAACCCAAGAGCTGCCGAACAAGTGCTTAGGGTGCTGGAATTGAATGGTGACTGGAAACTATAGCCATCCAAATTCTCGAAAAGGTGGAATGAACTGACTTGAGAGCTTTTACGGATTGGAATGGCGTCGATACTCATTTGGCCATGCAGGTCTTTGGCAGCAGTGTATTGCCGCAGTCCAATCTCAAAGCAGCTCTTTGCACCTTGGTCGTTCTCGCGGAAAAAAGGGCCACGCCCGTGGCATTTGTCGGTCTTTCCACCACATGTACTGTCTGTGTAGCGACATTCTTCACCAGAACCATCTTCGCACCATGCCCCAAGAATATTGGGAGAAGTGTCACCGACGCTAGACTGAGAGAAACCAGCCACAAAATTATCCGCAAATTTCGAATCATCTTGGACACTTCTTTCAAATAGCCAAGCAGCAACACCTTTGTTGTCTCCGGTGACGAGGGTGTTATTGCCGTAAAGTGATGTGCCATGTACCGGGAAGAATGTTAAGACAGCAGTTGTTTTGTTGTCACCCTCCCTGTCAAATCTCAAGAGGCTTAATGTTTTATCAACATTGGAAGGATATCGTGCTCTTTCTTCCTCCGGATTGGCCTCATAAGAATATGGGCTTCTGTTGATACTTGCATCCTCAATGTTTGTTGTGCCGAAAGTAAGACGACCAGGAGCAAGGCCCTCATGAGCTCTCTTTATGGACAGCAATACGCCATCCACAATTGCGTTGAAGCTTTGTTTATCGAAGCCTTTGTTGGGAATTTGAGGGAGGAGATAATTATACCATGCGCCTGGACCTGAATGAGAATGTGTGCCTGTGAGGGCAAGATTGTGGTCGCCATATCGCGCGTATTCATTGCCCAAGCCGGCAAGTTTTTGTAGGACACTGTGTCGTACTCCAGTGTCCCCCGTTAAGGTATCAAGGATTACATAGATCCAAGTCTCCTCGGGGTTATTACGGTTTGCCACGATGAATGCTCGCGAATAGATTCTCTGACGAAGACCTGTACCAATTTGATCGAGGTTGGCAAAACCACCGAACCCTATCTCCACAACAGGCCTGTATGTATTCTAGTTAGTACTTCGAGTTGGGGACATGTGGAAGCATTGAGTTTACCCAGTTATGTCGGCTTTACCAGCTCCTAAGAGAAAAATGTCATCATCGTCAACGTAGCCTGGCGACCGATCGTCCCATTGTGTCTTCACCTGAAACGCTGGGGATTTTCCTGAATCGTGAAGCACCGAGAGGACTTGCAGCAAGATAACAGCAACGATAAACGTCCCGACAAGAGCGATGTTGAGTCTGTTATTTGCCATTTTTTCCAGTGCAAAAAGATGGATTCGCACTCCAAGCCCTGTGGAATTTTATGACATCAGAGAATCCTTCCACGCAGGGTGACCGAGACTATTTATTCTCTTCGTCACTGTCAGGGGATGAGAAGTCTAAAGTACAGATGACCGAGGAACTTACCAGGGTCGTTCCTGGACACGGCGGCCTCGGAATATTTTCAACCTCTCTTCGAATGAAGGGGGATTACGGAAAGGTTCTATTGGCGACCAGACAGCTCAAGGTCGGATCGAAGTCGTGCCTGCTTCTCCTCTTGGATTTGTCGCGACCTTTTTCGATGTTGTCTGATTGGACACGATTGGGAGTCCCCGCGCCGAAACCAGAAAGATTCGTCAAAGAGGGAGGGTCATCTGCGAGTTCCCTGAGCTCGAGTGGAGAACCAGGTTGCGAAGAGTGCGATGATCGCGGGCATGTGCTGATGGAGCTGGAGACTAACTTAGGTAGCATGCCTCAGGGCCAAGTTGTGGCTGCACATTGGTCAATATCTAAGCCAATGAAGAACATCAATCACGAGGAACAAAAATCCGGAGCAATCCAGTGTATGGACGTACTCTGTATTGACATAGTGATCTGACGAGAGGTAGAGATGTTTGGTGAGATCTAGAAGTATACCTTGAGCATGCATGGATGGCACCGGGAGAACACAATGATCATATTCGTGGGTATCGAACCTCGGCGCCAGCCTGGAGGCAGATCGGGCCTGCCCGATCGGATGCTCAGCCCCCACAATTTCCATTTCAGGAAGGTAGCATAGGAATCATGGATACTTACTCATCAAGAAGCACGTGATTTATGAGCACTGAGCAAAAAAGATGAGCTTGACTTGGTGAATATTGTTGCCGTCGACTAGGTCCCTACTTGCTAAACATCCCCCAAGCTCCTACGTGGAAAACTGAAGTCAACTGTCAGCGCATTCAATTATTCATACTCCCAATGCCTTTGATAAATGAATCCCACGACTCCCTCCCGTGTAAGATTCTTGCCGCGACATTTTGGAGCCGAAGTTCTGACTTGGTATAGATATCGATGCGGCGCCATCTACCCAGGCCTGGGCCAATGCAGAGAGATTGATCGCGGCAGAACTTTCATCAGATTATCAGTCCTCAACACATCCGTCGATTCCTGAATTCGCCGAGCCCAAATTCACCCCCTGTATCCAGCAGGAAATCGAGCGCAAGGCGGCTGGAAAGCCTCTTACTGGCGGAGTCGACCTTTCACGCTACGAGGCACCAGAGCCACCAACTCGCTCCGCTGATTCTGCGCCAGACCTCGATGAATGGCGTCAGACGTTGCGGAAAGCATACACAGCTAGTTCGCACCTGTCTTCACGGCATGAGAACCTCACACTCCTCGAAGAAAGCGGCAAGAATGCGTGGTTGATCGGGAATTCCCAATTGGAGGATATACTCAGAGTACTTGAGAAGGAATTGGCGGAGACAAAGGAGGCGGCGGAGAATGTCAACAAGCAACGAAAGATCGCACAGGAGGCGAGCCATGGAGAGCTTAACGGGCTCCAGGAGTCATGGCGACGCGGTGTTGGTGCTATCCTCGACGTTGAACTCGCCGCCGAGGACTTGCGAATGAAGATTCTTGAACAGAGACGACAATACGCGCAGCAGCATGCCCGGTAGGTGGGGCCATGTCAAACAATGTGCGACGACTCGGAATTGCGGGAGCGCACACGCTCTGATGCCATTTGCAGCCAGATCCCGGTAGTAGCTTTTGAAAAGGCTTTGGAACACTTGAACGGCCACGTCCATTGATCCTATTCCGGGTCTATTTCAGACACCGAAGGGTATATTACAAGGCCATCTTTTAATATCGGACCCCCTAATGTGCCAGGACACGTTGAAGCGTTTAAAGCTATGGCTGGGTACAGAGGTCACGCAAACCGCCGTGCGCCATCGCTTCGCTCAGTCTTGCTGGACAATTGGCCCTTGAAACCTCGAGCTATGCAGACATGCTAGTTGCTGTAAGGCGTGGACTACATTAATGATGTGGCTCTGTGGCTCTATAGAGTATGGAGTATCTGCGCGTCTTATCTGACTACTCAACGTACTTAATAGTCTTAGTGCTGTGGATACCCGTGTCTTCCCTTGAAGACTACAAAATTTTAACTGAATGATATGAGAATTCTGTACAGAAGAATTAGATAGTATTAATTGTATAACTATTGAATTCATGACGCCTGACCCCATGTGGACAAATACTCTCAATACAGCCCTAATCTCCCCATAATTGCACCAGCCCCCTTTTTAGAAGCAAGACGATTCCAATGTAACAATTCCTTACACACGCCATCCAGCGAAGTCAGCGGCGGGTCGTATCCCAACCCACCCTGCTCAGGGGATTTACGTGCGCGAGAATCGTCAATGATGAGGTGAACATTAGCTATCGAAAAGACAGAGGGCTGCAGTTGACTCAGGTCGCGCTTCATCTCCGGAAGCCAGGGGAGGTAGAAGTGCCGTAGCAGGGCGTACCACTCAACGAAATGGGACAGGATGAGCATTGGGGCCGGGGGTACGTATGGAAATCGAATGGGCGTTGTGACGAGGGTCGTTAAAAGAAGGTATAAATCGCCGAATGAGATGGCTGGGTTTGGATCCGTTACAATGAACGCGTCTCCGCCGATGTTTGGTAGATCGAGTGGGTTTTGAGTGTGCTCGATGAGCCGTTGCTCGTAAAGAAGGTGCGCTATGGATACGTTTTCTGCGTTGACGAAGTTTTGGATTATCTGGGGAATCCAACTAAAAACATAAATGAGTTGAGTTAGGCCAAGTTCAGTATGTAAGCATGGGGATGAAAAACTTACGTTGGAGCACCGCCCATTTTCAGGTATATCCCGATGAGGGTTGCACAGGTCTCGCTGCCAACGCCATATATTCCATTCGCAGGTCGGATACAACCCGTACGGAAGTTGGTTTTGATGTCATCGGCCTCCCGTACGATGATCTCTGCCTCTCGTTTTGATACCGCATAAGTTCCAAAAAACTCATCGTGCTCCTTTGGGGGTTCAGTTGCATCACTAAGGACCTGTACAAAGTGTTTCGGGGTATTTTTCCAAGGCGCAATCCAGAAAGTAGGGGAGCGCATGCAGACGGAGCCGGAAGATGTTGAGATGAAGCAGCTCGCGCCCGCCTTTTTGGCAGCATTTAGCACATTAATGGTCCCACCAACGTTCACTTTACGGCAGATAGAAAGGAAGGCCTCGTGGCGGTCTTCTGGTCGAATCATGGCAGCGTTGTGGAACACTGTCAACGGCAGATCAACGACAGATTCCGGCCATGGCTGTGTGAATGCGTCATATACAGCATTCTCATCAACAATATTTGTTTTGACGAAGGTAACACCTAGGTCAAGAAGCTCACGACGAGGTGATGCAAGATCTAAGGTTCGAATAGCTGCTGGATTTTCCCCTCGAGCCACGAGATGCGATATGATCCAGTTACCAACAAGTCCTAAATTAAAGTCAGCAGTCATAATCTAACCCTGCCACCGCACATGACATGCATGCAGCAGTTCATGAAGCGTCCTCAACGTACCGGCTCCTCCAACAACAATGTAGCGCCGGCCCTGTTTCGGGGGCAAACTTTTAGTAACATCAACAGGGTTATCGCCTGCCCTCTTATATGCGGCCATGATTTCATCGACGTTCAATCTATGAGGGGACCACTTGCGAGCCTCCTCAGGGATCCCGCTCATTGAATGGTTCACATGGTAGACGTAGAGGAAGCCGAGCACGGCGATGCCCAAGAGTATAACACCCAACATTATATATAAATTGCAAACTGATGGTTCTTATCAGCTTCAAGACAAGCGATGTAGGACGCGATTTGCTTACAGCTTTTATAGATACTCCTGTGAGCCTGGCCTCCTCAAGTCCTCACTAAAAAGGGACAAGGAGGGAGTGAAAGAACAACATAATCTGAAAGAGCCACAAAGCCCGAGAAGGCCACCAAAGATGGCCAAGCTCTCGAAGCGAAGCAGGTTTCGGAGTCATGGAGGCCTCATCAACAGGAATACCTGCAGAAGCGCAGTTGCGACAATATTTAGTCGGTTCGGTTAGAGCACTCGAGCTCCCGGGCCCCCCCCCGCCGTTCGCTTAAAGTCCTCATTGCGCCATCCCTGTCCTCCGCTTCTTGGGGATCGAAACGAGCAAATTAAAAGGCGCCAATTAAACCAAGGCCCCGGTGGTTTTTCTTTGCCGGCTCCTGCAACTTTGCATTTACGAAGCGATGCTGGGTAGGGTTCACGTGATAAATATCTGTGTATACAAAGTACGGACCTAATAGAGCCTGATGATATCTCGCACGGGCCGATCCTTAAGTTAAACAAGCGGTTCACTATTAAAAAGGGCCTGGAGATCATGGAATCATGCTGCGATTTGGCTCCTTGAAGAGGAATATGCGAAGGGAGCAAGTGTTTTCATTAAACAGCAGGACCCAGGCATCTGTATTGTGTACTGGTTGAATAAGCCCAGCCTTATTAGCGCAAGCGATTGTCTCCAGACAAATAAGCTCTCCAGACCCATGATATTGATAGTTCGATCGCAATAATCTTCACACTTTCCAGAGTATAGCAGAACACGTGACTATCCGCTCGGCCTTCTGCCCGAGGTTTCTGGACTCAAACTGGGCATAAGTTCGTTTTGACGGCTGCTGCCATGCGCCCTGTGGGCTGTCCATGTTGGCGCATGCTCTGACACGAGTCGGGCCGGCCTGCTTTCAACTCTCCTGCATGAAGAGGTGACATGTGCACAAGGTGAAGCCAGACTCGCCAGTCGCCTTAACAAAAAGGCCGGTGGGGCCCTTGGCTCACATTCTCCTCACTGTTGATTGTTGAAGGTTCGGGAAACCGGCACAGGCGGTCAGTCAGTTGTGCTGTGACTGGGCAGCCCCCTTCTTGAACCCCTGAGTCTCAGTTTGATTCTGGGGTTGTATACGGACAATCCTCATGACTACATGACTTCTTTGCAAAATTCTCCTTTCCTGAAGCTCCGATATGCTCGGGCAGCCATTTTGAGATGACTGCTTGGGTCAGCTATTACTCCCCCGAACGAAGAAGAAGCCGTCCGGATATAATTTTCCTCGGATATTCCCCGTGGAGTCGGCTTCCGTCTGGCGTACGGAGTACCGCGCACCATATGGGGCTCGGCAACCATCCACCGTCCTATTCTGATATGGGTCTCAGAGTGGGCCTCTTGTCCGTTGTAATCGTGATGGCGCGGTCGAGGGCTCACTGATTCATGAGATATTAATATGGGTCACAAGGTTTCGAAGATCGTGAAGCCAAATTACGAATGCAGAATGCTTGGACGCATCATTCGGTATTCTATCCGAGAAAACCACCCAAGATGTGTGAGCAGCAAAGGAAGGATCTGGGCTTCTGGCGGGGTTAGCCTCGGCCCACGACCCAGACCGTAGAAGAGGTTATTCAGTGCTTGTCTCGTCCTGGACACAATGCACGTAGGGGCGCAGTGATTATCCATGAAGGGCCAGACGTCCTCCTCTTGGGCAGCCTCTCCATGCTCTATACAAGTCCAATGACCATCGAGCCGTCCACTGACACCGAATGCAGCCTGCACGCCTTATCAGTGATCACTGTGGCGGGACTTGGTCCGTTGGTTTTCTAGTTCTGCTTTGATGCCCCACAGCCCAGGGCCTCACAGAAGAGTCTTTTAAAGATTTTCGGGCCGCTAACAGTTGCGTAGAAAATTACGTATAATGCAAATCGCCCCCCTGGCATACCAATTCTTAAAACTTTCCTTGCTTCCCTGGTAACCGAGCTTTTTGCTGTCTGGAGCTATTCATTTGACCCTTTCTGGCTTCAGTCTATGGAGTTTTAGCAGCCCCCGCAGATTTCTCCATGCGGCCAACGAAAGAATTCCCTTGTCGACCAAGAGCTACCTGTTCCCTAGTTTTATGCTTTACAGACGCCTCATAATCCAAATTTCGAATATACGATACTTCGCCTGGGTGTTGTTGTATCCTCATACAGCCTAGAAGGACCCCCATAGACTGAGCCCCAGTGCAGGGTTTAATACACTAGACAAGACCAGCTACTAGAGATTGCTAGTAGTCAGAAACAGCGATGTCAGCTACGCTAAATAATCCCTTAGATCCATCGAAATGCCCCCAACACAGTGAAGACCGCGCGGATGGCGACGCCCGCTCTATGGCAGGCTCGACCTCATCGGAGGACTCCCTTGACCACGTCGATGCCCTTGATCGCACTGTAACAAGCCGTTCGCGCATGTCAGAGCCCGACCTGACTAGGAGAGTCACATCGATTGGGACCACGGGCACGACGGATCCAAATTATGAAGTCGACTACGAAGACGGGGACGACCCGGCCAATCCCAAGAATTGGTCGTTCAAATACAAAGGCATGGCAATTGCGATGCTGTCCTGGAATACTCTAATTATGTGAGTCAATTCGACTCTTAACGCTTTTGAGCCTCGATGAACTGACGTCCCTGTCCAAAAAAAAAAAGTGTTTTACATTCTACGTCTTACACTTCCGGTATACCAGTCATCGGTGCAGAATTTGGCGCCTCAAATACCATTGTCACCCTGGGGTTGACGTTTTACCTTATTGGCCTGGCCATTGGGTCGATGTTCATGGCCCCGCTAAGTGAAGTATACGGCCGTAAGCCTGTGTCCATTGTGTGCCTGGGTATCTTCACAGTCCTGATAATCCCCTGCGCGCTGGCCCAATCCATCGAGGCTTTGATTATTTCCCGAACCATTGGGGCCTTATTCGGAAGTGTTATGATATCCACCGCACCAGGAATGGTGTCAGACTTGGTCACGGATGAGCAAAGAGCGCTGGCCATCTCTGTTTGGAGTATTGGACCTATCAACGGACCAGGTATGTCGTTTTCATGCTACGGTGCTTGTTATTTTGGCCACTAACTCTACTCCAGTTTTGGGTCCTATCCTTGGGGGTTTCGTGACGCAGTACCTCGGCTGGCGATGGATGAACTGGATTGCTTTGATGCTCTCTGGGGTTGCCTTAGCCTTTGCTTGCCTGATGAAGGAGACGTATAGTCCCATTATTTTGCAGAAAAAGGCCGCGCGCATACGCAAGGAGACAAACGATGACCGGTGGTGGAGTCGATACGACCAAAAAGCCAGTCTTCTGGATATGCTGAAAGTAAACCTCAGTAGACCATTTGTCATGGCTGTTCTAGAGCCCATCTGGTAAGAACCTACACAACCCATGTATCCCATTCAAACTCGGACCTAACCAAGCTCCTAGTATCTTCTGGAACCTTTACATCGCAATCGTGTACGGAATCCTCTATCTCTGCTTCACAGCCTACCCCATCGTCTTCCGCCAAATCCGCGGCTGGTCACTAGGCCTCTCAGGCCTCGCCTTCTGCGGCATCGGAGTCGGATGCATGATCATGATCGTCTGCGAACCCTTCGTCCGCCGCATGATCAACAGCCACAAGCACGACCCGGAAACCGGCAAGGTACCCCCCGAAGCCATGGTATCAATCGTGTGCATTGCCGCCGTCCTAATTCCCTCTGGAGAGCTCTGGTTCGCCTGGACCTGCGCGCCCGCCTCCATCCCCTGGATCGTCCCCATCCTCGCGGGTGTTTTGTTCGGTTGCGGGAACGCCGGTGTCTTTATCTACGCTTCGAATTACCTCACCGATAGCTACGGCGTGTATGCCGCCTCTGCACTGGCGGGGAACTCTGTCATGCGTAGCATCCTGGGTGGTGTTATGCCGCTTGTCGGTACCTACCTGTACGACGGGCTTGGACCGAACTGGGCGGGTACTCTGCTTGGATTGCTTGAGGTGGCGATTATTCCTATTCCATTTGTGTTCTACAAGTACGGGTATAAGATTCGGATGAAGAGTTCGCTTATCAGTCGGATGCAGGAGGACAAGAAGAAGCTGGAGAACAGGCGGAAGCGCTTGGAGGAGCGTTTGGCGTCGGAGGCTAATGCAGTGACTGGAGAGACGAGGGAGAAAGAGGAGGTTTAATGCAAATAACATTACATGCGCATTGCGCTTTGTGACAACAAGCGCAGGATTGGCAGAAGTTGATGGGTTATAAAAGTTTCAAAATTTTCTTGCACGGCTGGAGTTTGATACCATTATTTGGGTGTTTTACTTTTACTTTTTTATTTTTTTTTTTTTATTTTTTATTTTTTTATTTTTTATTTTTTTATTTTTTGGTCTTTCGGCAGACATCCCATAGCGCACTGGACATAATCCTATATCCCACTACTAGTAGTAATAGATAATGATGCAGACATGCAGTATCTACCATTCATGATGGCCGTTCATTCGACTGGGCGCCTGGTCCTCTCTACCTCCTGCGAATCACTCAAGATCCGTTCATATTCACCCAAACCAATCGCACCGGCTGGAAATACAATCACAGCATCAACATGCACAGATCCAGGCATAGATGCAGGGGTAGACGCCACCTCCTTGACCCAGGCAGCAGTCGGGGCTTTTCGCACATAACCGATGACATTAACCCACGCACCGACGCACAGCTCCTCCCAGGTCATCGTCTCCAGGATAGCATTGACATCGACCGCGATAGATGGGGGGTTCTCCCTTGGCTTTTTGGGCCGCGGACAGTTGTGCTCTAGGACCAAGAGCCCGGTAGAGATCTGATATGTTTTGACGCTGTAGGAAGTCCCAAGAAGCGGGTTAGGAGTATATTAGCTTTTCGTCCATTACCCACTTTTATTAAGCACAGACATGAAGGATTTCATTCGTGTCTAGCAGCGTATGCTAGGCAGTGATCAATATAGTGCAGCGGTTTCTACGCACCATCCAAGAAAGCGGACTTTAGAATCAGCCGGGAGAGAAGGGATGTCGGAGAGGAAAGCCCTCGTAGAAGGAAGAGGGCCGTTCATTCTGCGGAATGTACATAATAGATAAGCTTGGGGTCTTGTCTGGTGATGTCGCAGGTGCGCAGAAATGGAAGCCGTGAATGCGGACAAGTGAGCGCGCACGTGACCTCCCTTTGGCAGGCCTGGTGGCGCATGTCATCAGTCGACCCGGCGAATCTGGAGGGGAAAATAGCCTCGTTCAACTTCGTCCTCATCTTCCAGCCTTCGCTTTTCAGACTGTCGCTCTATTATTACTTTGACATATTGTCTGGTCTCTTCCGGTAGACTTTGTTCGTCCGTGGCGTTCTCACCACTTTGTTGCCTGGAGGTCTAGCGTCTCCCTCGCTATCTCCTTCCTCCCCACCATTCTTCCACCGGCTTCCAAGACGCTTTCCTCACCCGACGGCAACAGAACATCGAACTGCGGGGTGACCGTTTACAGTCGCTTAATTCCGCACCTGTGATATAACAGTCCGAACTCCCCGAAAAAAGAGCATAAGCTCTTATCCCGGTCAAAGATGTGGTCCTGGTTTGGTGGTGCGGCCGCCCAGAAGCGAAAGGATGCGCCGAAGAATGCCATCCTTGCGTTGCGGGAGCAGCTAGATATGTTACAAAAGAGAGAGAAGCATCTAGAGAATCAGATGGCCGAGCAAGAGGCTGTTGCTAAGAAAAATGTGGCTTCAAATAAGAACGGTCAGTACTGCCAGCTATTGTTATCCTAGATATCCGAGACTGACTTCCGCAGCCGCCAAGGCCGCTCTTCGACGGAAAAAGGTCCACGAGAAGAACTTCGAACAGACACAGTCACAGGTCGCACAGTTAGAGCAGCAGATATATGCTATTGAGGCGGCCAATATCAACCATGAGACCCTCAACGCCATGAAGATGGCTGGCACAGCCATGGAAAAGATTCACAACGGCATGACCATCGACAAGGTGGACGAGACAATGTATGTCTTTATCCCACTGGCGATATATTTACAAATCTCTAACAGAACTAGGGACAAACTCCGAGAACAAGCAGCGCTCAACGAAGAAATTGCACAAGTAATCGCCAACAACCCGCTGGGCGAGCAGCCAGACGAAGACGAGCTGGACGAGGAACTCGAGGGTCTGGAGCAGGAAGCCATGGACGAGCGCATGCTCAACACAGGCACAGTACCGGTTGCAGATCAACTCAACCGGCTACCTGCGCCAACGAACGCAGAACGTAAGCCTGCACTTCTCCGAATCTGCGCCTGAATTTGAGACCAGCTAACAGAAGCCCCTCCGTCAGCCGCCAAAGCGAAACAAAAGGAAGAAGAATCAGACGAAGAGGCCGAGTTGGAAAAACTACGGGCGGAAATGGCTATGTGATGATCTCCTTCGTCCTATACGGCCTGATTTTCCTTCTTCACTCCGCATATGATGGAATGGGGGACGAATTCGCTTATCATGACTCACTACGAGTAGCCAAACAGCTCGTTTCACCATCCATTTCGTCCGGGCTGTTGGTTTTCTTCCTCGTCTTCAACCCACCGCGTAATTCCAATGTCCCCTTCAATACCTTCACATACCGAGTCATCGAATGATTCATCTTCGTATTGGGGACAGAGGTCTTGGTTGGAAGTTAGAAATTGGACACGGTACACCACTCTACTCACTGAGCGCTGAATATTCCAGATACTACATCACAAGGAGTCCTTGCGCACTGTGCTGTTCCTTCCTTCCGTCCTATGCTGTTCGGTTTTGATGATACGCCTCCTTTTCAAACGGTTAAATGGGACGTTATACTTCTTACGCTATCATGCCATTATATGTTCTGTTATGTTACTACAGCGCTCCCTATCTTTTTAATCCCACATCGATGCATTGATCTAGCTTTGTTTCACCGGGACTCTCCAGATATAACGACTAGTAATCAACTGCTTAGCCAGGCATCCTTCATTCAATGGCTACGGATACAGTCGAAGTAAAGAAAGTGAAGACATAAACAAATTCATGCCATTAAACAATTAATTAGAATAAAACTAGGTAGTAAATAAATAACTCCCATTTTCCATCTGCACCCATTTACCAACCACCCAAACAAGTAGAAACAAACCCAGTAAGCCGGAGAACCATGATCGAATATTCATTGTACTGCATGTAGGTGATGACCATGATGTCGATATTTCATTTCAAAGAGAGAAGAAGAAAAAGGGGGGCCGTGTGGAAGAATCAAGGGAACCACGCATAGCTCTTGAGGGGAACAGTCCTCGCACCATCATCAACTTCGCTGCACCATCTCGACTTCCACTCCCATTCGTGGGAAGCGGCTTCAACGAGAGCTTCCTTGCACTCGGGAGGTAGTTCTTCGAGGATCTCGGGATTCACGAACTCAGGATGTTTGGGGTTAGCGACGCTGATTAGACCGTTTGCACCGAGATCATGAACGTCGCCATCGGGGCCGGGCACACCCATGTTTGAATAGGAGGGGCTCTCCGTTTGGACGTCGAGAATGGCGAAACGGCGTGAGAGGGTGGCGGGTATGGATGAGAAGATGGTAGGGTTCTCTTCCTCTGGCTTGCTTTCTTCGCCTTCTGTTGTTTCTGCTTGAGTGTTTTCATCTTCGAGTGTGCCGTTTGAGAGCGTAAGTGTTGACATTTCTTTTGTGAGTTTGTTTGCGCTCCGGGGGTCAGGAGGAGGCAGCCGCTCCCAGCGAGCGTGGGAAGGCTGCATGATCTTCGGGTATTGGAACTGGTTTGTGTGAATGTCGTAAACGCCTTCAAGATTTTGCTGGCGCGTAGTCGACAGTAGGGCATTGAAATTGCTATATCTTCTATAAGCAGGTATTTCGCAATCAGTTAAAAAGGGCATACTCACGCAGCTTCTCGAGCATGTTCCAACATCCAGTTATCCCCTGTGACTGTGACTTTCCGCTTTTTGGAATCCACCGCCTTGCCAGTACCAGGTATGGGGATAGTGGGCGTGCTGGTGTGATAAACACTGCTAGCTCCGTGCCATGCCACATACTGGTTCCTATTGTACGGCTCGCCCGGTGCCGGTAACTTGTCCTCGGGGACAGCAAGTTCCCCCTCCACATCGCCACGTTCCCTGGCAGCTTGGGCATTATAATCATCAATGACTTTCCGGCCACCAACAATGATCTTTGCACCAAACTCTCGGAATACGGACCGCGCAGTAACCACACCAATAGCGCGACCTTTGTAGGAATGGGGGATAATATCTCTCTCGATCAAGTCGCGTTTCGCATCATCGTCGATGATGATTTTGTAGAGAAACTTGTGTTTCTGGAAGAACAAATACGAATCCCTGAACCCAATACATCTCGCCGGCTCGGTGGACAACATGTATTGGCGATCGCTGCGATTGAGAATCGTAAACGTCCGGACTCTGTACTCTCGATCGCCTTGCAGGATACCATTCTTATCGACCTTGGTATCACCCTCTGGGTCACCCGGAACAGCCACTTCATCATCAATGACATCCATCATATTCCCTTCCTTATCAATCGGCACCTGCGTGACATGAGACGGTCCACGACCTCGTCCCCATCGTCCCCCACTTGCAGCAGGTCGGCCACGTCTCCTCTTGACTGGCGTGCTCACCTGGATCTGCGGTACTGATCCATCAGCTGGGGCATCCCAGTCCGGAGGGCGGTTCTTTGGCGGACGACCAATGCGCCGTTTTCGCGGAATGGCCGACACGCGACCAAGTGCCATGTGTGTTGGAGTATCAGGCCGTGACGGAGGGTTGGAGTCCTGCGCGGGTGTATCTGCAGCTTCCGATTCTGGAGCTGGCGTAGGTTGTGCTGGTGTACCGGCGCCTTCCTCTTTCTGTGGTGAAGTCGGCGCTTCTTCTTCCTCTTCTCCATCTGCTCCATCCTCGCGGTGCTCCTCATCGTCCTCTGCTTCGTCCGGTACTACAGGCGGAGACGATTCACGCGACTGAGGGGCTTCGATCATTTCATCATCTGAAGCATCCGGAAGCGGAGGGGGGGCATTCTCTATGGAGGAGGTTAGCAGTCGCGTCCCATCGTTTAAGCCCGGATCGACAAGATAAAAGAACGCGAAACGAAAGGGGTTCAATTGAAAAACAAAAACCGAATTGAAGGGAGTATTGACTCACTCATTGATTGCGCAGCTGCCTGGGCGGCGGCTCGCAGCTTTCTCGGCATCTTGGAAGTGAGCTTGATGCTGGTCTGAAAATAACACCGCCGGCAAGCCAGTAGAACCGATGGATGGATGCTGCACTTTCCTCTACGCGCCGGACCTTCTCGCCTAATGGAGATATATTTCTCCGGATATAATTACGTGAGCTTCATATCACGTGTCTTATAGCACGTGCAGGCCCGGCTTGAAAATTCTACCCTAAGCCCTATGTGGATCTCTCGCATTGTGTGACGTCACAGTGATAGTATAATGGCGGTGGCTGGCATTCTTCGGATGCGAGCGGTATACTACGGTGTAAACGGAGTAGAGATCTTGCTATATCGAAAGAGGTAGTTAGTTCCTGGTGACATTCAAATCCCGGTTTGGGAGATTAACGATTGCGGGCTCCTCTACGGAGCTCAGGCATCCAAGAGGCGTACATGCCTATGACGTCTTGCATCGATGACCTGATGAGGTGTAGTTAGTTCACATGTCAAAGAGCGACCCCTCATCTTATCATTTCGCTTGAGGAGACCATGCACAGCGGCATCATTGCCCTGCAAGTGGGGTATTACTATGCGTCAGGTTTATTCTGCAAGTATGGGATTCTTGTGTCAAATGCGTGGAAGTGTCTACATAGAGTTCTGATCCGGGGTAACAGCCAACCGTACAATACAGGCTGTTCTGCATTCTGCGAGACAACATACAAATATTACGCAGATGTAGTTTGTATATATAGATATAATCGAGGCGCAAGGTCCTCACTTCAAGACGGATGGTCTGCAATGGTGATTGAAGGATCAATGTTCCGGCATGAGGGGTGGGACAAAACCTTGATTTTCTTTTCTATTAGAAAAAAGAACATGCCGTGGTTGTCGAACAAGCCTCGATGACGCGGGGGGTGCCTGGACATTGGTTCACTGATGCTTTGACCGAGATGATCCGCGATATTGTGCAGCCGCGCCGCAGGCTTGTTGAAGTGTATACGGATGGGGTAGTTAGTGGCGGCGATATAGTAAGACGACAAAATACCTGGACCTCACCAAAGAAGGTAAAAGCCACCGTATAATGGTGAGGGATTAGTTCAACACAAAGATTCCTCAAATCACCCTATAGCGGGCCTTGGAAAGGGCGGTAAGGCTGCTGCACATCATTTCGCAGTGCTCCTGGAGCTAAGATCTTTTCTGGGCATGTTGTTTGCAGGGCCTATAGTAGCTCCAACCACTCAGCATTCGTGGAAGCGTTGGTGTTCGGAGCTCAGTCTTCCCTGTAACAACAATGCTTTGAAGAGCGCAGATCACTGGACGGAAAAAGCCGCATCGAGTTGGACAAGGCAACTTACCCAGGTTGCTGCATTATTGGAATGAGGCAGTCGGTTTCGCAATCAGTCGGAGGGGACGAGAACGAGAACGGAATGTTCTCCTACTATGGCAACATTGGAGGGGAGGTAGGCGAAGCGGTGGACCATACCCCGCCTTTCTTGACAGGCAAGAGAGGAGGTGGCGGGAAAAGGGCAGCAGAGTGCTCCGAGACTATGCATCTGTCGACGATTAGCGTGAGGAGCAAGATGATAAGACGGTGGTCAACCGGAGGAGTCTGAAGAGGTGAAGGAGGACCAATGGACTCGGCATCACCGAGGAAGATAGCAGCGGTGGTAAGCAGCGATAGTGCTGTAACAGACAGAGAAGCCGAGAAACGGCTACACACCCTTGACATCAAATCAGCATTAAGCCGTGGCGATTGTGATCACTGTCGCCAGGGGAGGGCTGGGATATGAGAATAAAATAGACTTCTCTCGTAGCCGCGTGTGGCCGACAAGGTTAAGAACCTAAGCTGATCGGGGATCGTGAATCCTGGTTCGGTCACACTCCTCCTGCATCCCACCCCCATCACCGGACGGACTCTGATGATATCGACGCCGTCTTCTGACCTGGGCTAATGGGCTCCCAGAAGTCGAGGGCCTGTATCGGCGGAAGAGACGAGGTTGGCGACTGCTTCAGCGCTGGTTCTGGTACCCCGTCTCCATCTTCGTCCTCTTCATTTGCCCAAAACCCGGTTGGCCTTCTCCACCGCTTCAGGATTCGCCCGTGGATCCATATCCAAACGTGCCGATTTCCCTTCACTCGCCCGGGCATTTGCCTGGGACGCCTCCATTTAAGCGGGATTCACAGCTGAAGCGAGGATACGGTTGGTTTGAGTAGCAGAGGCGTAGAGGTCGAGGGCCTGAGACAGAGCTGAGCCGGCTGACCGGCGTGAGACCGTGAGCCTGAAGGAAAGCATGGTATACTATTTTTACACCGGCGATGGTTATTCAGCCCTTGGAGCAACACGCGGGAATGCTTCCAGGCATTGGGCAATAATGTGAATCATCCATGATGCTCGCGCAGTAGTTCGAGGCAAAGCTGGAATGGTCATCCTCAATCCAGCGGCTTCAGCGGCAGCTTATGTCGACCTCCAGTCCAGCACATCTTGAGGTCAGCTCGCCGTCTTTAAACGCCACCTCCTCGCACGCGGCATCGTTCGAATCTATCTCGAGTTCCAATTCTCGCCTGCTTGCCCCGGGACTGCATCCTTTGGTTGGCTTCGTTCATTGGATCTGTCACCGTCCATGGGGCTGGATTCTTTGTGGTTCTCCTGTGTTCCTGTTCACTTGTTTGCCTCCTCCTCTTTGCGCCCGCAGATTTCTTGAGTCTTCAGAGTCTGGGCCTGCTTCCAGATTCTTTCTCTTCATCCTCAGCTTTGCCGCTCTATTCATCACACTCGCTGCGAACGCGATCTTGAACAAGGGCCTTTTTAAGTGCATCTGGCTTTGAAGCTCTATTGCAAAGGTAAATCCTCTTTTCCTCTCCCCAGTACTGACCTTTCTCCATCCACGCCAGGACTCCCCTCTGGGGACACTACGCCTGGCCCCCCGCCATCTTCTTTTGGCTTGCTGGAGTCGAAGCACAGTGGTTAACACGAGGCCCAACCAGGTCGCCATCGACCCCTCCTCGACCTTGTCGCAGCAGGTCGCCGAACCCGATCGGGTCCTCCTCCTCCGACTCTCCCCTCCCGCAAACTTCCTTAGTTCCTCATTCTCCGACAAATTCATTACTCACTACTGTTCCGTTTCTTCATACTCAAATCCCGCACTATCTGGAGGGTCCCCGCACGATCCTCGCCTTTTCCCTTCAATTTTCTTGTTATCTCCTCTCTTTCTCCTCCACGACCCCTCCGTTAATTCTCGAGTCCTCCCCTCATTGAATTTCGGAGTGACTTTGGCGGAGGTTCATTGGTGTCGGATGGGAACACAATAATGGCTGCTGCTCAGAGTGGTTCCGAAAACACGGACTTGTCGAAGCAGCCACCCCCCCAGAAGTAAGTGGTTTATCTAAATTCTTATTTTCCTCGTTTGTATTTTGTTTTGTTTTGTTTTATTTTATTTTTCATGCGGTAGTTGGCACGCGTGAAATTCGAACAAGAGACTGGTACCCAGGAACAAAATTCTGGAGGGGTGATGTGGTGCAATTTTTGTTCGAATTGCGGATTTTGCGGATTTTACCTGCTTGGTCCGATTTTACCGTCGCATTGATTTGGAGGCAGCCGCAACGAGTCCACCAATTCCAGCCTCGTCATTGAGTCTTCTGTTGTTCTGTGCCCTGGCTTTTGTTTCAGTCCCTCGCGAAAATTCGTCTTCCTAGCTCTGCCTTGCACTTTTCTCTCTTGGAGCATCTCGGCATGCCAAAATCATACTGCATTCCAGCGCACTTCCACCATGGAGTATGCGAATTGTCAAAGATTTTGTGGCGCTAACATCTCTATCAGCGATGGTGTTCAGGACGACGATAGCCAGGATCAAATTGGTTCGAATACACCGAGTCCGACTGGGATTTCCACCCCGCAGCCCGACCCGGCTGACAAGCGTCTACCATCCATAATGCACAATTATTTCCAGGTTGGTAGTTCTTCTGCTGTCATGCTTCGCTCTCTCAAAACCCGGTTTTCCCTCTCCGGCCCTTCTCCCTCTTCCGCAGACAATGTGCAGTCGAGTGCGCTTTCAAATGGGACATGCGATGATCAAAAAACGGGACACTCTTCCTCATCATCCGGATCTTTTGTCATGATGGAGCGTGACGAGGCTCACCTCAGTTCGCCGAACACTCCAGACAAGGAGATGGAAACCCACCAGGTTTCGCAAGATACCCTCCCTCCCACGGCCCTTCCCACTCCCCCTTGCTCCTCGACGTGCTCCCTCCTTCAAAAAGAACCCGAAGAGTCAGAAGTGGGACTACCAATTCCAGATAAAGGAATGGGGTCTATTTTTTCCACATTGAAAAACTACCTGTCTCCTTCTAGGAGCGTGTCCTGCTCTGACCCCCAAGCACGCCGACATACCTCCCATCCCGTCTCCAGCGTCTCTGACGACCCCGTCCTTGCCTCTCATTTTTCCAAGCCTTCTCTTTCCCATGCCTCGGAAGCACACTGTCAAGTGGAAGCAACCCTCCTCGACCATGAAAAACCACAACTGTCCACATCTCCTAAGAATCCTACGAAGCTAACTGCGAACGTGTCAAACCCTCCGAATTTAAAGAATACCCCTCCTCTTACACCTCGGGCGATGTCCGATGATGATTTGCAACCCAATGTGAAAAACCCCGCACCTCCCCCTCGTTCGTCGAACCAGACCCAATCGCCGCCCGACGAGTTGTCAGACTCCGCCGATGAAATTACAGGAAAACTCAACGAGGTATTCCCTTCGTCGATGGACACTACCACCTCTACTTCTCCAACTTCAGGTCCCCCTGTGGCCTCCCTAAAGGGCAAGCTTTACGTCAAAATTTCGGAAGCGAGAGGGCTTAGACCCGGGTTCGACCCTTATGTTGTTTGCGTTTTCGAGTGGAACGAGGTGATTTCGAAGAGTGTCCAAGACGAGGAAGAAGAATCTTTGAAACGACAGCAAAAGGAGCTCGAACAGTCAGATCTTGATGCCGGTCGGCCAATGGCTATTCCCTTGAAGAGCCGACAAAGCAGTCATAACCCTGCACTCGAGAATCCGGAGCACAGAGGACAAGCTCCAGTAACAGATCCACACTGGAACCATGAAGCTGTTTTGTGAGTTTTTTTTTTTTTTTCCTTTTTTCCCTGCTTTTTGCTTTTTGCTTCTTCGGCCCACCCCCAGGTTCAGCGTTAACTAACGTGTGTTACTTATCTAGTGATGTTTTCGGAGACCAGTCTGAAGTTGACGTCTCAGTATATGATCGCAATGACTCGGAAGCCTTTATGGGCCATGTGCGGCTCTGTGTCAATCTCAAAGAGGATCAGAGTCGCTTAGAAGGCTGGTTCCCGCTGGCCGGTCGGGCTGCAGGGGATTCTCAGGTCTCCGGAGAGATTCATATGGAGATGAAGTTCGAAAAAGAGGATACAAAACAGGTCGGACCCAATGATTTCCAGATCCTGAAGCTCATCGGAAAAGGAACATTCGGCCAAGTGTATCAAGTAAAAAAGAAGGATTCACGCCGTATTTATGCCATGAAGGTTCTGTCGAAGAAGGTCATCATTCAAAAGAAGGAAGTTGCCCACACGGTGGGGGAGCGAAATATCTTGGTTCGAACTGCTATGGCTGCTTCCCCGTTTATTGTCGGACTCAAGTTCTCATTTCAGACCCCTACCGATCTCTACCTCGTCACTGACTACATGTCCGGCGGTGAATTATTCTGGCATCTTCAGAAAGAGGGACGGTTTCAGGAACCACGCGCCAAGTTCTACATTGCTGAGCTCATTCTGGCATTGCAGCATCTTCACGAACATGATATCGTGTATCGCGACCTCAAGCCGGAAAATATTCTCCTTGATGCCAACGGTCATATTGCGCTTTGCGATTTCGGACTTTCAAAGGCGAACCTTACCCAGAATGATACAACAAACACCTTCTGCGGCACCACAGAATATCTTGCCCCGGAGGTACTGCTTGACGAACAAGGATATACCAAAATGGTGGACTTCTGGTCTCTAGGTGTCCTTGTTTTCGAAATGTGCTGTGGCTGGAGTCCGTTCTATGCGGAAGATACGCAGCAGATGTACAAGAACATCGCTTTCGGTAAAGTCCGATTCCCCCGTGATGCTCTCAGTACGGAAGGGCGAAATTTCGTCAAGGGCTTGCTCAATCGAAACCCCAAGCATCGCCTGGGAGCCCAAGATGATGCGAAAGAGCTCATGGCACACCCCTTCTTCCATGATGTCGATTGGGCTGCGCTGGGGAGGAAGGAAGTTATTCCACCTTTCAAACCCAAACTCAAGTCTGACACTGATACCTCCAACTTTGACCCTGAGTTTACCAATGCTCTTGAAAACAACAACTCACTGAATGATCGGGCTGCCGCCCTTGCCAATGGGTTCATGGCTGCGTCAACGCCACTGTCTCCAGGAATGCAAGCCAACTTCAAAGGATTTACCTTCGTCAATGAAAGCTCAATCGATCACCACTTCAAAGTTGAAGATGGGGATCACATGGAGGAGGACGAGACATGGCATCGATCTCACCGGTCTGGAAATTCTATAGATCACCGCATGACTGGCGTTCAAAAGACTGGCGATGCCGGTGAGATTTTCAATGTTGATGACAATTTTGACATGTGATTATGGCTCTTGCTGCATGATAAAGGAGTTGTGATGTCTGCATATATCATGTCGTGTTTTTCTGCTTTGTATATGCTTTCCTCATTAAATGGAGCTCAGAACGTGGGTTTCCAAATTTGTCCTCATTTTAACATACCCCAGAAGATTTATGTTGTATCTTCCCTCATTTCTCTCGCCCCAGTCGAGAGAACATGGCTTCTTGGTCCTTTTCTCATTTGCATTATTATTTTTTGCTCATACTTTGATATGGATAACGATCGGTATTCATGCTTTTCACATACCCGGTACTCTTTTCAAGTTATCGATTTTGGAGAGACCAATTTCGACATGCGTATTACCTGTTTACTTTTCGCTTTATTTCCCCCTTTTTACTCGCTTGCACTCGTGGGCCTGATGAACGACATCTGTGATATCCCATATTGATTTTGCTTTCAACGGGCTTGTACGTTCTCTCTCATTTCCTCGGTTTTTTCTCGTGCTTGGACGCCTCGCCTGATGCGTCTCGGCTCATTATTTCCGGCGAACAGGGGATTGCATATCTGGATATGGTAACATGAGATGGTAAATTATTGATGTAGTGGCGTTGTATGGCAGCATTGGCGCAGGTGGGTAGTTTGAACAGCTCTTTGCCCTGGGTAACAGCTACAATAAACTACATGTTTTGCTCTGTTTTTTCCCAAACAATCTCTCGTAGTTTATCATCGGAATGGGCATTATGGATAAGCCACAATGATGATCTATGCGGAGAGTAGAGTGTGCACCATACTTCGTATAAAGTATATATAAAGTACATATACCAAGACACGATCTGAATACGAGAAATATTCTAAAATTAGTTCTTGCTGCATCAGCGTTCTTCGGATACTCGGAGTCCCTGACAGACGCAGGAACTGGTTAGTGCCAGTGGGATGCATGCTCGTATTGCGTAGCGCGGTGTAACATGCAGTGGTCGAGATTCTCGATGCGAGCGGACCTTGCAAGTAGCATTCACAAGAGACCGGGGGAGCATGGGGGGCTTTTGGATCTTCTAACGAGCGGCGCGTTCTGATTTAGGGCAGCTCGAGGTTTGCACTTTGTATCCATCCGGGTCGATAGTCAGGGTGGCTATAAGATAGAAATTCTTCATCATCCTCGGGTCTCAAGCAGCCGGGACCTGTGAACCTCATGATGTCTTTGGTTCTGGTTCGGATTCTGGAAGGCAAGTGGGACACCGAACTTCGCCGCAATCCACATGGATCTGACACTGGTTGGATTTCTGAACGAGAAGCCCACTGTCGTAAGCTTTCTCAGTGGTTTGATGTTTGCAAAGAATTCGAGCAATGTTCTCTCACCGCGCCAGTCATGTAGACATTAATTAAACAAGAACCGGAACCTTGGCCAATAGGACTGGCCCGTCGCACGAACCGGCGGTCGGGCTGGAGCCGAGCGTTCATCACGATCAGTTCATTTCAAGCTCAGGGGTGGAAATGACGCCCTGATTGCACGCTGCGCAAAAATTCGACTGAGCATTATGTCAGTTGTTTGGTGTTAACAAAGGTCAACCAAGGGCAAAGAGATCTCTTACCAAAACTCAATTGGGATTCAGCTCGCCATGGACGGGGATCTGGATAGGGGCCAAACAAAGAAGTTTAGAATGACTCGCCGTGGTTGCCGAGAGAAACAAGCCCACCACCCCAAAGGGGACTAGTGTCAGGCCCAGCGCCCGACTACCCCCCTACAGCGGACTAGCGTGGGTGCCCTGTTCCACGAGTGTCGACTGTCCACTTTCCAGGCACGCAGCAGCTGCCGACCTCATTTCTTGACTCGGCACACTAAGCTCTGCTCTTGTCTCCGACGTCTCCAGTCTCTCTCCGGCCTCGTCATCCCTCTTGGCCACTCACCGTCCCTCTCCCGCTGTGCATTGATGCTCTCTGCAGATGATATGCATTTTGGTCTCATCGTTACTGCATTTGGTGGTTGCCAATCCCTTCTCCAGAGAACTAACTCCCGAACTAACGACTTAGTTTGCGCTTTCTGTTTGACTCTCCTTTTACATGGATGAAACCACGGGCCAGCGGCAGCCTGTGCCATCCACTCTTTGCCGTGTTGTTTTTATCAAATAATGGGCATGTTGATTGTTGACAGTGAGACAATCATATTCTCCGGCGGATCTCTCGAGGGTTTCGCCCCTTGCAAGAGCCAGAACCCAGGCTCCACAGCCTTGCCAACACCTGAACACGAGTTTGGTGACAGGTTCCTGCATGCTGCATGGGGGTTGAAAAAAGAAATCAACAAGTCAAGAAGCTCCGCTCCATCATCCATTCCTTTCTGTGGAGACGATCAGCGCTCGGGTGCCGTGCCCATCCTCCTGCTTAACTCCTTCTCCTTTACTTGAGAAGATCGGTCTGGGAACCCTTTGGCCGAGTCTTGCCAAAGCTGCCATATTGAGCAATGAGCATTATTTGGTGCCTCTCGTGTCTAAAGAGGGGCTAACTCGAAGTTCGCAAAGTCGCTATCCCCTTCCTGCGAACGCAGACTTCGTATCCTGGGCATCCTTCCTAAAATAGTCCTCCGCTTCTTTTTTGATCCTTATACTTTTAACTTATTATAATTATTTTGATTTTGGCTTTTCCCCTTCTTTTCGCGTCCATCATTCTTCCTCTCCTTTGTGTGTCAACAGACTTGAAGATTGTTTTTCCTTGTTGTTTCAGACGGTCTCTCTTCTCTCTCACCCCTTGCTATCCTCCCCCAGAGCTTCGATCTTCGCCTCAACCCCTCCGTTTCAGAGTGGAGCTCTCGTGCCTTCCAACCCCCCAGGCATTATTGCTCCTATCCCTTCCCCTCCGTTGACACTCGACATCTTCTTCGGGACCCCTTGCCAGCAGTTCCCTGCCTCTTCGCCTCAGCCTACATGATCGTCCAATACCCAGTCCGATTTCACAATGAGTGTCGTTGTCAATAGGCCGGAAAGTGCTTCTGTGTCTCACACAGGTATACCCCATCAGGGCCAGGCCTTGCACTGCTATTCGGATTCGGGATATGGCTCAGTGACAATTCCCTCGCGGTCCTCCTCGCTTTCCTCCTTCAAGACCAACTACTCGACGTCAACTGCCCCTACCTCCTACTCCCCTACCTCATCAGGGTCATATCGCACCTGCGACTCAGCTGCCTCCTTGGATAAGATTTTAGAATCAGTGTTTAAGAGGGTCCCTCAGGAGGTCTATGAAACCATCCTCGACCAGCTGCAATACTTGCATGCTGGACCGAATCAGTCAGGATGCATGACGTGCTTTCAACGCGACTTGCATGCCCTCTCCCTAACTTGTCGCCCATGGGAGAAGGCGGTTCGAGCTCGGCTGTAAGTGTGATTGTTTGAATCTATTCTTTAGAAATCTTCCCGTCCGTGTCATTGTGCTCAAGACGAGCATATCTGGACCCTTTCTAACCTTTTTTATGTCTCAGCTATAATCATATTCATATCGTCGGTAGCGATTCGCCGGCTCAATTGAAAAAATATCGACTTAAGCGAGGAAGCAGACTAAAGTTATTAAGACGTACACTCCGTGAGAGGAAATTGCTGGCCAATCTCGTCCTCGAACTTCGCGTTCCGCAAATAGACATATTATTTACAGGCAAACACACGGCTCAATGGCAAGAATACCGAGATCTGGTCGCATCAGTTGTCATGGTGTGCCCGAACCTAGAACGATTATTAGGACTTTCAATACCCTTCAACCATGAGTTCGATCGCCTTACGCATGCGCTATCTACGCGGCGGAAGTTGAAGGAGCATACATGGCTTCTCTGCGAGGCAACAGAGACGTCGGAAGCGTCCCCACGCAGCGACTCCTGCCCCGGCAGCCTCGGCCCCTTGCAGATGTTTGAGTTCTTGGACTATCATGCTTCATGGACAAATCTAGAGACCTTGATGCTCCACGGTTTGAACCAAACTGCCCTCGAGCCCAGTGTATTTCTTCGTATGCTCAATCTTTTGCCGTCCCTGCGCAATTTGTGTGTTTCGAACTTCGACGCAGATGCGTTTGCCGATACAGCCCTGCTATGCCTTCCACCGCTCGAAACCCTCCGACTGGAGAACCTTCCTGGAGTCACTGACGCAGGTTTAACACAATATACTTCACGGCCAGAATCCCTCGCTCTCAAGACCTTGGTCCTGATTGAACCCAATATCGACTCGCTTCTTGTGATTTCGAAAATCCTAGCGTCCCTACGAAATCTGCAACGATTCAAAATTGTGCAAAGCGAAAAATGCCCAACGTTGAACTCGGATGGATTGATCTTTCAACCACTCCTAGCATCACCGAGTCTAGAATTTCTACATTGGGATGTTGCATGCCCGAATCCTAACACTGCCCTGGCTAGACTGGACTTCGCACCATTCGCTAAGCCTCTTCAACATGTGGAGACGCCCAATTCACACCTCGCTCAAAGCATTCTTGCTGGAGGTTTTCCTCGTCTTGATTCTCTGCGAGCTCCTTCTGATATTGAACCTCCAGGCGCTTTGCAGGCGGTTTGTCGACCTATTCCTCGTGGGCAAGCGCTATTACATCCAGATAGGTACAGCCTTCCAAGGAGCTCCCATGGATCCATCCCAACGCGACCTATGGCCCTGCCTGGAGGCAACAATATGACATCCGCACGGATACGAGCACAGACTTTTATTGATATGGCCGCCAGGGATACGGAGACGGGGATGCAAGTGTTAATCACAGACCACTCGGATTCGTATGTACCTGATAACGCCCTAGAAGCTTCTGACGACGAGGCCGAAATGGAATTAGACGAGACTGGCATGTGGGAAACACCGCTAGACCGGCCAAGGGCGAATCAGGTACCGGGGGACCACGAAGGTCCCATCACGGTGTTTGACTTTCGAATGCCTGCATACATGGGCAGGACTGGAACCAAGACCAGTGGCAATGACACATCAATTCCACACTTTATACTGCATCCGGATATTGTTGGACAGGAAGCCGAAGGAGGTCTGGTCTCATGGAAGCATATCTTAGCCGCAAACCAATCACTGACCTTCGCCGCCGGCGTTGGAGTGAATTGTTTTGGCGGCAAGAGTGTTCCAAGTCCAATTAATGAAGAACCTCTGTCCCCTACATCAACAACTCCACGCTTTGGCTGGGGTAGTATCACTAGTCGTACAGCCATGACCGCCAGCCCAATTACACCAACAACCCCACCCACACCGATGAGTACATCGCCCTCTACTGCACCCCCTTGGGAGAAGGATGTTTGCACTGGGTCCTGGAATTACAGCCATAAGGGTGGTCGAGAATGGTGGTTCCACATGGAACGAGAACGCCCAATTAAAGCTGAGCTCTACGATGTCAAGCGACTTTTCTAGGCCGTTCATGCGCCTCTCTTCTTTTCAACCTGCTATAAACTGCCCAAGCAATGATTTTCAGCATGCACACAGTGCTTGGCGTTTGTGGACGAACACAAAGTAAACGTCCTTGAGTTTCGGAGTACAATATCTTCCGACAACGCCGGCTTTATACATTCCAGATTGGATATACCAAGTCAGACTGGATCTGTTTTCATACTTACACTTTGCATCACTTTTACCTAGTCTACACGCGCCGGGGAGGCCTTTTATCCTTGACTTGTTTTATACCCTTGATACCCCACCTTATCTTTCAAAATTATGTTATGCGAGCACATATTCATTCTTTTCTCTTTCCCTGAACCTTCTTGCCGGTAACTAAACTGCTTTTCCTTCCTATATCTATGTCTCTACAGTACTATGTATATAACTTTCATGTCGGCGCATTGACGGATTTGCCCATCGAGCGGCTCGGTTTGACTTTGGGTTTCTGGTCATGGAAGGGATAAACGGCGCCAGGTATGACTGGTCATTTAACTTAATGGTTTTGGTTCTTGATTTTGCGTGGCTTGGTTTTCTTATGTTCTACTTTGAAGATTGTAATAATATACAGTAAGAGAAAACAAGTAACTTAGTTGTACTTGACGATTCGAAATCGAGAATTGCTTTTAAGACGACTACAAAACACTAAACCGATAGATGCAATTGGGGTAGATGGGAGTAAGCGCCCAGGTCGCGTAGTGGACGCTTATACAAGATAATAGTTACTACGGACTACATCAAGGGCAAAAGAAGTTGACATACTATCGTTTGCGTAAGGCTGGTTATTCTGATACGTACGTAGATAGGAATCGCATAGAAAGTGGAAGGCAAGTCTACATTAGCATAGAAAGAAGGACGTATCACAAAAAGAGTCTAAACATAGATGCCCATGTTCGTATCCTTCTTCTTTGCCTGGACTTCAGCAATGGCATCGACATAATTTTCGTGACCAATCTTGCTCGAGCCTTTTCGGAGGGCAATCATACCGGCTTCCACGCAAACGGCCTTCAACTGTGCACCACCGAACTCGTCCGTGCTGCGAGCCAGCTCAGCCCAGTTGACGGAGTCTTCGACAGTCATCTTGCGCGAATGGATCTGGAGAATGTTGGCTCGCGCCTCCTCGTTGGGAAGCGGGAATTCGATCTTTCGGTCGAGACGGCCGGAACGGAGAAGGGCAGGGTCAAGAACATCAACGCGGTTAGTGGCGGCAAGGACCTTGATTCGGTCATCGGAGGCGAAACCGTCGAGCTGGTTGAGAAGTTCCAGCATGGTTCGTTGAACTTCACGGTCACCGGATTTTTCGGAGTCGAAACGCTTTGTTCCCACCGCATCGAGCTCGTCGATGAAGATGATAGAGGGTGCTTTCTCTTTGGCGAGAGCGAAGCAATCCCGGACAAGCTTCGCGCCATCACCGATGAACATTTGCACGAGCTGGGGACCGGCAAGCTTCAGGAAGGTTGCATTTGTCTCTGCCGCGCAGGCCCGGGCGAGAAGCGTCTTTCCTGTACCGGGGGGGCCGTACATCAGGGCACCTAACCAGAGTTATGAGTTAGTTGGCAAGGTTCGGAGGTGAAGGACACGACAAGTCTAGATTAAATGCATACCCTTTGGTGCCTTGATGCCAAGCTTCTTGAACCTTTCAGCCTCCTTCATAGGCCATACTATAGCTTCGACAATCTCCTCAATCTGCTTATCCAAACCACCAATGTCCGTGTACTTCTCTGTGGGCTTCTCATCGACCTCCATGGCTTTCACCCGGTTGTCATATTCGGCTGGTAGGGTATCGAGAATGAGGTATGAATCCTTGTTAACACCAATGAGGTCACCGGGCTTGAGCTTCTCATGGTCAACTAGACCAATAAGGGGAAGGTAGATTGTTTGGCGGGTCGACGTTTTGATGACAGCCGATTTGCCTACTCGAGTAGCATCCAGGTCGATATTGGCACCCTCCTCGGCGGCTTCAGCTTCGACATCCAAGTCCAGCAGCTCGACAACATTTCCGACGAGGTACGGCAATTGTCTAAACAAATAATCAAATGTTAGTTTAAGGAGTGGGTAAAGACGGGTTCCGCTCGTAGGGGATCTGACGCTCAGCAAAGCTCTTTCGGAAGAGAGCTTGTTGGATCGCCACACATCAGCAAGGAAGAAAAGAGCATCTCACCTGTTATTCTCAATCTTTTCTTGGTTATCCTTGACCTTCTCCCTCATCGTATTCTGTTCGTGTGTCAACCGCTGGTATTCGCTTTTCATTATACGAAGCTCGTTCTCCAGCATCCGCCGTCGCTTGACAATGTCCGCTGTACTTGAACCCAGGATCTCCTCATCTAGAAGCTCCTCTTCCTCGTCTTTCTTTTTCCCATCGGCATCCTTCATTTCAGCGTCGCCATCACCGGGCTGCTTGCCGTCACCGCCATCACCTTGCTCCTTCTTCTTGTCTCTCTCCTCGCGCTCAAGGTCGTCAAGGTCCTCTAAAGTCGACATAATTGGGATTCGAACAGAAATAAGACGTAATCGAGTAATATATTAGGAGAGTAGACGAGCGGGATAGTGAAGGGGGGGTGGTGATCGAGAAAGTTGGTATATGATGGAGCTGGGTTGGTATCAACGATGCTTTGAGCTTCCGCCAAACAACGTCAGCTGTCCTGCCTGTTTCACGTGACCGACTTACAAATTCATGCAGCGTCGAGTGAACTAACGAAGTATGCGTGACTTAAATATTTCAAAAGGACTAGTTTGTAGAGTTTCAAGCCCTTTATTTTCTTTTTTTTGTATCGATTTTCCATATAAAACCAGTGTAGAAACTCTTACTACTTACGAGATCTATCTGCTAGAGAAGCCCAAACTTTCCAGATATATTATACTACCTCCATAAACCATTCAGCGAAATTATCGATCCAGGCATAAGATCCCTTCACATGTAGTAGTATGGATTTGCCTTAGAGTATTTCGTGCTCCCAAGGTTATGAAGCAGTGATTTGCGGCCGAATCTGAGTAGGCGATATCGAGAAAGGAAGTCATCGCTATTAACTGTGCAACAATAATGAGTATCAACGACAGCAAAAGGCTCCGTGTAAAGGACCGAGCCACCCCGGGGATGAATGGCTTGGTGTGCGAGAGAAATGTGTGTATTGTTCAGGGGGTCTTACTATAACCACCACACATCCTTCGTTTCCCAGTGAATGCAGAACGCCCGTGAAGCATCCTCCAATTGTCAAAGACTAGTTGCAATGATCAGCAGGGTGCCTTGAAATGGTATAGAAAGTAGGAAAATAAATTTACTCAGTGCTGTTCCTGGTTCTAGTTGCGTCCATATTTCCAGGTTGGGTCGATGAATGATTTCATTAAAATGGCCAGCTGCATCGTACCAGGCCTCCTGCTCCTCCACTGTCCAATCCCATTTGACAGATCTGTCATAATTGTTCCAGCGGATTTGATACATAGTACTCATGTTCAGCGAGTTTACTTTGAAAACGGGATAGTGTTCTGCGGGTTGTACGCAAACATCTTCGTTTCCACTTGAGTGGTATGGTTGTGTGACACCCTGTAAAGTCAGGGCATGTTTCCGGTTCTCCTCGTTTAGTTTTGACGCTGCTTGAAAGCCGTCAACAAGCAGGTTAGCTCCTCCTTCACCGTCTGTGTGGGACAATAGGTGGAATAGTTGAAGCCGTGCTGGATCTGTGAAGTACGTGTTGTCCGTGTGCGCTCCAAGGAACTCGTTGGTATACGCAGTATCTTTGAAAGTCAGGTCGGCTGTGAAATCCCAAAAGCCACCTAAGCAATATTAGCACTCTATTGGATCTTTTCTGTTTTGGAGAATACACTCCAACCGTAATGTGTGTGCCTAATGTAAGCAATCCGTTTCAAGAGGGCCTCGGTGGATTCAGGATTGACAGGGGTGCCTCGAACAAAACAGAAACCCCAGTCGTACTTCAGCAAAGTTAAAATTAATCAATAGAGCCGGTTCGGGTTGGGATGAAGCTTACGATATGCTGCAGCCAATTCAAGACCCCATCGTCGCTGGACATGACTTCTGAGTAGGATACCGTCGGCGGTTTAGCTTCACCCGGAATATACGTATCAAATTCGCTGTAATAATTTTAGTAAAAGGTAAAACAGAAAAGTACGAGGCAGTTCTCCCTTACCGGAACCTCATCAAATGAGGCGGTCTAGGTTGTTCAATTGGGTTCTTGTGGTATAAACGTAGCCAGTAATAACTGTACTTACTAACATGCCCATCAGACCCTTGGGAAACATTAGCTCCACATTTCCGCGGTGGCAGGAGAAGATCTTCCTACATGTTACAGTTGTCCCATAAGCATCAGGGCGGATTTCACTGATATCGATGTTCTCACGGATCTAAACCACACATCAAGAATGATTAGATCTGGCATTGCAGCATGGGCCTTTTTTTGAAGGGGCGGTTTTCGTACCGAGAAAATGTCAACAAGACGCTGCGCTGTGTCTTGGTGAACACACTTTGGGCATCGACAATTATCCCTTCATAGGACAGGATTCTCAGATAAATGCCATCATGAAGTCACTCCGTGTAAATTTTTATCTTACCTTAGCCACGATTTACCACTTGATAGGTATACGTCAGTCATCGGATTGCCAACGAAGCCAGGGGGAGCGAGCGAGCGCTTTTCATCAACACATACAATACAGCATAGGAGTTGACCGAAACAGGAAGAATCACAAACTTTTCTGGGTCACCTTTAGCCGCAATTCTCGGTATCGGCATCGTTCGCTGATGTTGGAGTTGACGGGTCTTCCGAGATCTATCCCAGGAAGTACCCATAGGAGTAGTCTTCTCTGAGTCCTGATTTTGTTGAGAAGACCTGTTTTGTGTCCCTGCGGTTGAAGAGTTCCGCCGCAGCAGTTGACGGGGGGGAGTCTCGTCCCATGAGAGATGAGGTCGCCCATCTAGGATTATCGGTCGTAAAGCAGTTGATACATTTCGGGAGGCAATGTTCTGGTATCACGAGACAATTAAAAAAAGAACTCTTGTAGAGTGGTTTGTGCCTCTGGTGACAATTTGCAAATGGTTTGCTACACTTACGAGACAGTGCTGCCTGGGGGCACTAAACTTCATTAGCGATTACTATGGGGAAACACGATAGAGGATGGTTTACACTGCAGGCCTCAGGAGCCTCAGAGCCCTGGACAGAGGTGCTCTGTTCATCACCACCCTGCGCAATTGCAATGGCTAGTAAAATGCGGGAACAATGGACAAGGCAATCGTCAGGTTGTCAGCCGAGAGGATGCGGAGTCAAATGTTGCAGGCCGATTCATCTCCGTGTTGTTTCCCCGCAAAGGGGGATCACGTGCCATGTCAAATCCTGGAGGACGGACGCAACAAAAGTACGTACATATAATTCGGTCATGTCCGGGTCCGGTGTTAAACTATATGGAGGTGTCCTATAGGGTCAATTCTTGTTGGATCAACAGCCAGTTGAACAATTAATTTTGTTAACGCTCTACGTTTTGATATACGATGTAGTAACGGACTAACGGTACCTTGTTAGTTATCGATCACAGAGCAAACGTTTAGTGCCCAAGTGGTGGCTCTATGGCGGTGCGGGAATTGCACTTAATATGGTCTATAAACGTTCAATCATTGAAAACACAATGAGAGTGTCGGAGGTGGCTAGACTGAGCGTCGACTCGGGGTATCTACCTGAGGAAATTCGAGGAGCTTCATAATCTTCTGGAAAACGTCTCTCCGTTCACGCCGAATAATGATGCCAATCCCATGCCTTCCAGAATCAACGCCAAGCAAGTGGTAACGACAAACCGAAAGAAGAAATGAAACGTAGAAAATATCAGTCAACAACCCAATGTCCATATATCTGAATACCATCAATGCTATGCTGTCGACATGCTGACCAAATATATGAATTAGCATTCCCTATATCTGCTCGGAGACCTACTGCGGACCCCAAGGCCGCAGTCGAGGAATGGCCCCAAAAATTAACACCTACACAAATTAGTACTCAGTCACTAAAGCGACAGCCGGATCGGGTTGCTTACATTCTGTAGAAGCAGCCGCCTTCTGCGAAACGAGTATTGTCCTGCGTCTCAAGCTTGTAGGAGATATTGATATCGAGATCCCGCTTGTTCTTGTCATTTGGCCTGTTTGAGATCACACCAGATACAGATTCTTCTTCTTCAACGGTTAAGACATCACGTAGATAAAACACTGTCTGTTTCCAGTGAGTGTACTTGGCGTGAGGGCCGGTGGAAAATGTGATGGGTTTGTGGCACGCGCCAAATTCGATATCGAACCAGGCGATAACAGCGTGGATAAAGTCACTGCGCTTCACGGAAAGCGAGTACGGTACCTCGAAAGCCAGATCGTCCTTAGTGACCGTGTATAAATCGAAGGTGATGACGGGGCAAGGATCAGTAACGACAGCCTTGAGTTCAACGGTATCGACAAGGGGTTCCGTGAGAGCTATTTCTTTCATGGGGCTATAGTCAAACCCGTACACATTGTCCCAGACTAAGGAAAGTTAGCGAGAAGCTCCCTGGGCCAGAAATCAAGGGGTGCTTACATCCGATCTTATCGTCCTTGTACTCGCCGTCCTCAATTCCGGCCAGATACATGGTAGCCTTGTCAGGGAAGATTTTACCTCCCGGAACAAGGTATCGATCACGGGCGTAGAGAACAGTATCAAGCATGCTCTCGTAGAGAAGGAAATAGCCCATCCACTCTGAAATGATGATATCAACCTTGGGGAAGGGAAGCTCAACCTCCTCCATCTTTCCCTGGAGAAGTGTGATCCTATCCGACAGGCCATTGACAGCCACGATTTCACGGGCCTTTTCAATAATGGACGACATATCGACACCAATTACATGCTTGGCGCCAGCCTTCACAGCAAACCTTTGAGCATAAATTGTTAGACTAGGTAGTGTCACAGAGATCGAATATTGGGAACATACATGCTGAGAATACCTGTTCCACAACCGACGTCGAGAACAACCTTGTCCTTGAAGATATGGCGGTTCTGGTAGATGGAATCGCGGTACGATCTGGTCCGGACATCATCTTTCTAATGCGAGAGAAGATAAGTCAGTTCTATATTCGATACACCATCTTACTGGGGCTAAGACTTACAAGCATCTCCTCGTGGATGCCTAAGTAAAGTTCAACATTAGCATTCCGAAAGGATATGGATTGATTTGTATAGATTATTTACCGTGGTGGTCGTAACTAGGATTTAAGTCAATAAATTGATATCGGTATTGGTAACTGCGGTTGCTCTTACCTCGTAAAGTAGCGCACTTCAGCATGGTCCATACCAACCATGCGCTCAGCACTGCTGCTGATAGCAGCAGAGTCCTGTCTCTCGGTTTCGCTCATCTTGACAAAGAAGCCTCTTGAGGTGCGGGGAAAAGAGTATTGGGAGATAAAAAGCTGAAATGACGAGGTAGGTAAAAGAGAAATGAGATCTATATTGTATAAACAATATAATTTTGAGATCTCAGGATGTAGGAAGAAGATTACCGCCTTGAAAACGAAGTGTTCGGCGTAGAGTATTTTCAGGTCGTCTTCCTCTGTCACTCTTTTTTTTTGGGTTTTCCCTCATTAGGAATTTCTCCTTCAACCAGTGGCCAGGCCGCGCTAGTATGTATTTAGACTAGTTTTTGTTATCTTCTTTATCTCCATGTGACCAAACAGACCCTATATTCTCGTTAGGGCTACATTTCATGCAAGAATTCAGGTGTACAAGCTCTCGTGGAGAGATGACCTATACCAAGGATAAAATAAATGGAAATACAATTGCTGGTATCAGTTACCTCCAGCAATCATAATTCGCTACTTCCAAATCTCAGAGTGATGTCTCTGATTTCATCCCTGTTCTTGAGGCCGGGCATGCTATTGCCAAGACGCTACTCCGCCAGAGCTCCGTGGTTGCTCCGTTCCTCAAGCTAGTTTCAAGGCCGCCTCCCTCCCTAATCCGGGGAATACTGTGCCTCTCTGTCTCACGGAACTCCCGACAAGAGTACACAATGATTCTGCGACCGACTACGAGGAGGATTGGCTACTGCTTCCTCTTCTTTCTTTTCGCGACTTATATCCAGCAGTCGTCTGCCTCGTTAGGGGACCACCTCCCTGACTTTAGATCGTGTGTCAAGGTACATATACAAACCAGCGAATCCTGCATCTGAATGGAACTTATGAAATACAGATATGCCAAAGTGAAAACTGTCAAGATGGGGACTCCGCAATACGTATGTTTTCACTCAATAGCGTGCCTTCGACAATGTTTTTCCAAAGCTGATTATAAGCTCCTCTAGCGTTCCTTCTACGCCTAATGCTCTGGTCATGTCCCGCGGAATGCGACTATACTTGTCAACATGTCGTGACAGATAGACGAGTTGCGCGCGATCCACCGATGCTTAGCCCTGTGGTTCAGTTTCATGGGAAATGGCCATTTCGAAGAGTCCTTGGGATGCAAGAGTTGTTTTCGGTTATCTTCTCGGGACTCAATTTCCTTGCACATTGGCATGGAATGTCTCGATTGCGTGAAACGACTCCCTCATGGCACCCTTTACAAAAATACTACATCGCGTTTGGATACAGCGGCTTGGCGGCATGGACTTTCAGCATGATCTTTCACGCCCGAGACTTCCCCCTGACTGAGAAGTTAGACTACTATGGGGCCGGCGCCAGCGTACTGTATGGGTTATACCTCGCTACTCTACGAATCTTCCGCTTGGACTTGGAGGAACCGAGACACAAGCCGACGCTGCGACGGCTTTGGACGGCGATATGCGTCTTACTCTACGCCATACATGTCTGCTATCTCAGCTTCTGGTCATGGGACTACACGTACAATATGATTGCGAACATCGTTGTTGGCATGATCCAGAACACGCTGTGGATCGGTTTTAGCGTTGTCCGATACCAAAAGACTGGGAAGTCCTGGACACTTTGGCCAGCGTTTATTGTGGTTTGGATTATCCTAGCCATGAGCCTCGAACTCCTAGACTTCCCGCCGTGGCATGCCCTGATCGATGCCCATAGCCTGTGGCATTTGGGAACCGTTATCCCATGTGCTTGGTGGTACCTGTGAGTTTATTCCGTTCAAGGTAGATGGCTCGGAGCGAGACGTGCTAATCACCCTGGCAGGTATCTCATTAAAGATATCCAAGATGACATGGCTGGAGAAAGGTTGAAAGCTTAAAATAGCTGGATAAGTCACTACGTACTACCGAAGTCAGCCGCTTCGGACGGCGATAATCAGCTGTCAGAATATAGGTCCAGCTGACCGCACATCGTATTCGATTTTGGCGGTCTCAGGTGGAGGACGGGGGCGTCGAAATATAAATATCAACAGTGCAGCTGTACAATAATACATACCCCAAGAACCACCTGGCAATCTCTGTTACGTACTGCCGTACTACCAGGTAGTCAACACCGTACTCACATTGTGCCCTTCGGAGCTGTGATTTGTTCAGATCGGCAAACCGTTTGAGGCCCCACCCCTCTGGCTCACCGCTCGGGGGTTAGTGCAACGTGAGAGGCTAGCGTCGCTGCCAGTGGCCCGTGTTTTGTTGGTCGCACCGCCGCAGCACCGTAGCAAGGAACCCAGCCTCAAGTGTCTCACTTCTGCTCGCTGCATCTCACATTCTTTTCTTTTCTTTCCTTTTCCTCTCCTAATTCAACGCTGCTCGTATTTCTTCCTGCCTCCCAACCTGCCATACTACAGTCCACCTTATTCACCACCCAAACCGCGCCACAATGGCGTCCCCCGAAGTTAAGAAGGCGATCGCAGAGGCCGCATCGCAGTATGCGAAGCCAGAAGGGAAGGTCTTCCAGTATGGTACTGCCGGAGTAGGTGGTCATTCAGATCCAGTTCCATGGCCATGGCTCGAAGCTAACCAATGTCTCGTTGTTTGCAGTTTCGTATGAGGGCGTAAGTCTCCCCCTTTCTACGACCGCCGTTCCATCCCTTCCTTTGAGGATATGCCTCCCCGCATCCATCATACCCCGCGACCGGGATTTGTTTACCCTTTTACTCACGCACTTCTCTGCCAGGGATTTCCTCAACACAGTCGTTTTTGCTGTTGGATTACTCGCCGGACTTCGCTCCAAGAAGCTCAGTGGACAATGGGTTGGCGTTATGGTCACTGCCAGTCACAACCCTGCGGAGGACAATGGTGTCAAGCTGGTTGATCCTATGGTGAGTTGAGAACCCCACAGCAAATTGCGCCTGGAGCTAAACTGACTTATTTGACCAGGGCGAAATGTTAGAGGTATAATTCGTCACATTTCATTCTCCTGCTTCAACAATTGCTCACTATTTAACAGGCCGAGTGGGAGGCTTATGCGACAAAACTTGCGAATGCTCCCATGGAGTCCATTGCCGACGTATACGAAGAACTCATCAAGGAGATTGATGTCAGCATGGAGAATCCGGCCCGTGTTGTCTTTGCTCGCGATACCCGCGCCTCTGGCTCTCGTCTTGTGGGAGTCCTTAATGCTGCTCTTACCGCCACCGGAGTCGAGTTTGTTGACTTAAAATACATGACAACTCCCCAGCTTCACTATGTCGTCCGGTGCAAGAACACATTAGGGACACAATATGAATATGGCGAACCTACTGAACAAGGGTACTATGAGAAGCTCGCCGCTTCTTTCAAGAGAGTTATGCGGGGTGTTAGAGTCAATGGTTCACTGACCGTCGATTGCGCAAACGGTGTCGGTGGACCGAAACTGAGAGAACTTATCAAGTATCTACATGCGGCCGAGGAAGGCGGTGTTGATATCAAAATAGTGAACGACGATGTTATCAACCCGGATAGCCTAAACTTTGACGTAAGTCACCAAACACACATATTTAGAGAAACTTGCATGCTAAAAGGGGTTCTTTTGTTCTGTCTAGTGTGGTGCCGACTACGTCAAGACGAAGCAGCGTGCTCCTCCTTCATCAAAGGCGTCGACTCTCGATCGCTGTGCCTCTCTAGATGGGGACGCGGATCGACTTATCTATTATTTCATGGACGAGGGCAACGTCTTCCGTATGCTCGATGGCGATCGAATCGCCACTCTCGCAGCTTCATTCATTGGGGACCTCGCGCGGAGTGCGGGCATCGCGAACAAGCTCAAAATTGGTGTTATTCAGACTGCTTACGCCAACGGATCCAGTACAGACTACATCGAAAAGGTCCTAAAACTCCCTTCTGTTTGCACAAACACAGGTGTTAAACATCTTCACCACGCTGCTTTACGTTTCGATGTTGGTGTATATTTCGAGGCGAACGGACACGGTACAGTCACCTTCTCCGAGAACGCTCTGAAAACCATCAAGACCACCGAGCCCCAATCGCCGGCTCAGAAACGCGCGCTCGAATGCCTTGATGCCCTCACAGACCTTATCAACCAAGCCGTTGGCGATGCTCTCAGTGACTTGCTACTTGTAGAAACCATTCTTGCTCACAAGGGCTGGACTCCAACGGAGTGGTTAGCCACCTATACCGACCTCCCTTCACGACTCGTTCGTGTGGAGGTTGCTGACCGCTCGATCTTTAAGGCCTACGATGCCGAGCGTAAACTCGAGTCCCCACCCGGCCTCCAGCCCAAGATTGAGTCTCTGCAGTCCCGCTACAACAAGGGACGGAGCTTCGCCCGCGCAAGCGGTACAGAGGATGCTGTGCGTGTCTATGCTGAGGCTGCAAGCCGATCCGAGGCAGATGACCTCGCCACCCGCGTTGCAAATGCGGTCCGCGACGCTGGTACCAAAGAAGTTATTCAGTAATTTGGGAATATCTTGGCTATGTATGGGCCACCTAAAGAAGGCAATGCGGGGCTATGGGGATCAATTGGCGCTCCCTTAAAAAAATGTTGACGAAAACTATTTTAACTATTTACGATACTACCACTTTATCCTATCATACAACCAATAGGAAATATGATGAATTGAATGACCATCTTTCGTCTCTTACCTAGTATCATCGTCTCTGTATGTGTATTTGGCATTTACCGTTTCTTACATGACTATCCTGGAACATAATAAAATATAGAACTCCGGGTATTCAATCCAACGCTTGACTGAGTATATAAAGAGATACGCGACATATGATTTGTTTTTTTTTCATTTGGAAGAAGCTTAACCCTCCTCCTGATCCATATCATCTCTTGAGCGCTTCCCTTTACCAAACTTTTTCCCTCTACCCCCCCTCTTCTCATCAAAGCTCTTCATCTCAATGGTAGCCTGCCGTGAAGCCTCCGCAACGCGCTCTGCCATAACCATGACCTCTTCCTTTTCGGTATCATACTCCGGCAGTTTCTTCCCCAGTGCAGCCTCGACTCTGAGCCAGACTTCAATATCATACTGGCTGACAAAGCTAATTGCTACACCACTTTTCCCTGCACGCGCTGTACGACCAACACGATGGATATATGTCTTGCTGTCCATCGGTAGGTCGAAGTTGAATACAACATCGACAGACGGGATATCGAGACCACGGGCGGCCACATCCGTCGCAACCAAGATGTCACGGCTGCGAGAGCGGAATTTCCCCAGGGCACCCATACGCGCGGATTGGGAGAGCTGACCGTGGAGTGGGATTGCGCCGAAGCCGAGAGCTCGGAGCATGAAGGCTACACGCTGGGTTTCATGAACTGTTGTCGTAAAAATGATAGCCGACTTTCCGGCAAATTCGTTGAGCAGGTATACAAGATAAAGGTTCTTGTGCTTGTGCGGAATGCAGATGTAGGATGACTTGAGGGTAGAGACGGTTTGGTATTTGCTTGAGACGGAAACGCGGACGGGGTTGGAGAGCGATGCGCGTTGGAGGGACTCAACTTTGGAGCTTAACGTTGCAGAGTATAGATAAGTATGGCGAGATTCTTTGGGGAGGACTTTGAGAATTTTGTCGATCGACTCGCCGAAGTCCATGTCTAAGAGGCGATCTGCTTCATCGATGGCGAGGTATTTGAGGTTTCGGAGGGAGAAGCCTTTTGTATTCTCCAGGTGATCCAACAGTCGACCCGGAGTTGCGACAATGATGTGAGGCTTTTTCCCCAGCGCGATGGACTGGGATACCATGTCCATGCCTCCGACGATAACGGCACAGCGGACTCCGATTGTTGATCCTAGGTTCTCGAAGGAGTGGGATATTTGATATGCGAGTTCTCGGGTGGGCGCTAGAACGAGACCAAATAGCGTTTGCGGTGATTCCATAAGAGCTACAGTTGTTGTTAGACATATCTTTAAAAATTAATTCTCTGGTAAGCATACCTTGGAGCATTGGGAGGGCAAAGGCGGCCGTTTTCCCACTTCCCGTTTCTGCAAGACCGATCACATCACGACCTTCAAGTGCTAGTGGAATTGCTTGCGACTGAATAGGAGTCGGGGCCTTGTAGCCCATGGTCTCGCAGGCATCGCATAGCTGTTCAATAATTCCTAGCTCTTGGAAGGATTTTGCCGTTTGTGGTTCTTCGCCGGAAGTTTGTTGATCATCCTTCACGGATTCGCGAGAGCCAGTCGACTCGGCATCGGAGTCACTATCGCGCTCCTCCTGTTTCTGGGTAATCTTGCGCCTTTTTAGGGCCGACATTATGGGCATGCAAAAGGATATGTTGGTACAGTGATGAAGATGATCCCGCCTTATCAGACAAAAAAATTATATGGAGCCGCGCAGAAAAGTTGATCCGGGTGATTTTTTGCGGAGCCGTACTTTTATCTTTTTTTCCCGTCCAGAAAAAAAGTAGCCAGACCACCTGAAAAAGATTACTTTTTCTGGACTGTTTCTTCTTCTTTTTTTTTGTTATCTACAGAACCCTCATCATGCCCAAGCGTGCTAAGGGTCGTTCTCATCCTAAGGCGCCGAGTGGCCCTGCCAATGGCAAAGGGAGCGCCTCATCCGTGGGCAAGAGCCCGAAGTCCATGGTTATCAGAATTGGAGGCTCGCGAGTTGGCAGCAGTGTTAGCCAGTTGGTGAAGGATGTTCGTCTCATGATGGAGCCAGACACAGCAGTGCGACTTAAGGTACGACTTCCTCCAAACACACGGTATTGTCTAATTTATCTTTACTGACTGATCTAGGAACGCAAATCGAACAGGCTAAGGGACTATACAGTCATGACGGGCCCTCTCGGCGTTACGCATTTACTTCTATTCTCCAAATCCTCTACCGGAAACACGAATATGCGTCTAGCGCTCACGCCACGCGGTCCTACTCTCAACTTTAAAGTAGAAAGTTATTCTCTCTGTCGTGACGTCGAAAAGGCGCAGAAACGCCCAAGAGGCGGTGGCCAAGATCACAAAACACCACCTTTGCTCGTAATGAACAACTTCAACAAGTCCGATACCGACGAAAATTCCAAGGTGCCGAAGCGCCTCGAAAACCTAACAACCACCATTTTCCAGTCGCTTTTCCCGCCGATCAACCCCCAAGCCCAGCCTCTATCCTCTATCCGCCGCGTGATGCTCCTGAATCGAGAACCCGAGGCCGAGTCAGATGATGAAGGTTCATATGTGCTTAATCTGAGACATTACGCGATTACCACAAGGAAGACAGGTGTCTCTAAACGCATCCGACGTCTGGACCCCAAAGAAGTCCGGAACAGGGAAAAGCACAAGTCCGCTGTCCCCAATCTTGGGAAGCTAGAGGATGCTGCAGACTACTTACTGGATCCCTCGGCTGCGGGATATACGTCAGCAAGCGAAACGGAGTTGGATACGGATGCGGAGGTCGAAGTCGCCGGAACAACGACGAGAAAAGTATTGACTAAACGAGATATGCAGCGTATGAAATCTGGAGAGAAGGTAGACAAGAAGACAAACGCGCCTGAAGTCGAGAAACGGGCTGTCAAGCTAGTTGAACTGGGACCCCGGTTGAGACTCCGATTGATCAAGGTTGAGGATGGATTGTGCGAGGGACGAGTGATGTGGCACGATTATATCCACAAGTCTGAAAAAGAGGTTGATGCGTTGGATAAGAACTGGGACAAGAAGACGAAGGAGAAGGAAGAACGAAAGAAATTGCAGAAACAAAACGTTGAGCGCAAAAAGCAGGAGAAGGCCAAGGCTCGTGCTGAAGGCAAGGAAGTCGAGGATGACGACGACGAATTGGACGACGAGGATGTTGATATGGACGATGAATGGGTAAGCGATGACGAGGTTGACGAGAAGGAAGATGAAGAGGAAGAGGAAGGAGACGAATCTATGGACGAATGAATTACCATGGAAAACCGCCTTTGAACATGTCACGAGCGCTCCATACGCTCCCACCAGTTGCTGTGCTTTCGCACAACCTAACTACTTTGCGTATTACCGATGGAGTATATCTTCCCACCATTGATTAATCATGACTGCGACTACCCTCCCGAGCGATACCTCGCGACGGATGTTTCTATGGGAATGTTTGTCTTCGTCGGTACCAAGCACTTGAGCACGCTCTAAACTCTTGAGGGGAAGAAAATTACGGAGGAATTGGTGATGCTAGAGCACCCTTCGCCTTGGGTACATACAGTGAGCTGTGCATCTTCCATTTAGGATATCAAATTATACCCACATTTGTTCATCGTCAATTATGGTAAATATCACAAAATTATCGCCGACAAATCGATACTTAATATCCGAGCTTTCTTTTCTGCTTCATTTCAAACTATCGCTTTAGCTTCTCCTCGACTATCCGCTCAACCATCTTCTCCAAAATGCTCATATTACCCCCTGCTGTACCAGCAAAATAGGCCTCGATTCCCTTCTCAACATACTTTGCCATGACATCAATTTCCACATTCACAAAGTCCCCAACCTTCTTTGCGGCTGTTACAATCTTCTCTTGCGTATATGCAATAAGCATGATCTCAAACCATCCGTCCTCTCCATCCTTCACCTGCGTAACCGTCAAGCTGGCTCCGTCAAGCGTAATGAAACCCTTTTCAACAATGTACCGTAAAGTAGTAAGATCGCGGGGTTGAAGACGGAGAACCAACGAATTCTCATCAGGCGTGGTGGCAATGATTTTCGCAATTGTGTCGACGTGACCCTGCACCATGTGTCCGCCCATCCGGGTTTCGCCTTTCACGGCGCGCTCGAGGTTGACTTGAGAAGTTTCCGTTAGGGCGCCTAGGTTTGTACGGCGGAGAGTTTCCGGGGCGACTCCGACTTTGAACCATGATTTTTCAAAGGCCGTGACAGTCAGGCAGGTTCCTGCGCCGGTTGAGTTAGCGGCTGATGCCAATCCATATTGAGAGGGGCGAGATGACAGGCATATCAAGGACAATAAACCCAATATATCGTCACTATTGGACTGACGTACCATTGACACTAATACTGTCTCCCAGCTGCACATCAGTGAGAATAGTCTCACAATCGGTGATGGTTAGAGATGTGCCCCCGCCTCCGCTTGCTGTGGTGTCGAGGGGCTCAAGGGACGAGACCGCTAAACATTACGGTTAATTCAGAGGCCAGGCGTTAATAGAGAAACTGCATGGCACTCACTCCCAATGGTTTCTACAAGTCCGGTAAACATGGCGGGTGAGGAGGGATGTTCGGCTTGAGTTATCCGCAGAGAGGGGTGGAAAAGAGTGGGCAAGACGGAGTTTATGAGGAGCCAATGGCTCACCGGCTGTGGGATTTCTAGATTCCGGGGTTTGTCAGCGCTTATTCAAAGCATTCTGCAATCCATTTTAAGATCCCTAATACCTATAACAGAGCTTCGAAATGTATAAATATCTGTAAATGGAGATGCGATTGACTGAAGCGTGGGGTGGAAATGCTTAGCGGAAGAGGCGGGTCGACCTCGGCTTTGAGGCCGGTGCTGACTGCTGAGCCCGAGTCGGAGAGCTTCTCCAAATCTTCATACTTCAATGTCGGACCCCCCGCCTAACCTTGATCAATTGTAACATCGTTTGCCAATGTGCAGTCTCTCTAAATAGTCACAATGAATGCGAAATTCAAATTACAGTGGGCATTACTTGCCCAGCGGCCCAGCCTTCAACGATCGACGAGGGGCTGCATATCCAGACACGCGACACAATGGCGCTCTTATTCAACCCCACTGGCTGCCGCAGATGGGATGCTGCCCCTGCAGGGTATTAGAGTGCTTGATATGACACGAGTCCTCGCCGGGGTAAGCTCTGTTCTTCTGTCCTCATATCCTTCGGGGACGATGCAATTTGCGTGCGGGGTACATTCATGATACTGACTCTCGGCTACAGCCATATTGCACACAAATTCTTGGAGACCTGGGGTAAGTCGCTGAATTCTTTAAGACACGCCAGTCGCGAATATCCAACTTGGTTCTAATTTACCGTCCCGCAACAGAGCCGACGTGATCAAGGTGGAACATCCCGTGCGGGGTGATGATACTCGAGCGTGGGGTCCGCCGTACGCCAAATACAAGGACGGTGCAGACAAGGAGGGTCCCGGTGAGAGTGCTTACTATCTCGCGGTATGCCGGGATCAGGTTATAATTCATTTCATGAGAACATCCTGGGCTAACTCCCGCGCAGGTCAACCGTAATAAGAAATCGATCGGCCTCTCATTCCAGCACAAGTCTGGCGTTGACATTCTACATCGACTAGTCAAGGATTGCGATGTCCTCGTCGAGAACTACCTTCCAGGAGGACTCAAGAAGTATGATATGGATTACGAAACACTCCGGAAAATAAATCCTAGCCTGATCTACGCGAGTATCACCGGGTATGGCCAGACCGGGCCGTACAGCAACCGCGCGGGATATGATGTGATGGTGGAAGCCGAGATGGGATTGATGCACATCACTGGAAGCAGAGGAGGTGAGCCTGTCAAGGTTGGTGTAGCCGTCACAGATTTAACAACTGGGCTGTATACGTCCAATGCGATTATGGCTGCACTACTCGCCCGAGCACGAACTGGCAAGGGACAGCACATTGATGCATGTCTAAGTGACTGTCAAGTTGCAACTCTCGCCAATATTGCAAGCTCTGCTCTGATTAGTGGAAAGAAGGATTCAGGGCGTTGGGGTACCGAGCACCGTATGTACCGAGTCGTTAACATTCTCACATCCAGGGGTACTGATAGTTCCAAGCATCCATTGTGCCCTACCGAAGCTATCCAACTCGCGATGGGGATATCTTGTTTGGCGGCGGCAACGACAAGTTGTTCGGCGTGTTGTGCGACCGATTAGGCCACCCCGAATGGAAGTCGGATCCTCGATTCTTGACCAACAGTGACCGTGTAAAGCACCGACCGGAGATTGACGGCTTGATCGAAAACTGTGTGAAGGAAAAGACCACGCAGCAGTGGCTCGAAATCATGGAGGGCAGCGGGATGCCCTATGCTGCTGTCAATGACATCCAAGGGACATTAAACCACGCACATGGTACGTTTCTCCATCAGATCAGGAGCCATACCACACAACCCTTTTTTTTTTTTTTAACACTTTCACGATTTAGTCCAAGCGCGTGGGATGGTCACCGAAATCGATCATCCAACATGCGGTCCTGTCAAATTAGTAAACACGCCGGTCAAATATTCCCACGCAACCCCTGGCGTGCGAACGCCTCCTCCCACCCTCGGACAGCACACCAATGAGATTCTTGCAGAAATGCTCCAGTATGGTGAAAAAGAAATTTCTCAACTGAAGCAGGATGGTGTCGTATCATAGATAGGATAATGCATTCGATATGAGGCATGAGATCGTACATAGACTATGAGTTGGAAATAGATCGGAAAATTGTTCGAATCTAATCACAATATTCAAAAACACAAGCGTTAGCAAGATAGCACCGGCTTCGGCCCGAAAGTATAAATATATATTGAATTGTCCAAGAATTGAGACCATGCTGGGTTCTCAAAAAGGGCTGGAGCTTGAATGAGCAAGTGAACAGATCAAGTCCAATTGGGAGGGACCGGCCAATCACGTGACGTTGTATAAATCCTTGGATCCGTTCAAACTTGACGATGTCGCTCCATCTCGTCGCCCAGAAGCAACAAGCCCAATTAGTCCTTTACTGGGCGCTCACACTGACCTGTGAGCCTGGTTTCCGGAAAAATTCACCAGCTGGCCTGGGGGCATGTCCCAGCAAAATGGGGTTTCTTCATCCCTCGCTTCTATAGAAGCAGCGCCACCAAGCGGAACTGTGACCCCAAGCACTGCTAGTGCGCAGTCGCACCCATCGGCCTTGTCCAACACATCGTCGACTCGAACACTGCAGGCCTCAAATTTCAGTCGATCCGGTACTCCGTCTGGTAGGGTCCATATTCCAAAACTTTCGGCAGCTACGACGGAGCTCCTTGCACGGTTCGCCCGAGATATCAAAGGACCACGGCGGCAAGTGCTGCCAAGAGATGATCAGGCATCTGTCAGCTACAGTCCTTTCTCTCCAAACTCGGTTTGCAATAACCAAAATACCAACTCTCGGAATATAGACACAATGAGGGCTTCTTCAACTCTCATCGAGCTACCAACAGCTCCCTTCGTGTACCCGACCAGGGTGGAGGCGCCAGCTGTGGCCCCAAATCCTGCGTCTGCGCCTACTCCGTCCTCCAACGGTATTAATGGGTCGCCTACCATACCAAATGGCTTGACTCATATCGCACCAAAGCCAGCGGCAACACCTTCAACATCTTCAATATTGACGCCAACACCGGCTGGGCCAACGGTGCCAAACCGCGTGCAGTCATCGCCAGGGCATCAGCCACAATCATCTAACGGCATTAACGGAACCCCCGGGAAGATTCATAGCCCAATCAATATTGCTCCTAAGCCAGTCACAGCATATTCCGCATCGACGTCGGTACTGCCTAGCCCGCAAGTCCTAGGCCCTACACGGACGTTATCAGAACATCAATCACCATCTTCCACCAGCATTAATGGAAACTCAGCGAGACCTTATGGATCAATCAATATCATTCCTAGGCCAGCAGCTACTGACTCAATATCAACACGAACACCGACTGGGCCGCAGGCAGCAGGCCATACACGGCCACCGTCAGAACATCCATCATCCTCCGCCAGCATTAACGGGACACCTGCAAGACCCCATGGCTGGATTAATATAAACTCTGGGCCTGCTGTTTCCAGTTCGGCATTAATATCGGCATCAGATAGCCCGCGAGCTCCAACAGATATTCAAACATCGTCAAAACGTCGGCCACCACTTCCACCAGCAGCATCCTCAACAGCATTAGCGCCACTAGCTCCAGCTCCCACAATTTCAAATATCTCTGATAGGTCGCTAACAAAACCCCCAGCGACTATACCAGTCAAGGATACATCTCACTCCCGCCAACGACGAAGTGCTGGAAGTAGGAAAAGTGGATCCAAAAAGCGCAAGCGTGGCCATGACAGCGACGGTGAGGATATCATTCGAGCGGCCGACTCTAGCTCAGATGAATCAAACATTACCTCAATCGTAACGCAAACGAAATCCGGCCGACAAGTGAACAAGCCTTCGCTATATGTTCCTTCACCTCTCTCGCCAGCTATCCCCAGGGAATCGCATAATTTTCATGGGTCCTCTGACAGATCCCAGGAGGCCGTCAAGCCACGAAAACGTGCTCCCAAAAAAGGGAAGAACACGAATGTTATATGTATGTATTGCCAGCGTGGCCACAGCCCACCAAGCAACGCTATTGTGTTCTGCGATAAGTGCAGTCGCGCTTGGCATCAACACTGCCATGATCCACCCATCGAAAATGAGGTGGTCACGGTGAAGGAGAAAGAATGGCTCTGCCGAGAATGCAAGCCCGTGAAGATTACCATACTCCATCCAACTGTTGTCCGGAGTCATCCAACCCTTAATGCCGGGCCTCCCGTTAATCCTCCATTGGTGATACCCAGGGCTGAAGTAGGAGGAGAGCAGTTCCCTACGAACGACCGGCGGCAGTTTTTGTCAAGCTTATCACATGCCGCACTTGTCGAGTTTCTTCTTGCCATATCAGATAAACACCCGACTATACCCATGTTCCCTGAGAACATGGAGTCATTGCCATCATCAAACTTTGCATCATCCCAATCTGTGACCACAGCGGGCTCTTCTCAACCAAATAGCTCCATTTCAGCTAACAATCCAGTCCCTTCAACCTCCACGCAGTCCAAACCAGCTGTTGGGGGAGAGAAGAATGGCCAGCCAAATACGACCTCAGAGCGCACCCACAAGGGACGTTACTACGAATCATCGGACGAGGACTCTGAGTACGAGTTTCAGGAACACCGCCTCTACCCGCGAGCCGGGAACGGAGTTCGTCTTTCCACAAACCAAGAAGACCTCGATATTTTACAGGAGGACCCGGCTTGTACCACGTTCAGCTATGCATTGCACAGGGCTCCGCCCACTATCACGGGGAATGTGCGTGCTTAACAGGCCCTATGCGATATACTTATGCTTTATATGTTCCACTGCGTGTTTCTCTAGCGGCTCAGCGGCGTTTTGGTATGTCTTTCGGTGCAAGATTTATTGTAGGGAATTGGCATAGGGTTTCAACCCTCTTGGATGGAGTTTCTAAGGCATTCAAATATCAGCGAAAGTCGACCTTTTGAGACGCAACTATCAACTTAGAAGACCATATAATTCAAATACAGCCGTTATATCATTGGCTACACTTCGAGTGCGTGAGGAATTCTACACTACAAACCGAAAAACAGTTTCAGAAGCAGCCAACTGTGCGCGCTTCACCACGCTGCCCCGAGAAATAACCGCTCTACTCGTTCTCACCGGAGGATCCCAGACAACCTCCGCAATGCTCTTTCGTGCCCGAGTCGCGCCAGGTTCGAGAAGCCCAGTATCATCTACATCGTGCAACAGCAAACAATCTGCACGGTCGCCCTGTTTCAAACAAACGCCAGAGTCAGATTGTGATGGCGAAGATAGTCCGATGGCGGCGCGGGCACGCGTAGACACGCATTCATATAATAGCTCCGCGTCGCTTACCGTCCCAGCTTGGTAAATACCCACACCTAAACAGGCAAGACCCAATGGATCTGCAGAGCCCCAGGGCGTGAACGCGTTCCCGACATTGTTCACACCAATCACTGCATCGAGTGCGAATTTACGGATCATGGAGGGTACAGGTAGCGTGCCTCTAGGGTTAGTCTTTACTCCGATATCACTACCAGAGGGCGTAGTTGCCATATAGAGGTCGCTAGTCGGGAGGCCAACAAAGCTAATGGGGAGCTCGTTGTCGTGGACTTCTCGCGCGAGGCGCATCCAGTGCTCTTCCTTGAATAGAGAAAGCCGCGTACAGTGTCCCAACATTACGCGTTTATTTGTATTTTGCGATGTCCATCCTAGCAGACGGAGAGTACGCAAGACATGCCAGATGAGCGGTTCCGGGTCTTCCTCCGGAGGAGCAAGGTTATAGTCAAGATGAAAGTCGAGGTGCCGGTCGTTCTGTAAGGCCGCGGCAGCAGCCCACTCGATGTTCTGTTTTGAAGCTTCGATGCTCGATTCCACGTATGGCGTCGTGCCCAGAACACCAAGCTTATCTGGCGTGTGGTCCCGGAGAGCAGCTTCAATCAGGCGTCTATTCTCCTCTCCGTGTGAAGTTGAGAAGACGGGGTCTTGTGCATAGCAAACGAGCTGGATATCACAGGCGTCTTTCCATCTTTCCTTAAGGACCAGCCCGGCATTGAGGCAAGTGTGTTGCACAGTGTGGTCGACTTCGACGAAGCTGCGAATAGCTGTTACGCCGGAAGCGATGGAGTCTGCGAGTAGCCACTCACCACGTTTGAGGATGTCGGCATGGGTAAAGGCTGCTTTTGCTTTGGTTGTGGAGGTGATGGCTTCTTGGAATGAGCCGGTTGAGGGTAATAAGTTGCCGTATGAGGGGGTGTTAAGTATGAACGCTTTGTCTATATGGACGTGAGGATGGACGAGGGCTGGGAGAAGGATAGGTGGTGAGGAAGTAGAGGGCGGAGGAGGATCATTTGGACTAACGGACGAGATCACTCCTTCCGGGCAATTGGGGGGATATTCTATAGCGACGTCCCACGTGGTCTCTGGGTCGCCTGCCGACGTGCCTCCAAGCCTAACGCCATGGATTGTCTTCAACGGGGGCGTCGGTCGAGAAGACATTGTGATGTATACACATTCAAGTACGTTGGCACCGTGTCGGTTGTTGGTTGCTGAAGAGATGTGTGTGTGAACCGCGTGCCATGTCGTAGATATAGAATGGACGGCGGGGAATTCGGATCGGAGACAAAATATATCTCCAACCACAGAACCACAGCATTACTACACGGACATCCCCCAAAACTCGCAGTACAAATATTTCTCCAGTGGTTCAAACCTAGAACCCGAAGCTACAGACCACAGACCCCAGAAAGAAAAAGATACGACTGCAGACCAGCTGTTGGACGCTAATTTCCCGTACAACCAACCCGGAGCTCGAGTACCTCGAGTCTCGGTTCTTCCTTCTTCAGCCGAAATAATAATAATAATGTGATTGCCTTGAACTCAACATGGCTCAATACCACACCTCATAAAACACGCTTGCTCCTTTTCTAATCCTGTCTTATCCGATAGACTTTACACATACCCAGAGAAAAGCGCCAACATACAGAATGGCACAACGCATCCTCACCACGCCCTCGCGCGCAAATCCCAACCCACCACCCTCAAAACAATGGCATGAACACCTCAACATTGACCTTATTATGACCGTTCTAAATCGATCAATATTACACCCATTCATCGCCTGGATCATAGTCCTCTGTCTCCGCGCCCAAGCAACCCCCTACGCGCATCCCGCATTCATTGTCGCATTCGCCTACGCTACCTTCCTGACCCTCCTTGACATTGCATTTATGATTAGCGACCGAATTGCGTTTGGCGTGCCTAGACAAGTCGATTTGAGCGAGGAGGTTATTGTTATCACGGGGGGAGCGAGCGGGTTAGGAAGGTTGGTCGCTCAGATCTACGGGCTGCGCGGGGCGAGCGTTGCGGTGCTGGATATCGCGGAAGCGAAGGATGTTAAGGGGTGGGAGGATGTTAGTGGGGTCGAGTATTATCGATGTGATATTGGAGTGAGGGATGAGGTTGAGACCGTGGCGCGGAGAATTGAAGAGGATGTACGTCTTGTTTCCCTTACTCCCTTCCTTATGTTTCCTTCGTTGGCTTTCTACGATTGAGGGACCATGCTTCGTGATGATTTCATTTGCTAACTATTTACTTGTAGTTGGGTGCACCAACAGTGCTCGTTAACTGTGCAGCAACTCGGATCAATGGGCAGACGCTTCTGTCACTATCTGCCGAAGCATTCCAGAAGACTATCCAGACGAATCTTTTGGCAGTTGTCCACACTTGTCAAGTGTTTCTCCCACACATGCTATCTAGCGAGAACGGAGGCACCGTTGTGAACGTTAGCTCGGTCCTAGGACAACTGTGTGCCGCCGGTCTTTCAGACTACTCGGCAAGCAAGGCAGGCCTCAGTGCCCTGCATCGCACATTGGAGGCAGAACTCCGGGTATCAGGAAACGGAGATAAAGTGAAAACAGTATTGGTCGAATCCGGTCAAATATCAACACCCCTGTTCAAGTCTATTAAAACGCCCAACTCCTTTTTCGCGCCTGTGCTTGAACCCATCCATGTCGCCCAGGCTATTGTATCCATGATAGATCAGGGACAAAGTGGTGTTATTAGGTTGCCGACGTTCGCTATGTTTGCCAACCTGTATGCGGTGTTGCCGAAAGGCCTTCAGCAGATCGCCCGGTATCTGAGCGGCATCGATTCCGCTGTACCACTAGGGTCATCTCAAACGAAGCAGGTTGGAGCAAAGAAAACAGGAGTCGCAAGTTAAGAAAGAATAAAGCGCCCAACTCTGGTCTCTCCTAACCACCTTTTTAACGTGAAACGAGCTCACGGATGTATAATAGGAATATATAATAGAGATTCCCCCCCTGCCACGAATAGTTGCATTTTGATGTAGACTGCCGTGCTATTGGCACATCCCGACTTCCATCAATTGCAACGAGCGACGATGAGCGTATGTCTATTTCTCCTGTGTTAGAATCATCTTTTCACGCTCGCTCTGTCTCGCACGCAGAGTGCTCTTCTTAGCATGTTTCCGAATGTTCTCCTCGCGCCTCTTGATAGCCGCAAGCTCCTCCGTTTTAATCTCACGAGCCTTCTTGATTGTTCGAGGAACGTGGCGCTGGCGTTTGATCCGTTTGATCTCTGGCATATGGGAGTATCTCTGGACAAGGGCTTGGTCGTATTCCAGTTTTGTTCTTTGGCGGGCACTCTTAATCCCACTGCGGTCGGATGCGTTGGCACGCCATAGTCGGATGTTACCATCGTCCGAACCAGATAGGACGTATTTATTATCGGGAGTAAACTTCGTCGAAAACACTCTGTCGACGAATTAGTTTCATGCTTTGCGTTAGGAACCATATTATTTGAAATAACTGACCGTTGCATCCTCTGCGTGTGGTAAATGTCACGCGAATGACCAGTTGCCCTGTTCCACAAGCGAATTGTCCTGTCATACGAGGCTGAAACAAGTTCTTCGCCCGTCGGACTGAAATCCACATCCATAACTGCAGCGACATGGTCTTTGAGCACATTAAGAGCACGGTCCATCTTCCTCATGTCGAACATATAGACATTATGGTCCTCATTCGCAACTGCAAAGTTGAACGCCTCCATTGGATTCCAGGAAATAGCGTTTGATGCTAATCTCAGCACCAGTTTAGATAGAGGAGACGAGGTGCGGAGATCATAAAGAATGACAGAGCGATCAATCGCAGTAGACGCAAGGACCGAGGTCTCGGTTTGGTTGAAGGCGACTGATGTAATCGTGTCAACGCTGGTGGGCCAGTGAAGGGTTTGAGAGGGTGTTGAGGAAGGCCGCGAAAGATCGTAGATCGAGATCTGAGATGATGACGCAGCGAAAAACGGTTGGTCACGGTGATGGGTGAGGCTGGTGAAAGCGCCCTGGCCGAGGTATGTTGCGAGAGGGGGGGCTTCGGAGGAGGAGTTATATGGATCAAACAGTTTGATCGTTTTATCGGCAGCGCAAGAAAGCAGTTTCCGATCCGGCGTCCAGCATACCCCCTTAACGATATTCTCATGCGCCGTGTTGTTCCAAACCTCGCCCTGTGTTGTAAGGTCCCAGACTTTGACCACGCCATCACCACTCCCACTAGCAAATCGTTCCAACGAGCCAGGGTCCTTGGCCATTGTGTAAACACCGTCGACATGGCCTTCGCCCATTTGGCCCAAGAAGGGCGCAGCGAAAAGACGCTCCATTTTTACGGCATTGAGAGCTCTTGTATACTCACGCGCACGTTCGAACGGATGCTGGGACGGGTCTAGATTTCGAGGTTGCCGAACCACAGCGGTACCCGGCGTCTGCTGCGAGGCAGACGATCGGGAAAGAGCTTTGATTTTCTGTTTAGGCATTAATAACTGGCTCAAAGAAATCAACAGACGGAGACAAGTATTACCATGATGCTGCTTTCCGTAACCAAATACTCTCAGCACGGAAGAAAAGGACCCGAAATCGAATAAATGAGGAGCTGGAGAGAGACCAGGATATTTTTGTTCTATACATTTTTTTCTGACGGATGAAATCGAGACCGCCGGGTTGTGGGCGGTGAGTATAGCGGCCTCAGGCAGAAAGGTTGCTGATGACTTAGTAAGGTGAGATGAAGCTCCAGCGACCAAGTGATGATATCCGTCCATCCATCAACTTACCTCCTCCACCATTCTATCCTTGACTCTCACATTACAAGCTTGTTTTGCACAGTACTGTGTCACCGGACAATAAAACTCTTTTCAAACCTACAATCTTGCATTCCCGTTTCCCTCATACCAGCATAAGTCATGGCTCCTTCCTCTGAGGCCGCTCAGCGGATAGAGGAAGCTCGAGCTCTCGCAAAGAAAGATCCTAAGAAAGCTGAGGCTACCTACAAAGACATTCTTGCCAAAGGCCCTGGGTCCTCCGAAAAGTCGTCGCGTGACTACGAAAATGCGTTGATCGGATTGGGAGAGCTCTACCGGGACGAGAAGAAGCCGCAGGAGATTGCAGACCTGATCAAAACAAGTCGGGATTCTTTTTCGTCGTTCGCCAAAGCAAAGACAGCGAAGCTAGGTATGTTATATTGGTATCTAAAGGTGATGTGTTGAAAGCGATGGGAGGGCTAATGAGCTGTTATGTAGTACGCCAGCTGCTCGACTTGTTTAGTGAGATTCCCAACACCCTTGATATTCAAGTTTCCGTCATCCAATCCTGCATCGAGTGGGCGGTAGCCGAACGGCGGTCTTTCCTTCGACAGAACCTCGAGACTCGGTTGGTGGCCATATACATGCAAAAGCAGAGCTATTACGACGCTCTTAACCTGATCAACTCACTTCTCCGGGAGTTGAAACGCCTCGATGACAAACTCATGCTAGTTGAAGTGCAGTTGCTGGAGTCGCGGGTATACCATGCGCTTGGAAACCAAGCCAAGGCTCGTGCTGCATTGACCGCTTCACGGACTTCGGCTGCTTCTGTCTACACACCTCCAAATCTACAAGCTAGCCTGGATATGCAGAGTGGTATGCTACATGCCGAGGACAAAGACTTCAACACCTCATACTCCTACTTTATTGAGGCTCTAGAAGGCTACAGCTCCCTGGACGAGGGAGAGAAGGCGACAGCGGCTCTCCAATACATGCTGCTTTGTAAGATCATGCTGAACTTGGTGGACGACGTGACAACCCTCCTAGGCTCCAAGCAAGCCCAGAAATACGCCAGCCCACGACTTGAGGCCATGAAAGCAGTTGCGCGGGCTCATGCCAACCGCTCGCTTGAAGAGTACGAGAAGGCGCTCTCGGATTATCGGTTTGAGCTAGGAAGCGATGTGTTCATCCGTAATCACCTTCGCCGACTCTACGACGCTATGTTAGAACAAAACCTCATCAAGGTCATTGAACCATTCAGCCGCGTTGAATTGGATCATGTTGCCAAGATGGTGGGGTTGGATACACAGCAGGTGGAAAGGAAGCTTTCGCAGATGATTCTGGACAAAGTAATCATTGGAGTGTTAGATCAAGGCGCGGGATGCTTGATCGTATATGACGAAACCGAGCGCGATCAAGGTTACGATGCCGCACTGGACACCGTTGCGAAACTCAGTAATGTCGTGGAGGAGCTGTACACTAACCAAGCATCACAACTGGAGTAAGCATATTACCTGGCTGCTTTGTGAGGATCTTTTGTTTCTATGCACCCGCAATGAGAACACTTAGAGACACAAATCCAATACATCAAACATCTAGTTTAAGAAGCCGATGTCGTTAACTCAGTATAAATAGTATTTATGCCCCGTAGCCTCTAATTCTGGGGTGTTTTGTTAACCTGGAGCTGAGTGGTTACCGAAACGGGTAAAGCGCGATCGCGAGTTGGACTTCCAGCGAAGTTTGGAAATCCGCCGCGATGATTGAAGACTCTCATCCATCGGCCTCCATCCCATCGCCCTCGGCTTCGCTTCTCCAGAATTCGGCATCACCAAATCTAATAATTCCGCTTTTTCTCGTCCTTGCCGATTGCCAATTATGAACGCCCCCCCGGTGCCGCCCGGCTACAGTCGTGGCTTCCCCCAGGGCGCCCAGCGTTCTCCTGCCACGCCTCGTCGCGGACCTCAAGCTCCAGGTTCGTTTGATGTCCCTTGCGTCATTAATAGGTTCTGGCGCGTATAAAGTCAATGATTCAATTGTGTCTGATGTTTGTTCTTGCCTTCTAGGTGGTGCGATGCCCGTTCCGATGCCCCAACACGCCATGCCCCCTCAGTACATGGCGCCTCAGCGTAACCTACAGCACCAGAACGATGCCGCCCTTCGCCGCAGCCGCAAGCCTACAGACAAGAATATTCCCGATGGTGTCGACGATGTTATCGTTGGAGAAGGTGTACAGCAGTATAAAAGCTTACGCGACCTGGAAAAGCGTCTAGATGCGGCTATTGTGCGGAAGAGGTTGGACATCCAGGACTCGATCAGCAAAACAGTAAAGAAATACCGGACGATGCGAATCTGGGTCTCAAATACGGTGGAGAGCCAGCCCTGGCAGACGGGCCAAAATGGCGCTATTCCAGGAACCACTCCTGGTTCTGGCCGTTACAAGGTGCAGATAGAGGGTCGGCTGTTGGATGATGACAGCGATCTTGCGGACTCAGACAGCGAGGGTGAAGACGATGCCAAAGAGAATGGGGATGCAATGGAAGAGGACGGTGCCGATGGCAAAAAGTCAACTCCTAAGCGGTCGAAGCAGCGCTTTTCACAATTCTTCAAAACGATCACCATCGATTTCGACAAGTCCCCCTCAACAAGCTCTGACGAGACGAAGACCATAACTTGGGCAAAGCCCCAATTACCACCAAGCACCACCAACCTACCGCCCAACGCAGACTTTGATAACATTCAATTCTCCCGTGCATCGCAGGAAAATTTGAATGTTACTATCAGCCTTGTCAGGGATGAAACCCCCGAACGCTATAAGCTGAGCAAGGAGCTGGCTGAGGTGCTTGATGTTGAGGAAGAGACCAGAAGCGGGATTGTTTTGGGTATCTGGGACTATATCCGCGCCATGGGACTACAGGAAGACGAGGAGAAACGGCTAGTACGCTGTGACGATCGTCTACGAGCCGTAAGTTTTGCGATCCCTATTATAATAACTCTTTAACCATCCTGGGTGATTCTAACACCGTTTTATAGATTTTCGGTCGAGACCAGATGTTCTTCCCTCAAATCCCGGAAAGCATTGGCCCTCACACTAGTCCTCTTGACCCCATCAAGCTACCTTACACAATCCGTGTGGATGAAGATTTCCACAAAGATCCCACACCGACTGTCTACGATATTCAAGTCGCTGTCGAAGATCCTCTTCGGTCAAAGATGCTAGCTCTAACTCAAAACCCTCAGTACACTGCTGGTATGCGCCAAATCACTCAGCTGGATGACCAGGTCTCCCTCATCGTCCAAGCCCTCACACATTCACGGGCGAAACATTCCTTCTTCACTGCACTTAGCAAAGATCCTGCCGCATTCGTACGTCGCTGGATCAACTCTCAGCGCAGAGACCTCGAGACGATTCTCGGCGAAGCTACTCGTGGTGGTGGCGAGGACGCCAGTGGACCGGAGTTTCGACGTGGTGGTTCAGACAGCGTTTGGGACACGGTTGTTGCTCATGAGGCGGTGCGGTACATGCTTGCTAAACCGGAGGCTGTTATGGGTCGGTGAGCCTTTGTCGGTAGAGTCTTGTTTTCTGTCCTTTTTCTTGGCCGTGTGTTAGGTATGTAAGATGGTTGGGACACTGTAGGCGCTTATGTGGTGTTTTGTTGGAGATCATCTTATTCTAAAGCTGTTATGGTTCCTCGTTTGTACCCAATAATTTAAGATTATTTGCTTTGTCAGCCCAAGTTATCTACTAAGTAAACTATCCTAAACTCGAGGATCTCGGAACAATTCATAGTTTATATTAATAAGTGCCCCATACTCCTGTTTGGAAATGCATTAAGTATATCGCCCATAGAGGGGCGGTAGCTCCTAGGCACAGAGCCATTAGGGATCAATATCAAATAACCCTGCGACTCGACTTGCCAATTCGGCGGATCAAATGATGTAGGGGCATATCACACCTACGTCTCTGCTACTTCCTCTACTCTCCGCCTATCTATCGCTGCTTCACCATCTCACCTTCGGAATTGACTTAAGTGACCTTAAGCCTTCCTGTTTCGCAGATCCGAGAGACCAGCATCAATACCCGAGGCAGCTGATTGGTCGACATCACCGAGAAATAAGCTCCCTTCTTCCTGTTCCAACTTGGACGCGGCATCAAGAACCGCCTGTTGCGCGAGATCCTCCATCGTGCTGTTCTCCTTGTTGTGCTCTGTGGATTTCTTTGTATCCTTGGCTGAAGCGTCCTTGGGCGTAGGAGAGGGCCGGAAGCGTTTCATAACGGTCTCAATCATCTTCGAGAACCAGTAGTAATTGAGGCCGTTGAGAATCAAGTTGGAGGTGATGTAGGTAGCGACCAGCCAAGTGGGGACCCCGCCGGTAGTATGTTTGGAGTACTTGGTTATTTCCGCGTTGGCCCTGACGCAAGCCTCGTTGATGCAGAGGGACCCATCGTCGCGGGCTTGGAATATCTGTGCGGAAATGTCGACAGGGTTGAGCGGAGAGGAAGGGCCAGCCGCCCAAGTTTGTCTGACAGCATTGAACATATCTACATAGATGACTGCAGACTGCCAGGTTCCCCAGAAGAGACGACAAAAAAAGAACACGACAAGAAGTGCCATTCCGTTGTACCATTGTAGGGAAGAACCGGTCATGTTGAGCTTGTCCAGGAACCAGTGGATATTGAGGAAGGGGCTAGAGAGTTCATAAAGGATAAAGGTGGGAGCATAGAAGTTGACAAAAGGTCTCTGTGAAATCGTTCAGTGGCTGTGATTCGCATACTCAGGCATTTTGGAGTACTTACGAATCCAAAACTGAACACCCAGAGCGCAGAAATCGCATGGAAAAGCATGCCAATGCCGAACATTTTGACATAGATGGTGCTGACGATCAGATCGTAGATGAAGTATCCCACTGCGAGAGAGCTGATCAAAGCACACGCCCCACTATATCCGAGGACTCGCTCCCCAGAAGACAAAGACATTCTCTCTTCATCTGTAAATATCACCCATAGGGCGACAGCACATATGAAGGTGCTTTGGACCAGCGACACAACGTGGACATTCCAGTTAAGCTGGGTACGCTTATTGAGATTGGGGTAGTGACGCGGGAATAGCTTAGCAGACAACCATGGCGAGAGGACGTAATGGATAAAGAGGTAAACGATGAAGACGGTGACGACTTCGTGGCAGTGATCTGCTAGAACAGGCAGGTTGAAACGCAAAGCCCACGGCTCGACAGCCTCCCGCAACCATGCAGGGGGAGGTGGGACGGGGTCTAACATCCTGGAGTGACCACCGACTTGGTGGTTCGGAATCACCACGCAGATACAGATAGGGTGGAAACAGTTGCTCGAAGGAGGGGTTGTTGCGGGACAGCCGCTCCGATATAAGGCTGGCTCGGAGACTCGGACAAGGCGCTAGAAGCAAACTGAGCGGGGCTTGGGTGAGTCTAGAGGCCAGCCATAGTGTTGGAAAACGGTGATGCCTGTGAAACGACAAGGGGGATAAGCTGAGGACCTCGCAGGGCTGAATGGGTAGGGAATATCTTGCGGAATAATTACCTGGAGAGGAGGAGAGCCACCTGCCCAATGTCAGGTATTCACAGTATCACACTCACCAGGTAGCGACTGAGAATGCGAGGCCGAGGAGAATGCCGCCCTTGTGACGGACTCAGGCGGAGCATCTCGATCATCATGATTCAACAGACGGTGATCGCGTGCCGCAGGGTGCCTGATTTGCCAGGCTGCAACCTTCGTTGGGGGAAGCTCAACTCGGCCTCGGCAATCCCCCATCGGGCAGCCACGTCTGTCACTGGACCCCGAGGATTTACTTGGTGACTGGCGTAGTCAACAGCGAAGTTAATGCTAATCGGATATCATTCATTTACATCTACTCACTAATCGAATAACAACATGTGCATCATAAACCAATCCTGCTCAAACAGCCTGGGATGGTGGCGAACCAATCATAAAATAAATAATGTGACAAAGGGGAGTACAAAGAAAAGAAAACCAATTGCATCCCGACAATCTTGCAACACGGGCTGGAGGATTAACGCTAGTAAGTAAAATTATCCCAACGCCAGATGCGCAAAGTAGAAGTCACGTTTGTTTAAGTTGCATGCGGTTACCAAAGAACTGGTCAGCCCGCTGTACTCGTGATCTCCGAGCCGAGTCCGCTGTCACTAGGAGGCGCATAAAGCACCATTTTCGACGCCTCTGCATCTAGTTCCTCGTATTGCGGATTGTCCTCGGGCTCATCCGCTTTGGCATCTTCCTCCAGGGCGTCATTCTCATCTCTCTCCATCGCTCGGTCCTCCTCTTCACCTTCATCATCCTCATCTATAGCGGACTGCGGATGGGTAGTGACTGTCCCGGTGGTGGTGCTGGCTGTGCTAACCTGCCGGTTTGTTGAGACCACACTTCCTGGACCGTATGACATGCTTTCGGCGTAGGTCCCCGTGTAGCTTGTTCTCCTTTCCGTCCCGATATCACTCCCATCTTCACTTCGATTCTCTTCTTCTTCAGGGAAGACTTCAGGGAAGTCATTCTCTTTGTTGGCCCCCGAGCTTCTACCACCCCATGAAGACTTGCGGTAAGAGAAGTTGGATTTGACCGATTGGCTCCGCTTGAGGCTCGTAAGACCGCCGGGTGTGCCTGACTGCCTGTCCGCTAACCCACGGTTCCCTGTAACGTGACTCAGACTGAGTATTCTCCTTTCCTTATTCGCGGCAGGTGCGGCGTTGGATGTTGTCTGAGACGCTGCCTGAGCTCGCTTTTTCATTGCCAGTCCAATGCTGCTCCCGAGAACGCTGGGAGCACCCTTGGCAGTGCTTGTAGTGCTTGAAACACTGGAGTTGCGGGCTCGTGCGCCACCACGTACCTTCTTCATAGATAAGCCCTGCATGCTATTGGGTCGGCTAAGAAGAACGGTACGAGCATGATCAAGCACGCCCTCCAGGATTCGCTTCTCCAAGCTGTCGGCGCGTTCTTCCATGACTTGCATCTCTTCGTGACGCAGCTCGAGAGCCGTTTCCAGACCGGACACTTCCTTGTTGAGCTTAGCATTATGGGCAGCAAGTTCGTCTTTCTCGGTTTTGAGTCGTTGAATCATGGCTAGCATAGATTCCTTCTCATCCTTGAGATTGAGGATTTCTGCCTCAATCTGTTCTCGCTGTGCCGTTCTGCGCTCTAGGGCAACGGCGGCCTCTTCAGCCTCCTTGCGCCTGCGCTCAGTGTCTTCTGCCACCAGAGCTGATTGCGCGGTGAGCATCTCGTTCATTTTGCGTGATGTGTCCATAATATCCTTGTGCATCTCATCAAGCTTCATCATCTGGTGGACGGAATGGTCGGTATTTGTCGCATGCCCGATGAGCGTGTCGAGTTTATCGTGAATCGGACCTTTCGCCGCAAGGCCAAGTAGCTCATTCAGCTTCTCATAAACTTCACCGTTTGTGCTCGATGTTTTGTTTAGGAGTTGATCCAGCTTATCGTGCACTTGATCATTGGTAACTCGCTCAACCAGAACATTGAGCGTATCTTGAACCTGGCTGCCCTTCGATTGCTCCATAAGGCTGTTCAATTTCTCATGCAGTTCTTTGTCATCGTACTTTTCCGGCTCAGCGGGCGGTAAAGCGGGCAGCATTTGAGGGATCGTCTTGGGGAGGACGGATAGATCCATCCTGAGGTCTTGTGCAGTTTCTTTGGCGTGGTCGTAGTGTTGGCTCACAATAGAAAGGATTTGCTGAATAGACTCCAAAACCTGAGGATGAAACTCGTGTAGCTTGGTCTCAACACGTTCAGTAGCAGCAGCCGCCCGTTCAGCGTCAGACCGCGCGTGCTCTTGCTGTGTTTTGACCTCGTTGTGCATCTCCTCCATCCTGTTGTACGAGACATCGACTTTCTCGAAGAATGTCTTCGCATCGGCACTCATCCGCTCACATGCCTCATTGACGCTGTCGCCCATGGAACCGATGACAAGTTTGATGTCTTCCGCCAGAGATTTCGTATTTGTCACAGCTTCCAGGTGCTCATTACCACGCTCGGAGGCTTCGGTGAACTTGCTATCAACTGAAGATTGGGCCTCATCATACTTGGCCATGACTTCACTGAGCTTCTCGTCAATTTTGTTACCAAGTTCAACGATAATGGCGGCCTTTGTCTCATCATGCTTAACAAGGACAGCAGCATCTCGCTCCTCTTTTTCGAGTTTGGTGGCATCCTGTTCGCCGCGTGCACGCTCAAACTCGCGGTTGATGAGCTCAGTAAGCTCATTGACATTTTCGACGGTGGTGAAGCTTTCCGCAGAGGTAGCGAGGCCCTCCAGGAGTTGTTTGAGCTCTGAAAGTCCCTCGTGGCTGCCGTCGAGTTTGCTTTTGAGCTCCTCCCCGAGTCCCTCGACAACAGTCTTAGCCTCTTCGATCCTCTCAGCTAAGCCAGCGTGTTCGATTTTTCGTGCTTCGAATCCCTGACCAGTTAGCTCCTGGTCGGCCTCCACCTTCTCTTTGAACTCATTCATAAGAGTAGCGATCTCCTGAATTTCGCTTTTCGTGGGGAGGGTCTC